AGCCAGCCAGCCAGCCAGCCAGCCAGCCAGCCAACCAGCCAACCAGCCAGCCACCCACCCACAAGCAGTGACAGAGTTACTCAGCCACTCCTGTTACTCACGTTATCCTTCAACATGAGTGGCACTTGTTATGCTGTTCCATCATACATATCAGGGGTTCGAGACCCACACAGCCCAGGTGAATGGGAAGATATAACAAGGGTTCACCTGTGGTACAGTAGTTAGTGCAGCCAATTCACAAGTGATTGAATCTCAGTTCGATTATCTTGCAGTGAGGCGTGTGGATACATTCTCTTACACCTGATGTCTCTGTTCACCTTGAAGTAAATAAGTACTTGGGAGATAGGGAACTGTTGTAGGTCATATCCTGGGAAAGGTCAATCACAGGCCTAAGAGGACCTCAAGCGATGGAACAGAACCTCAGGGACTTCAAGGGACAGGGACCTCAAGGGACAGGAACCTCAAGGGACAGAACCTCAGGGACTTCAAGGGACAGGGACCTCAAGGGACAGGGACCTCAAGGGACAGGAACCTCAAGGGACAGGGACCTCAAGGGACAGGGACCTCAAGGGACAGGGACCTCAAGGGACAGGGACCTCAAGGGACAGAGACCTCAAGGGACAGGAACCTCAAGGGACAGGGACCTCAAGGGACAGAGACCTCAAGGGACAGGGACCTCAAGGGACAGGGACCTCAAGGGACAGGGACCTCAAGGGACAGGGACCTCAAGGGACAGGGACCTCAAGGGACAGGGACCTCAAGGGACAGGGACCTCAAGGGACAGGGACCTCAAGGGACAGGGACCTCAAGGGACAGGGACCTCAAGGGACAGGAACCTCAAGGGACAGGAACCTCAAGGGACAGGGACCTCAAGGGACAGGGACCTCAAGGGACAGGAACCTCAAGGGACAGGGACCTCAAGGGACAGGGACCTCAAGGGACAGGGACCTCAAGGGACAGAGACCTCAAGGGACAGAAGGCTTCCTGTACCCGCGGACGGACATCATGTTACGAGACAGTAAATAATATAACCCAAGATAGAACAAGTTCATATAAATATATATATGAACAAGTTCATATAACTTCAGTAATTGTATCTATAAAATCAATAGGTCAGCGCTGGATGGGTTGTTGTTGTTGTTGTTTAAGATTCAGCTACTGGGAACCAAAAGTTCCAAGTAGCACGGGCTATGGTGATCCCGTGATGGACTTACCTGGCACAGGAGTGGGGCAAGTAGCACGGGCTATGGTGATCCCGTGATGGACTTACCTGGCACAGGAGTGGGGCAAGTAGCACGGGCTATGGTGATCCCGTGATGGACTTACCTGGCACAGGAGTGGGGCAAGTAGCACGGGCTATGGTGATCCCGTGATGGACTTACCTGGCACAGGAGTGGGGCAAGTAGCACGGGCTATGGTGATCCCGTGATGGACTTACCTGGCACAGGAGTGGGGCAAGTAGCACGGGCTATGGTGAGCCCGTGATGGACTTACCTGGCACAGGAGTGGGGCAAGTAGCACGGGCTATGGTGAGCCCGTGATGGACTTACCTGGCACAGGAGCGGGGCTGAAACTTGGTATGGGTGGGGATGTGTGTGGAACAAGTTAGCAAGTTACATAATAGTAGCAAACTTTGCTGCGACAAAGTTCCCGTCTAAGTTGGATAAATACATGGGTGGGAATAGTTGGGATAAATAATGGTTACCTATCTCATCGAAGCTCAAGTTATCGTCCTAATTATAAGTTCAAACTCTGCTGCACTAAAGGCGCCAGTTATCGCACTCGCCCAGTGTGTAAGTCATCGTACTCATCAGAAGTTATCGTTCTGATGAGATGACTTCTTCCCTGTATTAAGCCTTATGTGAGACTCAGCCCGTGGCTGAGCGGACAGAACACTGGACACGTGATCCTGTGGTCCCGGGTTCGATCCCTGGCGCCGGCGAGAAACAATGGGCAGAGTTTCTTTCACCCTGATGCCCCTGTTACCTAGCAATAAATAGGTACCTGGGTGTTAGTCAGCTGTCACGGGCTGCTTCCTGGGGGGTGGAGGCCTGATCGAGGACCGGGCCGCGGGGACCCTAAACCCTGAAATCTCAAGATAACCTCAAGATAAGATAACTTGAACACGCTAACTTGGTGGTTCTGTCATCACTGACCCACTGATAGATTCAGCTATTCGGAACAAGTTCCAAGTAGCACGGGCTATGGTGAGCCCGTAGTGGACTTACCTGGCACAGTAGCGGGGCAAGTAGCACGGGCTATGGTGAGCCCGTAGTGGACTTACCTGGCACAGTAGCGGGGCAAGTAGCACGGGCTATGGTGAGCCCGTAGTGGACTTACCTGGCACAGTAGCGGGGCAAGTAGCACGGGCTATGGTGAGCCCGTAGTGGACTTATCTGGCACAGGAGTGGTGCCCCCACCTCAAGAGTCCATGAGATTAGTTCATCACCAGTGATGACGTCGGTGAAGAGAGAGTTTACGGGGCTATTCACGCCCGTGCCGCCTCTTGGGTGGCTTAATCTCCATCAATCAATCAATCGTCGTTGAAGAACGTTCGTGTGAGTCGTTTACCGTCTCGTTAAAAAAAAACATAAAAATACTAAAAACACTACTTACTCTTAGGCCACTCAATTAATATATACAAGAAATACAATAACATTTATCTTGCAAAACAAATGTAATCAAACGTGTTGTAGTGTTCCCTTACAATGGGTGTGCAACATCAGGTTGTTGTAGTGTTCCCTTACAATGGGTGTGCAACATCAGGTTGGAGAGTGGATGCAGGACATGCAATTATCACCAAGGCTTTCTCGCTTATATTAGATTACTTTTTAAATGTTTTATATAAGAGAGCTTTTTCCGGGCCGGCGTGTTCGTTTTCTGTTCAAGCACTCGGGGGGGAGGGGGCTATTGTGTCGTGTTCGTATTTGTTGGCTCTGAACAAATCCACGTCCTGGTGCAGTATGGAGCAACATGGTGGAGGTGTGTACGTGAATGAAGAAATATAACAAGGATTTTTAAGACTACTCATAGCCCGTGACGAGGATTCGAAGATCAGAAGAGGTAATAACGAAGTCTGGCATATACGTCAACCTCATCAAGGATGAATATATTGAGAAAATAACCACGCGACGAGTCGCAATAACGTGGCTGAAGTATGTTGACCAAACCACACACTAGAAGGTGAAGGGACGACGACGTTTCGGTCCGTCCTGGACCACAATCGACTTGAGAATGGTCCAGGACGGACCGAAACGACGTCGTCCCTTCGCTTTCTAGTGTGTGGTTTGGTCAACATTACTCCCATCTTTTTTAACCAAACTCAACTCCAAAGGGTCACCAGGGTTACCACTGCTGATGAACACGAAGTTAAACAGACTGGTTGAAACTGTTAATGCCAGAAGGTCTAGGCTTCACCTGATGAAAGTTACAGCAGAGTACAGGCCACCTCTGCTCAAACGGACCCACACTCTATATTAAACACTTCTACAACAATTTCTTTTCAAAAGTTCACAAAATGGAGGAAAGAGTCGTGAGAGACATTATTGAGAGAAAGGTGACTCCCTACCGACGCTAACCAGGAGATAGTTGACAATATATTACCACAGAGCAATTAGAGGACCATTAACTTGCTCATGAAGAATTCTCTCGATAACAAGCAAAACTGTTTGAAAGAAACGAATGTCGTCTATGCCCTTACGTGCCCACTTGGTACTACTTGCTACATGCCCAAGTCCTCTTGGTACTACTTGGTATATGCCCAAGCCCTCTTGGGACTATTTGGAACATGCCCAAGCCCTCTTGGGACTATTTGGAACATGCCCAAGTCCTCTTGGTACTATTTGGTACATGCCCAAGCCCTCTTGGTACTATGAGCCCCCAACCATGTCAGTATATAAGCAAGACAACAACATATCTTTCAAGGCGCCTGCCAATTAACAAACAAGGCTCCATGAAAGAACGTATAATGTCTAGAAACAAGCGGATCACCACTACAGATATCCTGACCAACAACACAATAATCGACAGATACAAGGATAATAAAGACTAGACATGGACGAAGCACTACATACGAAGCAATCTCGACCATCTACCAGCAGCCAGCTCACACTCCGGTCCACTCTATCGTCCTCAAGACCAAGGCAGACTATCCAGCACTCACTATCTTAGCCATACTTCGAATGGGTAGGCATGACTTCATCCTTCTTGATGGAATACAAGTGACGTGAATTCACATCCCTTTTGCCTCACCTCCCTCACTCTCTCACCTTCCTCACCTCTCTCACCTCTCACCAATCTCACCTCTCACCTCTCACCTACCTCACCTCTCACCTCTCACCTACCTCACCTCTAGCCTCCCTCACCCGGTTCCCTATTGCATATTGTGATCATTTAAGTATGTATATAACATATTGTATGATGTATGAGGTTATCGGGGTAGCTTATTACTCATGTGTTGTGAGGTAGGATAGCGGGCACTGTGCGACGGTGAGTGAGTTTAATGGGCACCTTCCGAGTGGACTGTGAAGGCTACGAGTGTAAAAAACTGTGTGTGAGTGAGCGTCGGCCTCATACACAAGGGGTCCGCTGTTCGAGTCGCCTAGAGCCCATGTGAAAGGAATTCTACGAGTGTAAGATGTAGGTTAAGTGGATTGGTGGGTATTATCTGTGCCTAGTGTGGCCCCCTCTCCCTCTGAGCCGGGGTTCTTAGTGTCTGTCTGTCTGTCTCTCACGAGGGCCTCCTGCCTGCCTCTCACTAGAGCCTCCTGCCTGCCTGCCTCTCACCAGAGCCTCCTGCCTGCCTGCCTCTCACCAGAGCCTCCTGCCTGCCTGCCTCTCACCAGAGCCTCCTGCCTGCCTGCCTCTCACCAGAGCCTCCTGCCTGCCTGCCTCTCACCAGAGCCTCCTGCCTGCCTGCCTCTCACCAGAGCCTCCTGCCTGCCTGCCTCTCACCAGAGCCTCCTGCCTGCCTGCCTCTCACCAGAGCCTCCTGCCAACAGCCACGGTGGTTGCTGACGTCGCTGGGGCTGTGTGACCTGATGAAGGGCGTGGTGGTGGTGCCAGGAAGCGTGTACCCGACCCTCTACCACTGCTGGCCCTACCCGCCCCTGCTGTGTGCCGGCCAGGCCCTCCTCCTGCCTCTCCTGCACCACCAGGCGGCTCTCACCCTCTCCCTCCTCGCTCTGGACCGCTACTGCTGCCTGCTCTACCCAGCCAAGTACAACACTCACGTCTCCAGGCCGGTCAGTCACTCTTACACTTATTATATTGTTCTGTATTGCATTTATCCACTGTTATATATCAATCTTAGCTACCTACTGCTTTAATATACTGTACCTACAATTTTCTCTCATCTTTTTTTCTTTCCATGTAACTGTTATCATTTTTTTTGTCTATAAATTTTGCAAGTATTTATCTACTTAAAATTTTCTTAGATTAAGGACCTGCCCGAAACGCTGCGCGTACTAGTGGCTTTATAAGACTGTAATTACCATATTATGTATCCTCACATTCCCAATGTACCTTCTTGTATATGCATAAATAAATAAATAAATGGTGCCCTATATGCTTCTCACAATATATGTGGGAACTCTTTTATATGAGGCTCTGTAAGTCATCTTGGGGGGCTCCAAAGTGTATGAGAAAAGCCAACCTTGAAAATGCTTACTATATGCAGGCGATGAGTCACAATAACGTGGCTGAAGAATGTTGACCAGACCACACACTAGAAGGTGAAGGGACGACGATGTTTCGGTCCGTCCTGGACCATTCTCAAGTCGAAACGTCGTCGTCCCTTCACCTTCTAGTGTGTGGTCTGGTCAACATGCCCACTATGTGTAAATTAATTTCGTCCTTCAGCTTAATTTTGGACGTGATAGCATTGGTAAGTTCTCTACACCGTTTGAAATTTAAAACTAAGTTACTTCGGTGTAAGGTGTTCTAGATATTCCACTCTTTTGCACACCCAAATCCAGGGAGTCGGTCGGCCGAGCGGACAGCACGCGGGACTTGTGATCCTGTGGTCCTGGGTTCGATCCCAGGCGCCGGCGAGAAACAATGGGCAGAGTTTCTTTCACCCTATGCCCCTGTTACCTAGCAGTAAAATAGGTACCTGGGTGTTAGTGAGCTGTCACGGGCTGCTTCCTGGGGGTGGAGGCCTGGTCGAGGACCTGGCCGCGGGGACACTAAACAGCCCCGAAATCATCTCAAGATAACCTCAAGAAGATAACCTGCCATAAACACTTTCCTTTGCACGATGGAGTGGGAGTGGTTGTGCACATCTCTCCTGACTACTGTATGGTCCCCCGAGATGTGTGTACGCATGACGGGAGACATCTCCCGTCCACGAGGCTAACCATAGCCCGTGCTTCTTGCCCCGCTCCTATGGGGCAAGAAGTTACGGGCTTACCAGTAAGTTACGGGCTCACCATAGCCCGTGCTACTTGGAACTTGTTCCGAGTAGCTTAATCTATAACAACAACATCTGTGTACGCATCTAGTTGTGCTCATCTAGTTGTACTTGCAGGGGACGAGCCTCAACTATTTGGACCCGCCTTTGAAACCCTCAATCGACTTTTGTGCGCAGGTTTCCACGGAAATGCATTGGAACATGACCGCTTAGAGTACACCAGTGTCCCCATGTATGTGTACCGCCTATGCTAAACAGGGTGGAACACAATCTTCTCTTCCTGCTCAATTCACTGGAAATTTTGTCACTAGTAATAACATCTTGATTGCTTCTTTTCTGTGGTAATAACGTCTCTATTGCTTCTTTTCTGTGGTAATAACGTCTCTATTGCTTCTTTTCTGTGGTAATAACATCTTGATTGTTTCTGTTCTCCTTCTGTTGAAAGAAAAGCCACACCCGGCAGGCTGGGTGTGGCTTCCACCCCTTCCCCCCTCTCACCACCTGATTGATGAAGATTAAGCCACCCAAAAGGTGGCACGGGCATGAATAGCCCATAAGTGGTGGCCCTTTTGAGCCATTACCAGTATCAAGAGCTGATACTGGAGATCTGTGGAGGTGCGACTGCACCCTGCGTGACGGGAGATGTCTCCCGTCTGCCACCCAAAAGGTGGCACGGGCATGAATAGCCCGTAATCTCACCACCTTTTCTGGTTCGGCAGATATGTGTGGTGGCGATGGTGGGGTCGTGGTTGGCGTGTGCTGGCCTCCACGCTGCCGTCTACCTCCCAACTCCACACTTCTACTTCAACCACGTCTCCAGCCACACCTGTGAGCCCTACCACACCCTCAATGCCAAGACCATTCTGCTGGCCTGCGTCGTCTACTTCCCTACCACCATGGTGAGTTACTGCGCTGTCTGCGTCGTCTACTTCCCTACCACCATGGTGAGTTACTACGCTGTCTGTGTCGTCTACTTCCCTACCACCATGGTGAGTTACTGCGCTGTCTGCGTCGTCTACTTCCCTACCACCATGGTGAGTTACTGCGCTGTCTGCGTCGTCTACTTCCCTACCACCATGGTGAGTTACTGCGCTGTCTGCGTCGTCTACTTCCCTACCACCATGGTGAGTTACTGCGCTGTCTGCGTCGTCTACTTCCCTACCACCATGGTGAGTTACTGCGCTGTCTGCGTCGTCTACTTCCCTACCACCATGGTGAGTTACTGTGCTGTCTGCGTCGTCTACTTCCCTACCACCATGGTGAGTTACTGCGCTGTCTGCGTCGTCTACTTCCCTACCACCATGGTGAGTTACTACGCTGTCTGCTACTGTGATGAGTTACACCTTGTACTTCCCAGGGTGTACTTTCCGGGGTCTACTTGTCCCCAGCGTGTACTTGTCCCAGCGTGTACTTCCCAAGGTGTACTTGCCATTAAGACGTTGTCTGGTCCGCAGGTGACGATGTACTGCTACGGCACTGTCTTTCACATGGCCCGGGCCACCTCCCTCCAGCGCCTCGTCTGCGCCACCGTCAGTACCCCGGAGATCCTCGGTGGAGCCCTGGTGGAGAAGGTTAGTGGTGGAGCCCTGCTGGAGCCCTGGTGGAGCCCTGGTGGAGAAGGTTAGTGGTGGAGCCCTGCTGGAGCCCTGGTGGAGCCCTGGTGGAGAAGGTTAGTGGTGGAGCCCTGCTGGAGTTCTGGTGGAGCCCTGGTGGAGAAGGTTAGTGGTGGAGCCCTGGTGGAGAAGGTTAGTGGTGGAGCCCTGGTGGAGAAGGTTAGTGGTGGAGCCCTGGTGGAGTCCTGGTGGAGAAGGTTAGTGGTGGAGCCCTGGTGGAGAAGGTTAGTGGTGGAGCCCTGGTGGAGCCCTGGTGGAGAAGGTTAGTGGTGGAGCCCTGGTGGAGCCCTGGTGGAGAAGGTTAGTGGTGGAGCCCTGGTGGAGAAGGTTAGTGGTGGAGCCCTGGTGGAGAAGGTTAGTGGTGGAGCCCTGGTGGAGCCCTGGTGGAGAAGGTTAGTGGTGGAGCCCTGGTGGAGAAGGTTAGTGGTGGAGCCCTGGTGGAGAAGGTTAGTGGTGGAGCCCTGGTGGAGCCCTGGTGGAGAAGGTTAGTGGTGGAGCCCTGCTGGAGCCCTGGTGGAGCCCTGCTGGAGCCCTGGTGGAGAAGGTTAGTGGTGGAGCCCTGCTGGAGCCCTGGTGGAGCCCTGCTGGAGCCCTGGTGGAGAAGGTTAGTGGTGGAGCCCTGGTGGAGCCCTGCTGGAGCCCTGGTGGAGAAGGTTAGTGGTGGAGCCCTGGTGGAGCCCTGGTGGAGTCCTGGTGGAGAAGGTTAGTGGTGGAGCCCTGGTGGAGTCCTGGTGGAGAAGGTTAGTGGTGGAGCCCTGGTGGAGAAGGTTAGTGGTGGAGCCCTGGTGGAGAAGGTTAGTGGTGGAGCCCTGGTGGAGAAGGTTAGTGGTGGAGTCCTGGTGGAGAAGGTTAGTGGTGGAGTCCTGGTGGAGAAGGTTAGTGGTGGAGCCCTGGTGGAGTCCTGGTGGAGAAGGTTAGTGGTGGAGTCCTGGTGGAGAAGGTTAGTGGTGGAGCCCTGGTGGAGAAGGTTAGTGGTGGAGTCCTGGTGGAGAAGGTTAGTGGTGGAGCCCTGGTGGAGTCCTGGTGGAGAAGGTTAGTGGTGGAGCCCTGCTGGAGCCCTGGTGGAGCCCTGGTGGAGAAGGTTAGTGGTGGAGCCCTGGTGGAGTCCTGGTGGAGAAGGTTAGTGGTGGAGCCCTGGTGGAGAAGGTTAGTGGTGGAGTCCTGGTGGAGAAGGTTAGTGGTGGAGCCCTGGTGGAGTCCTGGTGGAGAAGGTTAGTGGTGGAGTCCTGGTGGAGAAGGTTAGTGGTGGAGCCCTGGTGGAGAAGGTTAGTGGTGGAGCCCTGGTGGAGAAGGTTAGTGGTGGAGCCCTGGTGGAGAAGGTTAGTGGTGGAGCCCTGGTGGAGAAGGTTAGTGGTGGAGCCCTGGTGGAGCCCTGGTGGAGAAGGTTAGTGGTGGAGCCCTGGTGGAGTCCTGGTGGAGAAGGTTAGTGGTGGAGCCCTGGTGGAGAAGGTTAGTGGTGGAGCCCTGGTGGAGTCCTGGTGGAGAAGGTTAGTGGTGGAGCCCTGGTGGAGTCCTGGTGGAGAAGGTTAGTGGTGGAGCCCTGGTGGAGTCCTGGTGGAGAAGGTTAGTGGTGGAGCCCTGGTGGAGTCCTGGTGGAGAAGGTTAGTGGTGGAGCCCTGGTGGAGAAGGTTAGTGGTGGAGCCCTGGTGGAGCCCTGGTGGAGAAGGTTAGTGGTGGAGCCCTGGTGGAGCCCTGGTGGAGAAGGTTAGTGGTGGAGCCCTGGTGGAGTCCTGGTGGAGAAGGTTAGTGGTGGAGCCCTGGTGGAGTCCTGGTGGAGAAGGTTAGTGGTGGAGCCCTGGTGGAGAAGGTTAGTGGTGGAGCCCTGGTGGAGAAGGTTAGTGGTGGAGCCCTGGTGGAGAAGGTTAGTGGTAGAGCCCTGGTGGAGAAGGTTAGTGGTGGAGCCCTGGTGGAGAAGGTTAGTGGTGGAGCCCTGGTGGAGCCCTGGTGGAGAAGGTTAGTGGTGGAGCCCTGGTGGAGTTCTGGTGGAGCCCTGGTGGAGAAGGTTAGTGGTGGAGCCCTGGTGGAGTTCTGGTGGAGTCCTGGTGGAGAAGGTTAGTGGTGGAGCCCTGGTGGAGTTCTGGTGGAGCCCTGGTGGAGAAGGTTAGTGGTGGAGCCCTGGTGGAGTCCTGGTGGAGAAGGTTAGTGGTGGAGCCCTGGTGGAGAAGGTTAGTGGTGGAGCCCTGGTGGAGAAGGTTAGTGGTGGAGCCCTGGTGGAGAAGGTTAGTGGTAGAGCCCTGGTGGAGAAGGTTAGTGGTGGAGCCCTGGTGGAGAAGGTTAGTGGTGGAGCCCTGGTGGAGCCCTGGTGGAGAAGGTTAGTGGTGGAGCCCTGGTGGAGTTCTGGTGGAGCCCTGGTGGAGAAGGTTAGTGGTGGAGCCCTGGTGGATCCCTGGTGGAGTCCTGGTGGAGAAGGTTAGTGGTGGAGCCCTGGTGGATCCCTGGTGGAGTCCTGGTGGAGAAGGTTAGTGGTGGAGCCCTGGTGGAGCCCTGCTGGAGTCCTGGTGGAGAAGGTTAGTGGTGGAGCCCTGGTGGAGCCCTGGTGGAGAAGGTTAGTGGTGGAGCCCTGGTGGAGTCCTGGTGGAGAAGGTTAGTGGTGGAGCCCTGGTGGAGAAGGTTAGTGGTGGAGCCCTGGTGGAGTTCTGGTGGAGCCCTGGTGGAGAAGGTTAGTGGTGGAGCCCTGGTGGATCCCTGGTGGAGTCCTGGTGGAGAAGGTTAGTGGTGGAGCCCTGGTGGATCCCTGGTGGAGTCCTGGTGGAGAAGGTTAGTGGTGGAGCCCTGCTGGAGCCCTGGTGGAGTCCTGGTGGAGAAGGTTAGTGGTGGAGCCCTGGTGGAGCCCTGGTGGAGAAGGTTAGTGGTGGAGCCCTGGTGGAGTCCTGGTGGAGAAGGTTAGTGGTGGAGCCCTGGTGGAGAAGGTTAGTGGTGGAGCCCTGGTGGAGTCCTGGTGGAGAAGGTTAGTGGTGGAGCCCTGGTGGAGTTCTGCTGGAGGCGAGTGATGAACAATAAACAAAGTTACCACTATGGACTGGGTACATGTTGTTGCAAAGATTAATAAATTAACAAGAGAACTCTGGAGGTGAGAAATGAACACCAGAACATAGCGTGAAGGTATACTAAGTTATATAAAGTATACTAAGGGTATACTAAGACGGCACTCCTGAAGCAGATCACATAGACAGACCTCCGTGAGCCGCAGGAAGATGATTCGCATCCACGAAGGCAAAAGTCGCCGGAGATTATCAGTGATAATCAATAACTTGTAGAATGTCTGGGTCCGGGAGGATTTACCTGTACAGTGTCAGGATAATGCTAACCCTTCATGCTGTAACCGTTACATAACTGCTACCTGGATTGTACCTGAATGAGGTTCTATGAGTTCTTCTACCCCACGAGGCCCGGGCCGCGGCCATGGAGAGGTAGAGGTACTCAAGACAAGGCAGCACCAGCGGGTTGAATAATACGACCATTGTGATGGTATGCGTCCGTGCAGGAACACGTTACACACCTGTTAGGTACCTGTTGTTAGAGAATAAAGTGACTGTTAAGTGCCGCTGACGGCTTCAGTGAGATAAACTACCACATTAACAGTTATTGATGACCCATTTACAGTAGTATATATTGATAATAAATTGATGTCTAATAGAATTACACTCTCCATATATTCGTCCTCAGTGTTATTAATGCTGGTAATTACTGAAGCAGGAGAGGTTAACTTAGGATTAGAAGTGAAATGCCTTGCATTTGAGAGTCAGTTGGGTGCTATCACCTCTCCAGGACATTCACTCCAGCAGGTCACACCGCAACCACTTGGGCTGGACGGTAGAGCGACGGTCTCGCGTCATGCAGGTCGGCGTTCAATCCCCGACCGTTCAAGTGGTTGGGGCACCATTCCTTTCCCCCGTCCCATCCCAAATCCTTATCCTGACCCCTTCCAAGTGCTATATAGTCGTAATGGCTTGGCGCTTTCCCTTGATAATTCCTTCCTTCCAGCAGGTCACACTTTATGCACTTGTAATGTTGTCATTTGTAAATACAACTCATATTTTAGAGTGATTATATGTGATAGTTATCGTGGCGGCAGGTGTAGCATATGTGGTGTTGTAGGTCATGTTGCAGGTAACATGTGTAGTGTAGCAGGCCATGTTGGGGGTAACATGTGTGGTGTTGCAGGCCATGTTGGAGGAGCGTGAGGAGCGACTGAGGAACTGCAGAGTGATGGCGGTGGTGTCACTATCCTTCATCATCACTATCACACCCTGGACCCTCCGGCAGATCATCGCCGCCTGCACTAACTCCAGGGTCAGTCACCATCCACCATCACCATCACCTTCTGAACCTCACGTTGGTCACCTCTCTCACCATCCACCATCACCTTCTGAACCTCACGTTGGTCACTTCTCTCACCATCCCCTATCACCATCACTCTCACAACACAATATTCATCACCATTCACACCCCCCCCCAGCACCACTATACTCACTATCATCGTAATTGTTTCTTATACAAATAATTAGAGCTTCGAAGCATTATACTTTAATACACTATTACGTGTGAGTGACGGGTGTTCTTGTGCCCACAGATCCCTGGCATCTTAGACTACGGGGTGTGGGTGGTGAGTGTCGGCGGAGGAGTGGTAGTGATCTTCATCTTATGGTTGCTCTCGGCGTCATTCCGCCGGGCCACGGAGGAGACACTTCACAACCGGGTTCGTATCCTCTTATGTCACAAGTTACACATCACTCCACATATCTCTCACGCACACACGGGGAAAATACTGGCTGTGATATTGAGGAATGTGTGTATCTGGTTGCTTTCAGTTACCCATGCAGGCGATGAGTTACAATAACGTGGCTAAAGTATGTTGACAAGACCACACACTAGAAGGTGAAGGGACGACGACGTTTCGGTCCGTCCTGGACCATTCTCAAGTCAATTTCAATTACCCATCTGTAGAGCACTCTCACCCTCTACATAACCACTTGGGCTGGACTGTAGAGCGACGGTCTAGCATCATACAGGTCGGCGTTCAATCCCCGACCGTCCAAGTGGTTAAACACCATTCCTTTCCCCCGTCCCATCCCAGATCCTTATCCTGATCCGTTCCAAGTGCTATGTATTCGTAATGGCTTGGTGCCTTCTATTGAAAGTTCCCTTCTTTTCCTCCACACAGTAGTGTCCGTGTCCCTATTCTTTTGTACCCCGCATGATGTTCGCGTCCTCAAGGACTCATTGTTTATTTTCGCCTTGGGATGTCATGTAGATTAAGATATAGTGTAGATTAGTAAAGATTAAGATGAATGAAAGTAATGACGAAAACAAGTCCAATAATGTGGCTGAGAATTTAGACAGCCAAATAAACACAAAAAATAGGTGACGTTTCGGTCCGTCTTGGACTTGATAAGGGTCCAGGACGGACAGAAACGTCGTCACATAAGTGTCCAATACGGACCGAAACGTCGTCACATAAGTGTCCAATACGGACCGAAACGTCACTTCTTTCTTTTCATGTGTGGGTTAGATTATTACTCAAAATGATGTTTTGAAGTAAGTGAAAGAGTCGAGGAAGTGAGTTTGAGAGTGCCGTCAGGTGTGTATGCTGTCTTACGGGTTATTCATGCCCGTGCCACCTCCTGCGTGACTTAATCATCACTCATCAACCAATCAGGTGTGTTGCGGGAACGTGTACTACGAGGAGAGCGAGGAGGTGTGCCTGGGGCAGGTGTCGCAGCACGGTGGGGCTCCACACCTGCCTTACCCCCACCACAACACCGTCACTCACGCCGGCAACTGTCCCGCTGCTACACCGAGGTCCGCGCCGCACAGCTGTAACGCAACGCCCCGACACCTACCCAACGGGAGACTACCTGTAGCAGCCCTCAACAGTGCGTCGTGCGACCTGGAAGCTGTCGGAGAGAAGTATTGGGGAGAGGTGAGCCACAGTCACCCATCTCCTCTCATACTCAAGTCCTTAATTTGTATCCAAAATGTATATCAAACACAAAATGTCAAAATACAGCCAAAATGTTATGTAAACAATTACAAGCTTTTCTGCATTAACATGACTAAACTAACCTAGTCTTGTAAATCATTTTCTTGCATCTTAAATGCCATTTGTTCTGTCTATATATCTATTTAACCAAGATCATGACTACAGTCAACACTTAAGTGTATACTGTGAGACGCAGAGTACATTTCTCTGTGGATATTCCCAGTGTCTTTGTGTATTGTTATAGAACCCTGGCAGCGGTGCCACATGGCCATGTTTACTTTGCTTAAACAAAGTAAGCTGGTGGTAAACTGCTTACTCTATATTCTATCATCTGTGGATAGAATATAGAGGGTGGCTGTGTTACCTTCTAAAGCCACAGGTAAACAAAGCCACATGGTCTTGTGTGGCTTTGTTTACCTGTGGCTTTAGAACAGCCACCCTCTATATTCTATCCACAGATGATGAGCTCTATCAGAGACTCTTGCTTTGATGATAACGATTGTGTCATTTTGTATCAATTATCTACCTTTGATTACCATCTCCGTAAGGTTAATATTTTATGCTACAAAAGGGGTTGTAATATTTCCTGATCTGTATATTACTAGAATGGCTAAAAGAATAACCTTACTCAGATGCTGTTTAGAGTTAGGTAATTGTTTAATGGGACACGATTGGTTTCTCATAATCAGGGGCAGCGACTCACCTTTCTCAAGAAACAACCCTCAACAGTAGACTAACGCCCAAGAAGCAGTTTACCACCAGCTGAATAGAGGCGTTATATATATAAGGAAACTTGACCAGACGTCTTGTCCTGCCCGGGCATCGAACCCTGGATCAGTTGGGTGTGTGCCGCTGTGCCATCACCTTGTCAGTGCTCATCAACAGGAGAACCATCAAGGCTTTACCCCAGTAGGGAGGCGGTGTCTGTTGCTTCCCACAGCCGCGTGGACACTCAGCACAGGTCCATGTGGAGCCATCTGCTTGGGGCCTCTTGGTACACTGTCATCTCAAAATATCCCACAATATTAGTTACTTTTCTCACAATTTGTACTCTTTTGCTCATGAAAGGATATGATTAGAGTTGATCTACATTATAATGTGTTTCCCTCTGCAGATATTAGAGCGGACAGTGTCATCTTCGTCACTACAGAATCTACAAAGAATCTATCGTAATGGGTCAAGTGCGTACCCTGACCTGCGGCTGCTTCCGGCGCCCTGTGCCCCGGCCTGTGCCCCGCCCTGTGCCCCGGCCTGCGTCCCGCCCTGTGCCCCGGCCTGCGTCCCGCCCTGCGTCCCGCCCTGCGTCCCGCCCTGCTTTCCTCCCGACGCTCCACACACCCACAACTCTCGCTGGCAACCCTGAACCCCTTTTGGGTTTTATTACTACAAATTGTAATTAAGATTGTAAACAAATACATTTCTGCCAATATGAATGGTTGAATACATTTTAAATAATAATATTAACAACATGTTAAAAGGAAATTTAGGAACTTTTGAATCTTTTAATTACAGAGTACAGAGTATTAATATATGCTTTTGTGATGGGTAGAAGGGAGAAACGATCTTCCAGGGGCCAGATTCACGAAGCAGCTACGCAAGCACTTACGGACGTGTACATCTTTCCTCAATCTTTGACGGCTTTGGTTACATTTATTAAACAGTTTACAAGCATGAAAACTTATCAATCAACTGTTGTTATTCTTATAAACAGCCTCCTGGTGCTTCGGAGCTCATTAACTGTTTAATAATTGTAAACAAAGCCGCCAAAGATTGAGAAAAGATGGACAGGTTCGTAAGTGCTTGCGTAACTACTTCGTGAATCTGGCCCTCTGGTCAGCTGGAGTATTGTGTTAGGTCTGAAAAATTGTGTTTCCATTATTTGTTCAAAGTGTATATCAGTCGATTATGTTGATCATAGTTTATATTACATGAAATATTGAAGCATGTACGGCCGGTGGGTGTATGCAACCCGTTCTCGCACTTGCTTATAGTCAATATTGGCTTATTTAATAAGTGCATATGTGACATACTAATTTATTGTGAATATTTTAGTTTAACTTGAGAAGCTTCATAGAAAACACCGACCTCACCTAACCTTCTTAGTATGTTAAGATAAGCATCTTATTGCTTCTTAATTACAATTATTACTTAACCTATACCGTTGATAGGTTAGGTAAGGTCGGTGTTTTCTATGAAGCTTTTCAAGGTAAACTAAAATATTCACAATCAATTAGTATGTCAAATATGCACTTATTAAATAAGCCAATATTGACTGTAAGGAAGTGCGAGAACGGGTTGGTGTATGCTCCGAGGTATTAATTTAATCGTGGGCATTGTGAGACTCGTTCTGTTCATTAATGAAGTGTGTTCAGGTTAAGGGCTAATTGTTCAACCCGTTCTCGCAGTTTCGTATAGTCAATATTGACTTATTAAATATGTGCATATGTGACATACTAATTTATTGTGAATATTTTAGTTTACCTTGATAAGCTTCATAACCTATTATAGGTATAGGTTAAGTAATAATTGTAATTACGAAGCAATAAGATGCTTATCTTAACATACTAAGAAGGATAGGTAAGGTCGGTGTTTTCTATGAAGCTTTTAAAGGTAAACTAAAATATTCACAATAAATTAGTATGTCACATATGCACGTATTTAGTAAGTCAATATTGACTATACGAAAGAGCGAGAACGGGTTGAATTGTTGCAGTCAGTGCCTCCTTGTGTGACAATCCTGTCAGAGGTCAGCCTCACGTTGTCATACGTAGGTCAAACAGGAGAAAGAGTCATAGGCTGTTAACTGTGCCAAGTAACTTTAGACTACTTGCATGAAGAACACAGCCGAAAGTCACCGATAAATATAATTTAACCAAAACAGATATAAAGACAATCAGAGAATGTAAAACTTGTTATAAATTGAATGCTTACACGTATGAAAGAAGTTTCTGTTTTTTGATAAAAAATTGTATGTCATAAGCCTAGTGGACACCGTTGGTTGAATAGCTGTCCGAGCAGGGCCGGACGACTCAAACAGAAAACGGAACAGTACGTCACTTTTGTGAGTCGATTTCATTTCAAATTACGTCCAAATTTGGCCATAGCGCCGCGCATACGAGCCAAAAGTGACGTTATTTTTAAGAGGACGGGTTGGGTTGAAAGAGACCAACGGTTATTATTATCATTAACATCTTTATTGACAAAATTAATTACAGTTTTGCCTAATCTGAGGATTTCAATTAAGCCAACGGTGTCCGCAGGGAGACTAGTACAATCTTTTGTGAACCAGTCTGTAGCCCATAGAAGCATACACTGTTGAAGCGCCATCAAAGTCAATATATCAAACTCACAATATTCACTAATGGAGTGTTTGTAACATTTTTCATGGTATCATACAGATAAGTTTAGGATAATAGGTTTAGTTTAGCACAACTGCAGCAATATATATATATATATATATATATATATATATATATATATATATATATATATATATATATATATATATATATATATATATATATATATATATATATATATATATATATATATATATATATATATATATATATATTAACATTATAAATTATTTAACAGTTTAGAAGATTTTTGTTTAATGGTTTTCAAATAATTTGCTCTGGAGCAGCATGTAGCTAAGCTAACAGTGTGTTGACAACTGACATGTAGCGGTCCACATTAACCTTGGTGGCCCACCTCGGTAATTGTTCTAGTTTATGTTCAACATGACACAATATGGCCATGATGTTATTGTCATGGCAGGATATGACCATGGTGTTATTATGGCAGGATTTTGCCATGATGTTATTGTTTTACTCCAGCTAGTAAACGAGGCACTCAGTTGGAAGTGTCTCAGACCGCCATATGTATTGCTGATTTGACTTATTACCTCTTAAGTTTAATGATCTGTAACAAAAAACAATTCTGGGTGGTAAGTATTATTTACAAATTGCTTATGAGGCATAAGCAATTGTATAGAGAAAATGTATAGAAAATGGATATTATTACCCCACAAACTTTGCGTTTGTGACCAGGACAGAAATATTGCGAAATTTATCTATTTTCCTCAACATTTCATAGAATCAGTGCTGAGTAAACTTGGAGTATCACACACAGAGATCACACTAACGTGATGCATCAAATGAACAAATAATCGACTGTCGTAGCTCAGTCGATTAAGGCAGTGTCTGGGATGCTCCCGGACGTAGGTTCGAATCCTCGTCACGGCCCTTGTGGATTTGTAAACTTGGAGTAACTCCATAATGGGGGACAAATACCCGACTCTTCATCTGGTTCACTGGCTGCACCTCAAAGAGGATTACAGCAGCATAAAGACCTTGCTGGAGGCCTTGATGCATGATGAGTACGGCAGGAAGATCATCACAGACTTCAAAACTGTGGGTTTTTTTCACACAATCGACTTCAGAATGGTCCAGGACGGACCGAAACGTCGTCGTCCCTTCACCTTCTAGTGTGTGGTCTGGTCAACTTACTTCAGCCACGTGCAGGCGATGAGTCAAAATAACGTGGCTAAAGTATGTTGACCAGACCACACACTAGAAGGTGAAGGGACGACGACGTTTCGGTCCGTCCTGGACCATTCTCAAGTCGATTGTGTCGAAACATCGTCGTCCCTTCACCTTCTAGTGTGTGGTCTGGTTAACATCAGCCACGTTATTGTGACTCATCGCCTTCAAAACTGTGGCATGCCTGAGGGGTCTCCGGCCTGTTTGGCCAAGTCTCCCTCTTATCTTTGCCTTTGATACAACAGGGACATCAGTAAAAACGAGAAGCTTCAAATTAGCCTAATTTCTCTATTTTCTCATTGGAAACGTCAATTTCAAAATATGACTTACTAGTCACAAGAGCAAAATTTGTGGAGAATATATCTCCATTTTCTGCCCTTTTTTATATATGAGAAATTAGGAAATAACTTTACTACCCAGAAATAAAAATCGTGTTACACTGTGTAGTTTAAGGTTATGTCAAATGGTTTTTCCTCCAAATGTACAAGAAATATTAAGCACCGCACAAAGCTGCTGTGTGTTTGTTGGTATGTATTTTTTTTGGCCAGTGATTTTTATGTCAGGTTAAGTGTCAGTACATTTGCTAGTTTTAAGCTGGATTACTTTATTTGTCTTAGATAATTGTAAATAAGTATGATTTAAAGCTTCAACATTATCCCATATATAATAAAATGCATTTTGCAGATTTGTTCAAACTAAAATGCATGTGCACTGCAGAGCTGTCAAGATTATGCAATGCATATTTCAAGATGCATTGTATATCTCATTATATTGCAATAAATGTACATTTGCAGTTCATGTATATTTTAGTACATGTACACTGGAATATAATGTTCAACTGCGGTATAATGATCATACATTTTAAGTGTAAATATGGAAAATATTAAGTATGTTTATTACAATATTTAATTGGACTAGACAGCAAAATAGCATCGGAATTTAATTAAATATTTTCCTTCACAAGTTAGCTGGTATTTCTCAGTTTTTTTATATGGAGATATTTATTGATGTTGACCAGACCACACACTAGAAGGTGAAGGGACGACGACGACGTTTCGGTCCGTCCTGGACCATTTTCAAGTCTATTGTGAGAATGGTCCAGGACGGACCGAAACGTCGTCGTCCCTTCACCTTCTAGTGTATGGTCTGGTCAACATACTTTAGCCACGTTATTGTGACTCATCGCCTGCATATGGAGATATTTAATTTGAAAATGTTATGTCTCTGTGAAAGATTATTGTAGTGGTGATAATTCATTATTAATGTCAATTCGCTGTAGACTGTTATGTGTTGATTTACTCCCTGTTACCTAGCAGTAAAATAGGTACCTGGGTGTTAGTCAGCTGTCACGGGCTGCTTCCTGGGGGTGGAGGCCTGGTCGAGGACTGGGCCGCGAGGACACTAAAAGCCCCGAAATCATCTCAAGATAACCTCCTGATGAATTCCACACACAAATTGGCTTATGAATAAGGTGAACCATGAGAACCAATATATGTGTGTGTGTGTTATACACAGAAATAGCTCAGTTGATTAGGGCAGCGTCTGGGATGCTCTCGGGCGAAGGTTCGAAGCCTCGTCACGGCCCTTGTGGATTTGTTCATGTGTGTGTGTGTGTGTGTTTAGTATTTGTATTTACTATTTGTGCCTGCAGAATCGAGCTATTAGCTCTTGGATCCCTTTTGGTTGATCGGTTGGAGTCTTTTTTCCAACCATAAAAAGTTGGAACAGCATATGGGCTGCTTCCATAGACAGCTGCTATGGAAGCAGCCCATAGCAGCTGTCTAACTTCCAGGTACCTATTTACTGCTAGGTGAATAGGGGAATCAGATGAAAGAAACTGTTTTCTTTCTGCCTCGGCCGGGAATCGAACCCGGGTCCTTAGGACTACAACACCCGAGTGCTGTCCACTCAGCAACAAGGACCTCTCCTGTGTGTGTGTGTGTGTGTGTGTGTACTCGCCTATTTGTACTCACCTATTTGTGCTTGCGGGGGCTGAGCTTTGGCTCTGGTCCCGCCTCTCAACTGTCAATCAACTGGTGTACAGGTTCCTGAGCCTATTGAACTCTATCATATCTACACTTGAAACTGTGTATGGAGTCAGCCTCCACCACATCACTGCCTAATGCATTCCATTTGTCAACCACTCTGACACTAAAAAAGTTCTTTTTAATATCTCTGTGGCTCATTTGGGCACTCAGTTTCCACCTGTGTCCCCTTGTGCGTGTTTCCCTTGTGTTAAATAGCCTGCCTTTATCTACCCTATCAATTCCCTTCAGAATCTTGAATGTGGTGATCATGTCCCCCCTAACTTCTGTCTTCCAGCGAAGTGAGGTTTAATTCCCGTAGTCTCTCCTCGTAGCTCATACCTCTCAGCTCGGGTACTAGTCTGGCGTGTGTGTGTGTGTGTTTGCGTGCGTGCGTGTTCAACCCCCTCCCCAGGCTATGAGTGTTCAGCATGTGGTCGACCCCAAAGACACATTCCTCACTATTAACGGACTGTTTAACCCGAAACTATATTTTATTAAATATAATAATATTTGTGTAATGTATATTTAAATTTCGTGCATAGTTAGGCCTAGGATGTTATGTGTTTTTGTTCTGCTGGCAATTATTTATATTCGCAGTACATGGAAATGAACCCGTCCTTAGGATATGTCCAATCCATCCAGCGGCCGACCCCACAGCCCACACACGCATTCATTAATATAAACATGCTGTTTTATTCACAATATGAATTCTCTCAAATATAAATGAATAATATATATTAGCATATTTATAGTTTCTGTCGGCAGTAACTATAACTGTGTTTCTGTGAGTGATGTAATTATAGAGTTGCGATTTGAACAGAAGTCGTTAGCAAAGGACTGTTCGAGAAATGTTCGAACATCATCACTTCCGTGTTTTACACTCATAAACAGGAAGGGGGGGGGGCTTGTCGGCTGTAGGGAATGAATATTGGCTTTGTAGATAAAGACGGGATAAAAGTATTATAGCGGTTCGATTTGAACATAGAAATGAGTGAATCACAGTTCAAGAATCGCTCGAACATAATCAGTTATGAGTCATGTGTGAAGTGTTTTTTTTTATTCATAAACATTTAGTTTGGTGGCTGGATTAACAATCATTTGGTCATTTGTCAGTTTATCTTTAGAAACAATGGGGAAATGCTCGTTAATTCAGCTGCCAAATCCCCAATCTATTAATGAAAAACGCATTGCAAACGACTCAAAACTGATGATGTTCGAACTTTTCTCGAACATAGCTTCACTCACGTCCTCTGTTCAATTCAGACATTTTGAATACACAGTACGTTTAAATTGCAGCCCGTCCTCTTCAACAAAGGCTAAATGCTCGTTTATCCAGCCACCAAACCCCCTTGTTTATGAATGAAAAACCGGTTTACAAGTGACTCAAGTGATGATGTTCGAACAGTGCTTCGCTGACGACCTCTGCTCGAATCAAAAAGAGTAAATGCTTCACCTTCCGACTACACAAATAATTGCCAACAGAACCTAATCACCTAACCTAGCCTACATCTAACTATACCTAGAACTTTAATATATAATAATATTAATGTATAACTGAGAATAAACCTATTTAAATACACAATATGTTGATATTAATGAATACGTCTTGGAGTTGCCGAATCCTGGACACAATTAGCCTGAGGACCAGTTACATTACAGACGAGGAGTCACAATAACGTGACTAAAATATGTTGACCAAACCACACACTAGAAAGTGAAGGGACGACAACGTCACGGTCCGTCCTGGACCACTCACAATCTACTTGAGAATAGTCCAGGACAGACCGAAACGTCGTTGTCCCTTTACTTTCTAGTGTGTGGTTTGGTCCACCAGTTACACTGTTTATGAGTCGACCTAGAGCTGCCGTGAGGTACAGACATGTCGCCTGGCTTCTGGTGGTTTGAGTTGGTTGCCGTTTTTGTCGCCAGGTGGTGTGGGCGTTTCTGCCCCTCCCCTGTTGTTGCTGACCGGCTGCGTGTTGACGTATGTGTGTGTGTGAGCCATTATCAATGATACAATGCGAGGCGTTAACCTGTGTTGCTGAAGAGTGGTAATGACGTGTTTACAGCGCCCTGCCTCACCACACCAGCCGCGTCCCCACACACCTGAAAGTTAAGTCTTTTTGTGTGTGTTCTTCAGTATATTATGCACCTCATTCCCATTGTATGACTTACTGGCTATTCATGCCCGTGCCTCCTCCTTGGCTGCTTAACCTTCATCAATCAATCAATTGTGTGAATGGTGGAAAAAAAAAGGTTACAAATTCACAATGTTTTCAGGGACTGAACCCTAATATTCCTTATGCAAAGCGATTTACATTTATGAACTGTTTACATACAATTTTCACTTATATATCAAGCAACGGAAATTCTTCCCCTCCCAACCCAGGTGGGGGGGGGGGTACAATCACCTGAAGGTACTATACATAAGACTGAAGGTAACTGCAGAAGGCCTATTGGCCCATACAAGGCAGTTCATATTTATAACCACCCAATCATTCATATATATGTCTAACCTACGCTTGAAACAATCAATACTACTTCTATTATGTTACGCGGTAATTGGTTCCACAAATCAACACCCCCCTGTTATTGTACCAGTATTTACCCAGGGCGTCCTTAAATCTAAACTTAAACCAATTTATACCCATTTAATTTATACACACGGTACGCGACCCTGGAATACTTGGCTAAGATTTTGGTAATATATCATTCTGAATGATATACTACCATTCACTTGACACTTGAGTGAAGGTAGTGATATACTTTTTGTTTGCTATTCATAATTATTATTGATTAAAACCCCGATACCGAAGATATGCGAAGCGATATGGGCTGCAGAATTAAAATCTTGTATTATGGTAATAAGTTGTGCAAATTCATGATGATTTATTAAAAATTGGTAAATTATTAAAGTTTTATCAATAATTATAATTTGAGGATTATAGCTAATTGACGTTATATGCAAAACTTCGTTTTGAGTTTCAACAATATTTTTTTGTAGCGTGGAGGATAATAAATGAATTTAATATAATTTAAGATTATTTTATTATACTGTATTATGTATTGAGACGAATATATTCCTCTGGCTGAAAACAAACTGAAAACTAAACATGCCTCATAATAACAATATCTTATATATATATATATTTACAAAATACATATCGTTATATAACCAACGTATTCGTTGTATATAATATCAGCGAGCAAAACGAAATATAAATGATAATAATAATTCTTTTTGTCGGGGACATTCTGACATTGTGTGTAAATTACGAAGAAATTAACGTGATAAACAATGTGGGAATCCGTTAATAACCCTTCTGAAGATGTATTATTAAATACGAAAGTACTTAAGGAAATTCCTATTTTTATCCTTCCTTCATGGTCTGACACTGTCACATTGTTCATCACGTGTTAATTTCTTCGTGGTATATACATATTAATTCACATTATTAATATGTGTGTGTTGGGAGGGAGGGGGGGGGTTGATATTTGTATTAGGCTAGGCTATATATACTAATGTGGATAGGTTATTAAATGGTTTTAGTAGTAAGTTCTGAGTTTAATGTGGCAGGGCAGACCTATATACCCACAAACAAATTTGCAGAATTATATGTCTAGCTAATACCATCAGGCAAATATGGGCAAACAACATTGATTCCTCTTTGATTTAACGTTACTCGAGTATAGCATATTTTGAAATAGCTGACTACGCTAAGAATGGTTGTTTCAAATCAAATGTTCTTGTACAACCTCTCCTCTCAACTAGCACTTGTCATTTAGTGTGTTATGGTCCCCAACGTACAGAATACAAAGTACTATAAAAAAATAGCGGTTCATATCGGGTTTTCTTTGCATCAGTGGGTAACTTTAGAGTTAGGTTAGGAGGCAGGGCCCAGATTCACGAAAGCACTTACGAACCTGTACATCTTTTCTCAATCTTTGGCGGCTTTGTTTACAATTATTAAACAGTTAATGAGCTTCGAAGCACCAGGAGGCTGTTTATAACAATAACAACAGTTAAATGGGACGTTTTCATGCTTGTAAACTGTTTAATAAGTGTAACTAAAGCCGTCAAATATTGAGGAAAGATGTATACGTTCGTAAGTGCATGCGTGAATCTGGCCCCAGGACAACATGGCGTCAGCTGGTGAGCCGCACGGCGTCTCTCCCGCTGAAAACCACGGTACCGCTGAGGAATCAACTAAACCACCATCACACGGCATCATATTAGGATAATGATGGTCTTCCGCCCTCTGAAGAGGATAAAAAAGGCTTTTTCCTGGACAGTAGACATCATAATAGAGCAAAGTTTAGAAGCGAGACGCGGCCCACGACGCCCCAGCCTAGCTAAGGTAAGACATTCTCACGGTCTCAGAGGTAAATGCAAATGCTTCACCCACGTACTACAAATACACACAGTCAACAGAACCTAAAACACCTAACCTAACCACACAATGGCTAAATATGCACAATATATAACAATATTAATTCATATTTCAGAAAATTCCTATTTTGAATAAACATCATTTTAAAATTGGTGAATGCGTCTTTGGGGTCGACCGCTGGATGGAATAGACTCTTAAGGACGGGTTGTAGAGCTGGACTCTGTAACTGACGTAGTGAACAAGGAGATTGGATATATATATATAGTGTTAAGAAGCATCATTTTACCCGTTGTTGTAACTCCTTGTTCAGTATATGCGGATTTTTAGGCTACTTCTCTCAACAATTATTTGTTTTATATCTGTCATTACACTTATCATTATTTTTCGCGTTATGCTCATGTTTTTCTTATCATAGTCTGGAAGACGGGAGACTTAAGTAACCGCAATAAGGGACCACTGAAACAATACCTCTTTAGTTTAATATATATATTTATATATTAGATATAAGTTATATAAATATATATGTATATATATATACATATAGCCAACACACATATATATATATATACATACACATAAATATATATACATTATATATAAGGTAATTCATAAATGTATTCAAATACATAGACGAGGGCTTTGATAACACTGTCATATAGGGGCTACGAGTCAGGGGCGACAGACAAGCACATTACTAACCACTGATATGCATATATGACCGACGATTTTTTAAGGTACTATTAACAGATACTATATACACCATTCACTTCACGCTCTGCTCTTTGTAAACCATTCATTGTAACACACACACACACACACACACACACATACACACACATAGCAAAGCACATAAAAGAAACCACTCCAGAAGATTGTCACAGGACTGCTTCCGGAGATAAGAGGCACGACCTATGAAGAAAGGAACCATGGCCTAGTGAGCACAGGCCCTAACGACACCCCTTACAGTATTCCAGGCTGTAGATAGGGTAGGCAAGGTTATGCTAAACCAGTAAGATTCGGTTCAAGGTTAGAAGTTGAAGACTAGAGTGATTGAGAAGGATGTTACAGTAACGGTGAATGGTGATACAATAGGGGTGAATAATAATACAGTAGGGTGAATGATGATAAACTACGGTGAATTATAATACAGTAGGGTGAATCATCCTGCCAGCGGTTCTCGACCTCATACAGCAGTGTAGCAATGGTTAATTCTCACCATTACCAAGTGGCTGACCGCCCTCATTATTGACAAAAGTTGTCATAGCGATCATACGTATCGACATTATAGATACGTCAGTTATTATTATTATTATTTATTATTATAGATCGATATCCCTTCTATAGCGAGGCATATATCGCGAAGGTATATGAAATAGGTAGAAAATAGCAAAGTAGAAATAGCCTATGCTACTCTATCCCTTTGAGATGTATTTTTATTGTCTCACTAAACGTACTTAAACTCGCGTACTAAGTTACGCTTTCTTACTCAGAGAATTTACAACCCAGTTATGTGGCAATGGTTCAAAATTCATGTATGTTATGCAGTTATTACCAAGATGGTTCAAATGTTCCTTGACAATTGCGAACTCTATAAAACCAAACTTATTTCAAGTTTTTGAAATAACGAAATTACTGGAATGGAGAAATATATTTTTTTAATACAATCGAAGCACTTATAAGTTCTGTAGACATAAAATTTACTCCATTTTGTGGTTTCGTAATGTGGATAATCCTCCAGCCGGATATTTAATTAGACTATTTAAAACAGTATATAAATATAGTAGTATAAATCCTACTGCCATGTTTACACGTCTGGGTGTTGGTGTGGGAGTGGGCGTTGATGTGGGAGTGGGCGTTGATGGGGTGTTGGTGTGGGAGTGGGTGTTGATGGGGTGTTGGTGTGGGAGTGGGCGTTGATGGTGTGGGAGTGGGCGTTGATGTAGTGTTGGTGTGGGAGTGGGCGTTGATGTAGTGTTGGTGTGGGAGTGGGCGTTGATGTAGTGTTGGTGTGGGAGTGGGCGTTGATGTAGTCTCTGAGTAAACAGCGAACTGAGTGAACTGACTGTTGAAGGTTAAAAGAAAAGAATAGAAAACATATTTTAACTTAACAGTTTCATGAGCTATAGCAAAGACAGGTTCCTATGACGTATGGAAGTATGAAGTTATAGAGAAATGAAGTTGATACAGATGACTGAGGTGCAACCCATACACGCGTGTAGCTGGTAGTGGAGATGCTCATCCCTGTTGCTCACTCCGTCAACAAATCCTACCTTCTAGATTAACTGGACACTACCAACCCCAGCAACCCACCTAACCTATCGAGTCCGGTGGATAGAATACGTTAATGTTTGTGAGCCGTTATTTATCTTAATAGGCTTTGAGAGGATGAGTTACACGGTTGTGAGCTAAGGCACGCGTTTAATTGGTTGTTGAGTGACAGTTGAAGTGTGAGTGATGCAGGGTGTCAGGAGAGCCAATGATAACTTAAGTTACACAATAATTCAAGGTCATAAAAGCATCAGGTGATATGTTTAAGAAAGCTGTCCAGCTTTCTTCAATCAAAGTGTAAGAATGATGCAATGGGCAGTGTGTATCAGGCGGCTGTAGGTTTGGCTGGCCACTATCACCGCTCCTAATACTCACATACATGTATACATTATCACAATGAAGACTTCTAAGGCACTTTCAATGTCCAGCGGTCAATGTCAGTCGCCCTACTGTAAGTTCTTGGAGGACATGGAGGTCTTATGCGTCCTTTCTTGTAGTGTGGGCAGGGGTCTACCCATTGTTTACGTATTGTAGTGTGGGGCAGGTTTGTACCTATTACCTAGATGTTGTAGCATGGGCAGGGGTCTACCCATTGCTTACGAATTGCAGTGAGGGCATGGTTCTACCCATTACCTACGTTCTGTAGTGTGGGCAGGGCTGCATCCATTACCTAGGTAATTGTAATGTGGGCAGGGCTGCCACCCATTACTTATAGGCGTTGTATTGTATGCAAACCTGCCACTCATTTCACATTTCATATGTCCAGGAGCTGCCATGTTTACACGAAGCTAACATTCTCAAAGATCGGCGTACTCGGGGCCGTGGCATGTCTCGAAGTGGTCGAGGAAATTAATATGTTTATCTGGCGGGAATAGCATCTGGCAGGAGGGGCAGACAAGCTGGCGGCGGGTAAGCGTGGCCACGCCATCGGGGCTGCTCCCTGAGCCAACGGGCGCACCAGAGCCGCTTCCAGGACTCTCACACTTGCTTCCTAACTCGTAACTTATGATGGCAGAGGCGATGTTCTTTGAGGCCATTGACTTGAGGTCGTCGTTTGACCGCGGGTTAAATGAGGGCGGCGGTGAGGAGGCGGCAGAGTTGGTGGCGGACGACAGTGTCGACGATGGGGGAGAATTGACGGCTGGGGTATATGTGAAAGTTGCCGTCGACGACGACACGCTATTGGGTGATATAGGGCCGTTGGCATCGTCTTGAGAGATTCGCCGTGCTTTCTTTAGTTGCTGACCCGACACGGCCCGGGCGGTGCGCCACGGCAGACCCGAGTCCTGCCGACTGTTTGCCTGGCCTCCCATGAGCCTCACCCAGGTGGAGTTGACCACTTTTCCTTGACTTCCTTGGCGATCTGGACTCTCGACCGACCACCAGTGCTCCTCCTTTACGGTTGCTGGCCCGGAGCTGCTATTCAATACTATCGTGGGACTCTTGACTCCTGAAGGAGGCAACGTGTCTCGCTGTGGCTGGCCACTAGTCACAGCGTCTGGCGTGGGACTCTTGACGCCCACCGAGGCATTAGAGGTCCTGCGCGGAGAGGTGCACGGTTGGGGACTGCGGCCGCCCCTCTGGTCTGAGCCCAGAGCGAAAAATATAGCTCCAGGAATGCCTCGTCCTTCAGAGTTGAGGCCAAATGTGGTGAGGGATATTCCGGGCGACGAGGAGCGGGATGACGTTGCCGAAGAGTATGTAGAAGCTGTTGGAGGGACGTTGGTGCCCGTGGCTGTGGTGGTGACAGTGATGGAAGCGAAGGCTGTGGAGTTGTTGGTAGTGTTGGAGGACTTGGTGGCTGTGGTGTCTGTGGTGGTGGTCTGTGAAGGTAGCGTAGTGCTGCAGGAGTTTGGAGAGATGATTGATATAGTACCATTATTTGTGTTTCTAGTTGTGTCGTGAGCAGACACGTTGTGAGACTGTGATACAGTGTCGCCGGCGGCTGTGTGAGATGACACTGTGTTGGAATTGGATTTTGGAGTCTCACCAGTGGACGGAGATGATGACTGGAAGGCTGTCATGGCGCTGGAAGGTTGGATACCCTTGACGGAGGTGTGGCCGGGTGCTCCAGAAACAGCCTCAGTGTTGACCCCAGCAGCACTGATGCTGGGTAAAGATGAGGAGGAGGAGGTGGTGTGGGTGGTCGGGCTGGAGCAACACACCGTCGTGGTCGCGTTAGTCACGTTTGAACAAGAGAGCGATGTGATGTTTGATGGACTTGTACAAGTGAAGGTCGTGGTGGGACTCGAACAAGACATTCTGGTGACTACGCCGTCTGAAGACTGGCTTCTTACGCTATTAGATGTGGGGTCGTCTGTTCTTCTGCGTCCTGTTACACCTGTACTGCTCTGTGTCTCGTGTTTTCGAACACTCTCCGTTGTTACTTTGTTTTCTTGGCTTGCTGCGTCGGGAGACTTAATCCTATCATTTATCTGACTGGATATTATCTTGTTATGAGTCTCTTCACTGACTGTGACAGGAGCCGTGTTGGTTGTGTTACTGACTGTGGTATTCTTAGTTATGGAAGGTGTGGAGTGACAGCCACTGCTGGTTGTGGTCGTGTCCCCACATAGGGAGCCCGGTGAAGACCCATTGTGTCCTTTAGCAGAGGTTGACGAGCTGCTAGGCGTCGCGGAGACCTGGGCTGCCTGAGCAACTTGCTTCATGGTTGAGGGCCGCTTGTGGGCCACAAAGGGTGGCCGAAAGTTGATGGGGGTGAGGACTGTGGAGGTGATGGGCATGTATCCTTTGGGCATGCTGGGTATGGACGGGGTTTTGATGCATGTGCCTAAGGGCGTGGAAGGGCCGCTTGACACTGGGGAAACGGGTATGGCGCTGGCCAGGATGGAACGCGCTCGGTGTTTTGCCGTCTTCTCGTCCTCCAACAGCCCGAGGCCTTTGCCTACCCCTGTCTGAAGGTTGCCCAACACCTTGGGTCGGGCACCCATGGCTTCATATTTTTTCTTGTCGTCTGTCGTTCCAACGAGGAGGTTCTTGGTGTCGTGAGCATGCGTCACGCGGGGACTGAGCGCCTTACTCTCGGTGTTACTGCTGGTAGAAGGCTCAGCCCCCGCTGTCTGCTCCATCTCTCTTCTGACATTGTTGCTGGTGCTGAGACTGGTGGGTCGGGGCCTCAGTACAGTGCTTCCCGTCTGCTGCTGCTGCTGGTGGTGGTGATGATGGTGAAGAGGGGCGCGGGAGGGCTGCTGCTGCTGCTGCTGCTGGGAGCGCTGTTGGCCCTGTACTACAGGCGACTGGTGCTCCGGGGTGGCGCCACTGAAGGCGATGTGGTGCAACATGGACACGGGGATCCATCCCTTCAGCGGAGTCTGCAACACACACACCTGTCTTAGTTATTGTTCTCACCACACATATATAACCTACACGCTGCATGTGTGTAGTTTATATATGTAAACACAATACAGTAACACAATACACTACACACTGTATAAGGTAGACAATACAATTACACTGTATATACAACACACACACTGAATAAGTTAGATAATACAATAACACTGTATATACAATACACTGCGTAACTTGATCAATAGAGTAACACCCTATACACGACACATTACACAAGTTAGACAATAACACTGTAAATACAATACACTGCATGCATCAGATAATACAATAACATCGTATACACTGCATAAGCTAAACAGTAAAATAACACTGTATACTGTATAATTTATGCCGTGAGTCGTGTAAAGTGGAGTATATTTCCTCTTATCATTGCTCCTCTCACGTCTCTCTTTCCCTTTCATTCTCCTCTTTCTCTCTCTCTATTGTCTTCTATTACACTCTCTAGGCTCCTTTCATTCTTCTGGCTGCTTTCACTGTCTTCCTTCCCTTCCCCCCTCTCACTTCTGTCCCTCTCCTCACTCACAATTCATCTCATATCTCACTATCTTCTCTATCCTCACTCTTTTATCCCTATTATTCCACTTTTCCTCTCTGATCTCTGTGCTCGGTGGGGCGGTACACGCCCACCTGGGGGACGTGGTGGGTGGTGGGCGGGGGTGGTGGGGCTGGCGACGGGGCCGACGGGGCGGGAACTGGAGAGGGCTGGGCGCTGTGGCTGGTGGTGCTGGTAGTTGTGGTCGGTGGTGGTGGTGATGGGGCGGTGGTGGTAGTGGTGGTGGCGGCTCGTCCACCACCACCACTGGCTTCACCTCCCTGTGGCAGCATACACCGCCAGCACAGGGATCTCTTGCTCTCACTGTCCGCTAACTGAAACAATAATAGAATCTATAAACATTATAATATCGTAAATCTCTCTCTCTCTCTCTCTCTCTCTCTCTCTCTCTCTCTCTCTCTCTCTCTCTCTCTCTCTCTCTCTCTCTCTCTCTCTCTCGTGTATATATGATATTTAATAAAAAATCATATTAAACTTTAAACAACAAATATTCCTGGCATTAATTAAATACCAGGAATAGCCAAAATAAGACTTTGGAGCGGAGCGTGGTGATCCACGGCGTCACTCCTCGTATTGAACGGTGTCACATGATGAATGACAAGTGAGCACACGGCAAGCAAGCACACACGGCAAGCCTTCATGTTTAGAATCTCACCAAGTCAGCCAAGAACCCTGGCTGGCTGGGTTCGAATCCTTCAGGAGTCAAGAGTTTTCGTTTATATATATATATATATATATATATATATATATATATATATATATATATATATATATATATATATATATATATATATATATATATATATATATATATATATATATATAGAAAATTGTAAAGTAAATTGTAAAGGAAGATGAATGTTTCGGCCGTTTTACAGCCGTTGTCAACACGAGACTCGCCTTACTACCCTTAATAATTGATTGTAAGCTTTATTGTACATGATTACAATCTGTGTGGCACTAACGTATACATGACATAACTATTACAAGTGAAGTAACAATCGAACAGAATTGTTTAATGCATGTCACTAACTAACTTGACAGCCATTGTAACTTAAACACCTCGAACTCCTCTGAGGTTGGACGCGTAGCCAAGATGCAGCAGGAATTTCCTCTCTGAACCGTTATCTATTGCTATCTAATATAGACGATATTGCAGCTAAGGTAAGCAGGGGGAAGGAATGATCAGTAATAATCCACGACAGTGATGACGAAGACATTGCATCTTCGGGTCCTGGCGCCTGAAGAGCAGCATAATTATGGAGACACATACAAGTGAGCAGTAAAGTCAATGATAAGCTTCTGCGGGCTACAAGTGTGGTAAGTGGTGCTGGAGTAATGTAAGGAGGTCATGAGGCAGTAATGTGATAATACCAACTTGGTGGACTCGTCCTGGTAGGACGATCCTACCGATCCTAAACTCGTGGTTTAGAGTTTAGACTAATCGATCCTAAACTCGTGATTTAGAGTTTAGACTAATCGATCCTAAACTCGTGATTTAGACCATTACTAAAGTTGCTGTGAAATAGTTTTAATATCAGCACAAATAACCTAACTCCCAGTTGGCGACTTGGAGCAGTAAATGTGACCGTTGACGCGTGAGGGACGTGTTAGTGGTCGCCGCCAGCTGCTGCCTTTCACTGGCTGTCCTGTAAGCCACACACATGTAAACGCTTATCCTTTTTGGCCAATTAGAATGCAACGCGAGAAATTTACTCCATCACACTTGGCCGCTTCCCAAATAGCAGGGGGGGGGGGCGCTGTCTTCTCGGGAAGTGCATTATTTTGCTCGCGTTATACTCCTTGGCCAATGAAAACTGCGTTGAGTTTATGTCAGGTTGTGAGCGGCCAACACAGCCGATTGAGGAACACAGTACTTTCATACTCCTGTGTGTACTCGTCTAGTTGTGCTTGCGGGTTTGAGTTTCTGCTGTTTGGTCCCGCTTCCCAGCTGGTGTACAGAGTCATGGGCCTATTGGGCTTTATCATATCTTCGTTTGAAACTGTATATGGAGTCTGCTCCTGCCACCTCATTTCTTATTGCATTCCATTTGTTAATTACTCTGACACTGATTTTTTTTTATAATGTCTCTGTGGCTCATTTGGATACTGCATTTCCAGCTGTGTTTCTTTGTGCGAGTACTACCAATGCTAAGTGGTCTATTTTTATCTATCTTGTCAGTTTCTCTCAGAATTTTGTAGGTGATAATCATGTCTGCCTTACTCTTCTGTTTTCCAGTGATATTATGTTTAATTCCTGTACCTTCTTCTCGTATCTCATACCTCTCAGCTCCGGGACTAGTCTGGTGGTATACCTCTGAACTTTTACTATATTCGTCTTGTGTTTGTCTAGATATCGACTCCAGGCTGGAGCCGCATACTCCAGTATTGGTCTGATGTAAGTGATATACAAGGTATATATCTGAATGATTCCTTACACAAGTTTCTAAAGTCAATTCTTATTTTGGCCAACCTAGCATATACCGCTGATGATATCCATTTGACGTGGGCTTCTGAACACAAGTCCAATGTGATATCAACCCCCAGATCTTTCGCTCTACTTGATTCTTGAAAGATTTCATCTCCCAGTGTGTACCTTGTGTCCGGCTTCCAGCACCTATTATCATTACATTACATTAACTTGTTAAATTCTAGAAGCCCTTTATTCGACCTTTCCTTCAGTTTGTCCAAGTTTTCTTGTAGTCCAATGCTATATTCCTCTGTCATAACCCTTTTTCATAATTTTTTCATCATCAGCAAACATTTAGAGGAAGAGTCTATAGACTTAATACCTTCTTGAAGATCGTTTACGTATATGGTGAAATTCTGTCAGGTCGAGCAGCTTTGGGCGTGTCGCGTTCCTGTAGATGCTTCCTAAACTCATCTCTTGGTGATTTTATATTCTTCCAATGCTGCTTGCTTTACCGCCACCTCCTTCAGTTTAGGTACTTCTCCTTGCTCTATTGTGAAACCTTCTAGAATCTCTTGTTGAGTTCTTCACGCGGTTCCTTGTCATTCTCTGTGTACCTGTCCTCCACCTTTTTCAGTTGTATAACCAGTTGTTTTCACCTTCACCGTTGTTTTCCTCCTGATGTGACTGCGAAGCAGTTTTGATTGAGTTTTGGCTTTACTAGCTATGACATTTTTATATTTTCTCTCCACTTTTCACACTGGTATCTCCATACTGACCGCTCCCTTGACATACTGACTAGGAAAGTGTCTCGTTGTTACGTCCAGAAGTTACACTCTCCATCCAGTGCCCCTCATGGGGGGTTCTCTGTTCTCCTGGTCTCTCTTTCCACGGTTAAAGTCTTCCATGATTAATAGTCTGGAGCCATTCCTGCTGGCGAAAAAGGCTGCCGTGGGCATATGTGGCTAGGTGTGTTTAGCAGGTGTTGGTGGGTGTGGCTAGGTGTGTTGAGCAGGTGTTGGTGGGTGTGGCTAGGTGTGTTGACCAGATGTGGCTAAAATTCCATTGACCCATCTCCCAAGCGGGGTCAATGGAATCTTCCATTGACTCTGATACTGCCAAGCGACACACAAGTAGAAACTGGCAACTTGTACAGAACACTATTCCAGTATTTACTAAGAACAGTGTGGCATGCGAAACCCCCGTCCTCTGACCAGAGAGTATAGAAGACCTGGGGGCCAGATTCACGAAAGCACTTACGCAAGTACTTACGAACCTGTACATCTTTTCTCAATCTTTGGCGGCTTTGTTTACAGTTATTAAACAGTTAATGAGCTCCGAAGCACCAGGGGGCTGTTTATAACAATAACAACAGTTGAATGGGAAGTTTTCATGCTTGTAAACTGTTTAATAAATGTAACCAAAGCCGTCAAAGATTGAGGAAAGATGTACACGTTCGTAAGTGCTAGCGTAAGTGTTTTCGTGAATCTGGCCCCTGGATAGTGTCTTCGTCAACTTGAGGGGTTGAGTATAGTTTGTAACCCTCTTCCAGTGGTTATGCCAAAGTATGAGTGTATATGACGCCCGTGACCTTATAGTTCCAGCGCCACGTCAAATCTGAATTCTGATTCTGAATCGATTTAGAGATCAAGGTGTAGATCGGAGGTCACAGACTGGGTTACAAATCTATGTACTCACCCACCTAGTTGTACTCATCTAGTTGTGTTTGCGGGGGTTGAGCTCTGGCTCTTTGGTCCCGCCTCTCAACCGTCAATCAACTGGTGTACAGATTCCTGAGCCTATTGGGTGTAGGTAGATAGGTTACTTGTCCCTACTTGCGACACCACCACCTGGCGGGCCGCAAGTGGGTGACAGGAGAGGCGTAGGTCGCTAGTAGGTGACAGGAGAGGCGTAGGTCGCAAGTAGGTGACAGGAGAGGCGTAGGTCGCAAGTAGGAGTAGAGGTGAATGGGTATTATTACCTTGGCTTGCAGCAGCTGGAGTTCGTGGAGCAGAAGAGCCGTCCTGGCCTGCGCCTCAGCCAAGGCGGTCTGCGTGGCCTGCTTCTCGCTCCGCTCCGCCTCCCAGTCGTCTCTGTGAGCGCGAACCTGCCGACAGAAACATGATCACTTGCTGCACCTTCCAGTGTCCACACCACCCGCGTCTGGAGCCAGACTCACGAAGCAGTTACGCAAGTATTTACGAACGTGTACATCTTTCCTCAATCTTTGACGGCATTGGTTACATTTATTAAACAGTTTACAAGCATGAAAACTTGCCAATCAACTGTTGTTATTGTTATAAACATCCTCCTGGTGCTTCGGAGCTCATTAACTGTTTAATAATTGTAAACAAAGCCGCCAAAGATTGAGAAAAGATGTACAGGTTCGCAAGTGCTTGCGTAACGGCTTCGTGAATCTGGCCCCAGGGTGCTGGAGGGCGGATATGGCCACCACTTGCACGGCGGCCTGCTCAAGCCACGGTGGTGCTCTACCTCAAGGATATGCACCACCGGCGTGTAATCCTCACCTTATAAAGCATAAACCCACCTGTGTAAACAAAACAAAATAAAAGAAGTTTGCAACAAAATTGCTGCTAAAGCTTAGACTTTTGAGCTAAGAGCATAGGCTAATTGAACTAGATCTCACAACCTAATTGATTAGAAGAAACAGAGGCAATATGATCACAACATACAAAATACTAAAGACATGATGGATAAAGACACCCTCTATAAATGAAGAAAAGGTAAGACAGGACGACATAACTGGAAGCTGGAAACACAAAGGAGTATAAGACATTTTTTTTTAGATATATACAAGAGTTGTTACATTCTTGTACAGCCACTAGTACGCATAGCGTTTCGGGCAGGTCCCTGGAATACGATCCCCGCCGCGAAGAATCGTGTTACAACCAAGTACAAGATTGTAACAACTCTTGTATATGTTGACCAGACCACACACTAGAAATTGAAGGGACGACGACGTTTCGGTCCGTCCTGGACCATTCTCAAGTCGATTCGACTTGAGAATGGTCCAGGACGGACCGAAACGTCGTCGTCCCTTCAATTTCTAGTGTGTGGTCTGGTCAACATACTTCAGCCACGTTATTGTGACTCATCGCCTGCAACTCTTGTATATATATGTCAAAAGTACACATTTTACTGTTGAGTTAAACAGAGGCTACAGTTATTAAGGATTTGTACCCAGTAAATCCTCCCCGGCCAGGATACGAACCCATGACAAAGCGCTCGCGGAACGCCAGGCGAGTGTCTTACCACTGCACCACGGAGAATGGTGGAACTAATCGTGCCTTGTGTTGGTGGTCAACACAGGATGGTCTGATGGTGGAAGATATTGAAGCCAACTCCAATCACAACTTTAACGGCAGATTCGACTACAATTCCGAACGTCAGAATAGTTAAATGATAATGCAACAGGTACATGAAGGCTAGAAGGTGCGGGGACCAGGAGCTAGACACCACCTTGATGGTACACTGAGAGGTCAGTTTAACACCAGGGTGTGGAACCCCTTCATAATAATGTTTATGATAATTTGTTGAGAGGCTCCCAGAGATTATTTGAGAAGATCTCTTGGCATTGACTAAGATATGAGTCCGCGTAGAATGACTCCTGGGGCGGTGGTGTCATGGCTTGGCCTGCCTTGGCCTGGCTTGGCCTGCCTTGGCCTGGCTTGGCCTGCCTTGGCCTGGCTTGGCCTGCCTTGGCCTGCCTTGGCCTGGCTTGGCCTGGCTTGGCCTGGCCTGGCTGGACCTGGCTCTTGGCCTGGCTTTGACTCTGATTAGGAAGCCATCCTGTGAACACAACCTTCTCTCTCTATCAATTCCTATCAATTCCAATTTCAATTCCTGTTAGTTCCTCTTTCAACTTCTGGCAGTGCTGACATTAACAGATTTGAAAGTCAGTATTTGTTGATAACCTTACAAGGTTGATGGGCTTCTGAGATCACCATCCCAGAGTACCTGGGGGTGGCAGAGTACTATCCCAGAGTACCTGGGGGTGGCAGAGTACTATCCCAGAGTACCTGGGGTGGCAGAGTACTATCCCAGAGTACCTGGGGTGACAGAGTACTATCCCAGAGTACCTGGGGTGGCAGAGTACTATCCTAGAGTACTGGAGGTGGCAGAGTACTATCCCAGAGTACCAGGGGTGGCAGAGTACTATCCCAGAGTACTGGGGGTATCAGAGTACTATCTCAGAGTACCGGGGGTGGCAGAGTACTATCCCAGAGTACCAGGGGGTGGCAGAGTACTATCCTAGAGTACTGGAGGTGGCAGAGTACTATCCCAGAGTACCTGGGGTGGCAGAGTACTATCCCAGAGTACTGGGGGTATCAGAGTACTATCTCAGAGTACCGGGGGTGGCAGAGTACTATCCCAGAGTACCAGGGGGTGGCAGAGTACTATCCTAGAGTACTGGAGGTGGCAGAGTACTATCCCAGAGTACCAGGGGGTGGCAGAGTACTATCCTAGAGTACTGGAGGTGGCAGAGTACTATCCCAGAGTACTGGGGGTATCAGAGTACTATCCCAGAGTACCAGGGGGTGGCAGAGTACTATCCCAGAGTACCTGGGGTGACAGAGTACTATCCCAGAGTACCTGGGGTGGCAGAGTACTATCCTAGAGTACTGGAGGTGGCAGAGTACTATCCCAGAGTACCTGGGGTGGCAGAGTACTATCCCAGAGTACCTGGGGTGGCAGAGTACTATCCCAGAGTACCTGGGGTGGCAGAGTACTATCCCAGAGTACCAGGGGGTGGCAGAGTACTATCTCAGAGTACCTGGGGGTGGCAGAGTACTATCCCAGAGTACCTGGGGTGGCAGAGTACTATCCCAGAGTACCAGGGGGTGGCAGAGTACTATCTCAGAGTACCTGGGGGTGGCAGAGTACTATCCCAGAGTACCTGGGGTGGCAGAGTACTATCCTAGAGTACTGGAGGTGGCAGAGTACTATCCCAGAGTACCTGGGGTGGCAGAGTACTATCCCAGAGTACCTGGGGGTGGCAGAGTACTATCCCAGAGTACCTGGGGTGGCAGAGTACTATCCCAGAGTACCAGGGGGTGGCAGAGTACTATCTCAGAGTACCAGGGGGTGGCAGAGTACTATCCCAGAGTACCAGGGGGTGGCAGAGTACTATCCCAGAGTACCGGGGGTGGCAGAGTACTATCCCAGAGTACCAGGGGGTGGCAGAGTACTATCCCAGAGTACCAGGGGGTGGCAGAGTACTATCCCAGAGTACCAGGGGGTGGCAGAGTACTATCCCAGAGTACCGGGGGTGGCAGAGTACTATCCCAGAGTACCAGGGGTGGCAGAGTACTATCCCAGAGTACCAGGGGGTGGCAGAGTACTATCCCAGAGTACCAGGGGGTGGCAGAGTACTATCCCAGAGTACCAGGGGGTGGCAGAGTACTATCCCAGAGTACCTGGGGTGGCAGAGTACTATCCCAGAGTACCTGGGGTGGCAGAGTACTATCCCAGAGTACCTGGGGTGGCAGAGTACTATCCCAGAGTACCTGGGGTGACAGAGTACTATCCCAGAGTACCTGGGGGTGGCAGAGTACTATCCCAGAGTACCTGGGGGTGGCAGAGTACTATCCCAGAGTACCTGGGGTGGCAGAGTACTATCCCAGAGTACCTGGGGGTGGCAGAGTACTATCCCAGAGTACCAGGGGGTGGCAGAGTACTATCCCAGAGTACCTGGGGTGGCAGAGTACTATCCCAGAGTACCTGGGGTGGCAGAGTACTATCCCAGAGTACCAGGGGGTGGCAGAGTACTATCCCAGAGTACCTGGGGTGGCAGAGTACTATCCCAGAGTACCTGGGGTGGCAGAGTACTATCCCAGAGTACCAGGGGGTGGCAGAGTACTATCCCAGAGTACCTGGGGTGGCAGAGTACTATCCCAGAGTACCTGGGGTGGCAGAGTACTATCCCAGAGTACCTGGGGTGGCAGAGTACTATCCCAGAGTACCTGGGGTGGCAGAGTACTATCCCAGAGTACCGGGGGTGGCAGAGTACTATCCCAGAGTACCGGGGGTGGCAGAGTACTATCCCAGAGTACCTGGGGTGGCAGAGTACTATCCCAGAGTACCTGGGGTGGCAGAGTACTATCCCAGAGTACCGGGGGTGGCAGAGTACTATCCCAGAGTACCTGGGGTGGCAGAGTACTATCCCAGAGTACCAGGGGTGGCAGAGTACTCACATGGAAACAATCAACAGCTCAGCATACTTGGCAATTTTCACCGAACAAAAATGTGGAGAGAATATTTGTCTTGGTGAGTGAGTGAGTGAGTGAGTGAGTGAGTGAGTGAGTGAGTGAGTGAGTGAGTGAGTGAGTGAGTGAACCACCTACCCCCCGTTCAGTCCAATGGGTGTGAGTGAGCTCATCAGAAATAGTAGCCATCACCCTCATAGAATTCTTACATGATTAGCAGAGTTGAGATGGTGATGAGGGAGATGTTATGAGTAATTCTCTATGCTGTGTGAGTGTTCCCAGCGCTGCGCAGGTACCTGTGGTACTCTCTGGGGTACTAGGCCACCCCCTGGGGTACCCCCTAGGGTACGAGGCCACCCCTAGGGTACCCCAGGGTGGTGGGGTTCAGGCAGTGAGTCAGAGGATATATTAGTGTGTGGGTCAGTCTTTATTTACTTCTGAAAAGTGGCGTGGGCGTGTCTCAGAGGGCCACCTGGCCACACTACCACCTGGCCACACTATCACCTGGCCACACTATCACCTGGCCACACCACCACCTGGCCACACTACCACCTGGCCACACCACCACCTGGCCACACTATTACCTGGCCACACCACCACCTGGCCACACCACCACCTGGCCACACTACCACCTGGCCACACCACCACCTGGCCACACCACCACCTGGCCACACTACCACCTGGCCACACCACCACCTGGCCACACTATTACCTGGCCACACCACCACCTGGCCACACTACCACCTGGCCACACTACCACCTGGCCACACCACCACCTGGCCACACCACCACCTGGCCACACTACCACCTGGCCACACTACCACCTGGCCACACTACCACCTGGCCACACCACCACCTGGCCACACTACCACCTGGCCACACTACCACCTGGCCACACTACCACCTGGCCACACCACCACCTGGCCACACTACCACCTGGCCACACCACCACCTGGCCACACTATTACCTGGCCACACTATTACCTGGCCACACTATCACCTGGCCACACCACCACCTGGCCACACCACCACCTGGCCACACCACCACCTGGCCACACTATTACCTGGCCACACTATTACCTGGCCACACTATCACCTGGCCACACCACCACCTGGCCACACTACCACCTGGCCACACCACCACCTGGCCACACTACCACCTGGCCACACCACCACCTGGCCACACTACCACCTGGCCACACCACCACCTGGCCACACTATTACCTGGCCACACTATTACCTGGCCACACTATCACCTGGCCACACCACCACCTGGCCACACCACCACCTGGCCACACCACCACCTGGCCACACCACCACCTGGCCACACCACCACCTGGCCACACTATTACCTGGCCACACTATTACCTGGCCACACTATCACCTGGCCACACTATTACCTGGCCACACCACCACCTGGCCACACCACCACCTGGCCACACCACCACCTGGCCACACTATTACCTGGCCACACTATTACCTGGCCACACTATCACCTGGCCACACCACCACCTGGCCACACCACCACCTGGCCACACCACCACCTGGCCACACTACCACCTGGCCACACCACCACCTGGCCACACTATTACCTGGCCACACTATTACCTGGCCACACTATCACCTGGCCACACCACCACCTGGCCACACCACCACCTGGCCACACCACCACCTGGCCACACCACCACCTGGCCACACCACCACCTGGCCACACCACCACCTGGCCACACTATTACCTGGCCACACTATCACCTGGCCACACCACCACCTGGCCACACCACCACCTGGCCACACCACCACCTGGCCACACCACCACCTGGCCACACCACCACCTGGCCACACCACCACCTGGCCACACTACCACCTGGCCACACTACAAAATGAAGAAGTGGTCCAACAAATGGCTACTAGAGTTAAACTCAAGCAAGTGTAAAGTAATGCAAATAGGTGTGAGAGTAGGAGGCTGGACGCAAGGCGCCAGTTTGGAGATTGGCGCCTTGTGTCAGCAAGAGAGAGAAATATCTGGGGGTTGATATCACGCCGCACCTTGAAGCCCGCATCAAAAGGATATCATCAGCAGCATATGCGAGGTTGGCCAACATAAGAACTGCCTATAGAAAGAGTACTATTGGCCAACATAAGTACTGCCTATAGACAAAGTACTATTAGCCAACATAAGTACTGCCTATAGAAACTTGACTAAGAAATAATTCAGGACCTTGTATACCACATATGTGAGACTAATCCTGGAGTATGCGGCTCTAGCGTGAATCCATCTCTAGTCAAACACAAGACGAAGTTAGACAAAGTTCAGAGGTATGCCACCAGGCTAGTCCCCGAGCTGAGAGGTATGAGCTACGAGGAAAGATTACTGGAATTAAACCTCACGTCACTGGAATACAGAAGAGTTAGGGGAGACATGATTACCACATAAAAAATTCAAAGATGAATTGACAGGGTAGATAATGACAAACTATTTTGCACGGATGGTACTCGAACAACGAGGAAACTTTGTTCCCAAATGAGCCACAAAGACGTTAGAAATAAAACAAAAATCAGTGTCAGAGTAGTTAACAAATGGAATGCATTAGGACGTGATGTGACGGAGGCTGACAACATTTACACCACATCTGAAGCACAGTTTCAAATGTAGATATGATAGAACTTACTAGGTTCAGGAACCTGTACACCAGTTGACTGATGATTGAAAGGCGGGACCAAAGAGCCGAAGTTCAACCCCCCGCAAGCACAACTAGGTGGTGTACACACACACACACACACACACACACACACACACACACACACACACACACACACACACACACACGCACGCACGCAGGTCCTCGCGGGCGAGTATAGAGTGCTCGTGAGTCACACTTCACGGCCGATTCCCGGTAGAAACAACTGGCTGAGTTTCTTTCACCTGATGCCTCAGTTCGTCTAGAAGTAAATAGGTATCTGGGAATTAGACAGCTGCTCCGGGCTGCATCCTGTAGACTTGTGTACTCACCTATTTGTGCTTGCGGGGGTTGAGTTTTGGCTCTTTGGTCCCGCCTCTCAACTGTCAGTCAACTGGTGTACAGACTCCTGAGCCTACTGGGCTCTATCATATCTACATTTAAAACTGTGTATGGAGTCAGCCTCCACCACATCACTGCCTAATGCATTCCATCCTGACACTGAAAAAGTTCCTTCTAACGTCTCTGTGGCTCATGTGGGTACTCAGTTTCCACCTGTGTCCCCTTGTTCATGTCCCACCCGTGTTGAACACACACACACACACACGTGTGTGTGTGTGTGTGTGTGTGTGTGTGTGTGCGTGAGGGAATTATCAGGGGGAAAACGCCAAGCCATTCATACTATATAACACTTGGAAGGGGTCAGGATAATGATTTAGGATGGGATGGGAGGAAGGAATGTTGCCCAACCACTTGGACGGTCGGTAATTGAACACCGACCTGCATGAAGCGAGACCATCGCTCTACCGTAAATATAAATAATAAACATGATAGAGAAAATTACATCTGGAATCAGTATCAGACAACCGACGGTTAGAAAGGCGGGGTCCAAGAGCTAGCAGCTCGAGCCTGTGGGGGCGAATAATAAATATAAATAGTGAAAAGAGAGAGAGACAGAATGATAGACGGGTGACCCGCATGTGAGGCCGCAGTTACCTAATACTGAGCAACATTCCACCACCACCACCCACCCGGCCGGGTGTGTTGTTGACCCGGGGTATATTTAGCCGCGGGCCCGCTCTCTGCCGCCCACCACACACTATACTGGTATGACCCTGGTATATATAGACACCCCCTCCTTGTCATCACTGGTGTGGGTGTGGTGACGGTGTGGGGGTGTTGGTGTGGTCATGGTGTGGGGGTGATGGTGTGGTCATTGTGTGGGAGTGTTGGTGTGGTCATGGTGTGGGGGTGTTGGTGTGGTGACGGTGTGGTGACGGTGTGGGGGTGATGGTGTGGGGGTGATGGTGTGGTGACGGTGTGGGGGTGATGGTGTGGGGGTGATGGTGTGGTGACGGTGTGGGGGTGATGGTGTGGGGGTGATGGTGTGGTGACGGTGTGGGGGTGATGGTGTGGGGGTGATGGTGTGGGGGTGCTGGTATAAAACGCTGTATAAAACACCCTAAAGACACAACTTGAGAATGGTCCAGGGCGGACTGAAACGTCGTCGTCCCTTCACCTTCTAGTGTGTGGCCTGGTCAACCCTACAGACACTAGAGAGTACACCAAGGTCTTGTAGTGTGATCAACAAGTGCTGCTACTCAGGATAAGAGGATGGGAAGGACGTGTATGAGTGAAGGAGACAATACCTGCATCTCCAGGAGAGTGACATGTTCGTCATGGTCTGCCTGGAGCTTGGTGAAGGCAGCCCTCAGACGTCGCACCTCGGCCTCCGGACCAGTCTCACCCTCCACCTGCAACACATCACCCTCCAGCTGTCTCAAAGCTCTTAGTAACACTTACAAAATATTAGCTCTTCACTAAGCAGGAATTGTCACACGGCTCATTCACACTCTCGTACTGACTTTCTGCTTTGTTATATGATCTCAGATTAAGAAAGTAAAGATAGGTTAAATATCACGAATCTTGTGATATTTATCGACATAATATAAAATATTTCACTCAAAGGAACATTCGAGGGGATTGGAATTAAATCTGTAAAAATAGGCATTAGTGGGTGTTGGCGGGAGGAATCTTCTGAATGGCGAAGTGGGTGGGGGGGAATGTTGGGTTGTGGGTCGTAGCTTCTCCTGTATGGCGGCGGGTTAGACGGGTTGGTGAGGGACGAGGGATAGGGACGAGTGAGTGAGGGCGGTGGGCGGGGGATCTAAGTGGTTAGACTCACCTGTATAGCGGAGTGGGCGGATTGGTGAGGGTGGTGTAGTTCCTGGATGGTAGTTAGTAGACGCTGGACGTACTTCTGGCGTTGGTCGTGGTAGTTGCGCCACTGGCCGTTCACCTCGGCTGCCTGGGGGGAAACACCCTGTTCTCAACCATTCCTAAACCCTCATATTATACCATTCATATAACCGTCATATTTTCAACATTAACCGTAGAAAAACAAACAACTGTATTCAACATGGAAACAATAACCTTAGGTACACACGTGCTATATTTCCTACTAAATACTGACCTCCTTTAGTGCAGCTTTTAATTTCTTATTTTCTTCTCTAAGTTGCTTGAGTTCCGCCTCCTCCGAGAGCTCTGCCGTGTCCTGCCCGTTTTCTTCCGACGTGAGAGACCATTTACTCAACAAAGATTTACATCCATTTTCTTTGATAGTGTCGGTGCCTTCAATGTTCCAGGGAACACTTTCCAGTGAAGTGATTGTGTCGGTGCCGTTCTCCAGTGGCGATGGACTAAAATCCAGAGTTCTCGCGCCATTTTGAGTTGTGGGGATGCCATTTATCTGGGTGCCGAGGTGCCGCTCCTCCCGCAGGGGACCGTTGAAGTGCAGCGTGTCATCGAGTCGTGTTAAGTGCAGCTGTGTCTTGTCGTCACCGCGCGGGGAGTTCAGGTGTAATTTGTCGTCGAAGCGGGAGTCTTTCTCAATGGCTCGTCGTGTGAGGTCGACGGCTCGAGAGTCGTAGTTGTTCTGGTTGTTGAGCGAAGCGTCCAGCACCCCTTCACCACCCTCTTCCTCGGGTGACGCTGACTGTAACACATAAACAATAATGAAGGTGAGGAGTCACAATAACCTGGCTCAAAAATGTTCACCAAACTACATTCTAGAAAGTGAAGAGACGACGATGTTATGGTCTGTCCTGGACACAATCGACTTGAGAATGGTTGACCAGACCACACACTAGAAGGTGAAGGGACGACGACGTTTTGGTCCGTCCTGGACACAATCGACTTGAGAATGGTTGACCAGACCACACACTAGAAGGTGAAGGGACGACGACGTTTTGGTCCGTCCTGGACACAATCGACTTGAGAATGGTTGACCAGACCACACACTAGAAGGTGAAGGGACGACGACGTTTCGGTCCGTCCTGGACCTTCACCTTCTAGTGTGTGGTCTGGTCAACATACTTTAGCCACGTTATTGTGACTCATCGCCTTGAAAATAGTCCAGGACGGACCGAAACGTCGTCGTCCCTTCACTTTCTAGTCTGTAGTTTGGTCAACATAACAATTATTGGTATAACTACATCAGTCTGTCTGTACAGGTATTTCTGCATCAGCCTGTCTCCTATATCTACCACACTCCACCACCAGCCTGCTGACACCACAACTCTGCTTCAGCCACGCCATCTGTATGCACCTTCATCATATAACCCAATTATTAAAGCATAAGGAGGAAGCATTTGAAACAAGACGGGTTCAACTGATAGGAGGAGTAAGTGAATTAAAACTAACAATATAGAGAGATGGACAAGAAGCAACATGATCGCAACGTAGAAGATACTAAGAGAAATAGACAAAGTGGATTAAGACAATCTGTTGAGACAGAGGTGGGGAGGGGAGGAAGCAGTCCACTATTCATAGCTTCAAGAGCAAGTGTGACAGAGTACCGGACTACTGGAAGGTATAAATGTACTAAGTACAATAATTACGGGGCTAGTCTCGATCCCCCGAGACATAATGAGGTAAAAACCAGTAGATAAAGGGCGGTGAGGACGTTAGGAGGAGAAGGAGCGGGCTCCCGTCTCCCACAAAGCCCCTATCCTCAGGCTAGGCTTGTACAGGCGGCCACCCAACCCAAACACTTACTCATCAATATTAACTCACTGCGTATTCAAAATGATGATTATTGTTTAATATAAGGTAATATTGCATTCTAGAATGTATTAAATAGTAAGCCTGATGTAGGTTAAACTAGGGGATTAGTTTCTGTTGGCTATCGTATTCGTAGTACATGGGTGAAACATTTATAGAGCTGGGATTCGAACAAAGGGCGTGAACGAAGCGCTTGAAGAGAAACGTACATCCGTCATCAGTTGTGAGTCGTGTGTAAAGTGTTTTTCTTAATTAAACGTGGAGTTTGGTGCGTGGATCAACAAGCATTGATGGTGAAGAGGGCGGGCAATGTCCCTACCACTACTAAGCCAGTCTATCCTTCAAGTATTGGCCAGATCCATGCCACTGCGGCTCCTCATTGTCAATGTAAACAAACCAGCAATACACGACTCGCAGCTGATTACGTTCGGACGTTTCTCGAACAATGCTTCACACACGACGTTCTGCACATACCTGTCCTGTATCGTCCGCAGTAACAAACAGTACGAACAAATAAACAACGATACAAACAATAACAAATCAAATCAATAAAGGAGTTAGGCCCAGTAAACAAGAGTGAAAAACAATAGGAGAAGCAACAGCGACATCGCTGCTTCCCTCAGCATGTGTCACTAGTGAGGCGGACCGCTCAACCCACATTTCTGCCAACGGAAACAACTCACCTACCGTAAAAATAGGTCCTCCCCCCCTCCCACGGCCTCTCCCACATTCTCCCTAGCCCACCCCACGGCCTGTCTCCCCTGGAGGGGGAGAGGAATGTGGTGTGTCCTCCCCTGGGGGAGGCATTAGTCACCGCAGGCGTTTGGGGAGTGTTGACGAGACGGGACTCTGAAACTCGTAAAGCCACGGAGTATTATGATGGCGCGGCAGGGGTCACGCTTGAGGGTTGAGAGGTAGCAGGGGTCACGCTTGAGGGGTAACAGGTGGCAGGGGTCACGCTTGAGGGTTGAGAGGTAGCAGGGGTCACGCTTGAGGGGTAACAGGTGGCAGGGGTCACGCTTGAGGGTTGAGAGGTAGCAGGGGTCACGCTTGAGGGGTAACAGGTGGCAGGGGTCACACTCTCTACATTTGTGAACAAAGCATCTTCAGGGACAGTTCAAAAGATCTTCTCCCTCAACTCCCTAAATATATTTATTCTATTTACGCAGTATTATTAATAACGGTCCATATCGTTACTATATGTGAATTTGTGTAAGTATGTGTATCATCGTACATATATTGACGTAATGGAAAATTAGAAAGTAGAATTTGGTACTTTTGAAGTTGAACAAACGGGTAAAGATTTTGTATGTATATGTTGTTAATAAACTCTAACCTAACCTAACCATCTTTGGCTTAATACACGCTATCTGAGGGCTAATAAAGTATATATATATATATATATATATATATATATATATATATATATATATATATATATATATATATATTATATATAGCTATAGGCCTAGAAATATTTAAGTTTCGTATTTAGCTTTATTTTGACCTGACTGTTAAGTGAATAGTACCAGATTCTACTATCTAATTGGCCTTTACTTTAATATATGATGGTCCATATAGTGACAGTAATTAATATATAAACAGGAGGATGGGTTGACGTATTAGAGTCAGTATATTAGACATCCGATGGTTAGAAAGGCGAGGCCCAAGAGCTAACATCTCGATCCTGCAGGTATACACACACACGCATGTGCATACACAGATATATACACACACACACACACTACTGGGGGGCCTGGTAGCCTGGTAGATAGCGCGCAGGACTCGTAATTCTGTGGCGCGGGTTCGATTCCCGCACCAGGCAGAAACAAATGAGCAAAGTTTCTTTCACCCTGAATGCCCCTGTTACCTAGCAGTAAATAGGTACCTGGGAGTTAGTCAGCTGTCACTGGCTGCTTCCTGGTGTGTGTGTGGTGTGGGGAAAAAAAGTAGTTGGTAAACAGTTGATTGACAGTTGAGAGGCGGGTCGAAAGAGCAAAGCTCAACCCCCGCAAACGCAACTAGGTAAATACACACACACACACACACACACACACACACACACACACACACACACACACACACACACACACACACACACACACACACACACACACACACACACACTGTAACCCCATTGTACTCGCCACTCTCAATTGAATAATATTGTGAGTTGCCTTGAGGTAAATCTCTGGGCTTTGATCCGGCCAGTATCTCTATTCTGAGAACATTCCCGAGAGTGCTGTTGCTAATGCAGGAAGTGAACTGTGTGGTGCGTTTCCCGTAGAGTTGTAGGACTCCGGGAGGAGGTCTGAGGTCAGATTCACGAAGCAGTTACGCAAGTACTTACGAACGTGTGCATCTTTCCTCACTCTTTGACGGCTTTGGTTACATTTATTAAACAGTTTACAAGCATGAAAACTTGCCAATCAACTGTTGTTATTGTTATAAACAGCCTCGTGGTGCTTCGGAGCTCATTAACTGTTTAATAATTGTAAACAAAGCCGCCAAAAATTGAGAAAAGATGTACAGGTTTGTAAGTACTTGCGTAACTGTTTTGTGAATCTAGCCCAGTCTATGTATGACTAACCATCCTGCGAGATGGGGACTTTTAGTACCACTGCTGCCTTATTCACTCTTGTTTTGATGATATTCTCATAATGCACCCAGAGTCTGCCAGTGCAGACTACTCATCACATGCCTCTGTATGACTAACCATCCTGTGTGATTAACGTTTGAATTCCAACATTCGTATTTACAAATTGCATAAATTTAGTCAACAAAAGCTTCAAAAATTTTCAGATTTATTATTTAATTCAAATGACTTGCACAAATGTCTGACCCTTGTGTTGAACCTAAATTGGCGCAATTAGTAAATAATGAATTTGGGACACTAGGCGTCAATCATTTAAAACCGTCAGTACTCAACAAGAACAGTTTTCCCTTACTGTCTGCCAACCACTTGGACTGGACGGTAGAGCGACGGAAGAAAGTAAAGAAGCAAGGAAGGAAGGAAGGAAGGAAGGAAGGAAGGAAGGAAGGAAGGAAGGAAGGAAGGAAGGAAGGCAGAAAGGAAGGAATGAAGGAAGCGCTGGGCCAAGGAAGTGACCGCAGCGAGTGTTTCTTCGGCCCCTCACATGTCACTGGTTAGCTTAGCATTTTAAAAGCACCGAATCACCTTCTGTGGTTGAGTGTTCAATAAACCCCTGAACTCTATGTTTAACACATCTCTAACCCTGTCCATGGAGGACAGAAGAAAATGTATATATGCTGGTTAGCATTGTAAATGTGTGGCCACGTCTGTGGTAGAAAATAATAATAATAATAAAAAAAACTGGTTATTGACCAGAGAGGAAGTGTCAAGAACTACCTCAGGAGAGCAGAGGTCGAGGAGGAAGAGTATAACAGTGTCTGTGGACAAGGAGCGGTGAGAATTGGTCACGAAGTGAACGGTACGAGGCTCACAAAGTCAACATCGCAAAAGACAATGTTAAAAGTTCATGATTTCCAAATCAAAGGACACCAAGATGAGGGTGAGATCAGAGATAAGCTTGGTTATAAGTTACTATAACGAATCACACAACATTACTAACACGCTCCTAATCTAAACTAACCTGTATTATCTATTATAAACCTAGCCAGCCTAGCAACTCCGCCAGGACGTACCCACTAGCCTAGCTCTCGGGAGGAAACATGCAAAAATACCCACATCATTCCCCAGTGTTAAGGGCAGGGTCCGTGTTTACTAATTAAGTAATATTTACTAGCACTCAGATTTAACATTTTGACATTGTGTGCCAGAATGTGTTGGCAACAACCTATTCTATCCTCAGTGTTTTGTTACACAGGAATTTATAATATATATATGTATAATCAACCTTGATTTATAATTTTCTTGACAACTGTTGACGGTAAAATGAAATATGGAAAGAACAATGTGTAATATACCTGGGTGGTGTACTAGGCTATGTAGACTCATGTTTACACCCAGTACTGTTTAGTACTGGGTGTAAACAAGAGGGTGTAGTGGGTGTAGACACTCCCACTACACCCTGCTGATGGGGGCACCTTCTCCCCCCCCCTATTCCACCTCTTGAAGAGGGAGAGGGTGGGACTCTCCCATGGGCATAATACAGGGCACATGAGTCTGTTCTTCAAGGCCACGAGCTGTAGGAGTCAAACTCTGGTGTTTAAAAGTTGCTTTGGACAAGAGCTTTTGTTGAAAGCTCTTTTGCAACAGCCCGGGGGGGGGAGGGAAACCACTATTATATATTTCAAACGCCCAGCAACACTCAGCAACACCCAGCAAGGCAGACGTAAACACTGGCCATGAGAACCAATAATACCCAAGCCCATAAAGTGTAGTGTTGCAACTGTGAGTGTTGAAGGTCTCACTCATGTAAATATTGTTTAGAAAAGTGTTGCGTTTGTGTTTATATTTAACATTGCTATATTTGTCTGTGCTAAAGTTAGCGGCTGTTCTTGTTAGTTTTATCACTGTTGTTGTCACTGTTGCTGTTGTTGTCAGTAATGCTGGTGTTGTTATCAGTATTGCTGGTGTTGTTGTCAATGTTGTTGTCAGTGTTGTTGTCAATGTTGTTGTCAGTGTTGTTGTCAGTGTTGTTGGTGTTGTTGTCAGTGTTGTTGGTGTTGTTGCCATTGTTGTCAGTGTTGTTGCCAGTGTTGTTGTCAGTGTTGTTGGTGTTGTCAGTGTTGTTGCCATTGTTGTTGGTGTTGTTGCCATTGTTGTTGTTGTCAGTGTTGCCATTGTTGTCAGTGTTGTTGCCAGTGTTGTTGTCAGTGTTGTTGGTGTTGTTGTCAGTGTTGTTGTTGTTGTCAGTGTTGTTGTCAGTGTTGTTGGTGTTGGTGTTGTTGTCAGTGTTATTAGTGTTGTTGTCAGTGTTGTTGTCAGTGTTGTTGGTGTTGTTGTCAGTGTTGTTGGTGTTGTTGTCAGTGTTGTTGTCAGTGTTGCTGGTGTTGTCAGTGTTGCTGGTGTTGTCAGTGTTGCTGGTGTTGTCAGTGTTGCTGGTGTTGTTGTCAGTGTTGCTGGTGTTGTTGTCAGTGTTGCTGGTGTTGTCAGTGTTGCTGGTGTTGTCAGTGTTGCTGGTGTTGTCAGTGTTGCTGGTGTTGTTGTCAGTGTTGCTGGTGTTGTCAGTGTTGCTGGTGTTGTCAGTGTCACTGTTGTCATTGTCACTTGTCATTGACAGTGTCACTGTTGTCATTGACAGTGTCACTGTTGTCACTGTCAGTGTCACTGTTTATACTTTAAGCCTGTGTATAGATGTATACTTCAGGCCTATGTCGAGGTCCCCCCCCCCCCACCCCCTCCAGGGCCGAACTACTGACCCTCCCATAGAATACAACCTCACAAAAGCTGAATAACCCTTGAGTATCTATTTACTCCTAGGTGAAGAGAGGCATTAGGTGAAAGGAAACGTGCCCAACCATTTCTGTCCCGCCCAGTGAATTCCACTTGTTGACCACCCGTACAAGGTAGGAGTATTTCCATACATTCCTTCTTCCCATTTGTGTTTCCAGTGTCCACTTCTGTAGCCTCGTTTCACTTTCAATTTCAAGAGGTAATTCTTATCCACCTTGTTTATTACCCTCGGTATCTTGTATGTTGCGATCATGTCCCCCCCTACCTGTTTCCTTAAGAGTTTAACTTACAATAACATGTTATACGCCTAGATTTATTTGTTTCATCATCAGTCTAGGAATTTAGGCTAAGGATGCAGCACATGGGTACAGCCTATGGGTACAGCCTATGGGTACAGCCTATGGGTACAGCCTATGGGTACAGCCTATGGGTACAACCTATGGGTACAGCCTATGGGTACAGCCTATGGGTGCAACCTATGGGTACAGCCTATGGGTTCAGCCTACACCTACAGCCTATGGGTTCAGCCTACACCTACAGCCTATGGGTTCAGCCTACACCTACAGCCTATGGGTTCAGCCTACACCTACAGCCTATGGGTTCAGCCTACACCTACAGCCTATGGATACAGCTTACAGGCCTCGATGGAATGACTAACTTGTAAAACTGCTGATATCTGTCATGTATAAATTTCAAGAAAATTGTAGTCCATCTGGTTATTTAGTTAAAATTATCAACTGCTGTTCTGTGGCAATTTCTGCTGTTCCATCCAACATGGAAACTCATTCTTTTTTCTACTTTAGTTCAATTTCACGGTTTTGATCTCAATTAGTTTTAAATCTTAGTTTTTAGATAAGATAAGATGTTTATTCAGGTAAATGTATATACAGTGAAAATGAGTTACAAACATAATGTTGGATTAATAGTTAGTACATACAATGCCTGAAGCCACTAATATGCACAGCGTTTGGGACAAGTTGTAGGGAAAATAAATTAGACTAAAACTTAATAGTAATTGAGATCAAAAACAAAAATTGAATTTAAAAATTGAAAAAAAGGAAAAGCAAAGGAGAATGATAATAATTACATGCTGGATGGAACAGCAGAAAAAGCAATAGAACAGCAGAAGGAATTTTAACTAAATAAACAAAAGACTACAATTATCTTACAGTTTATACATGACAGATATCAGCAGTTAAACAGTTTGGTCAATAATCAATTGACCAAATTGTTTGAAAACAGCAAGACATAGGTTGACATTTAGGGGGTAAGGTAGGTTACATGAAGTTTATTAGGAAGTACAGTACAGTACAGTACTTAGTTTTTCTCTTAAACTGGTTGAGAGAGGTACAGTATTAACTTTTGATTTTCTCACAGCCTGTTCGAAACGCTGGGCGTATTAGTGGCTTTAGTCATAGTATATACTAGGTATATTACCTATACGATTGTGTATAGTATATACACACAATCGACTTGAGAATGGTCCAGGACGGACCGAAACGTCGTCGTCCCTTCACTTTCTAGTGTGTGGTTTGATCAAGATAGTATATACTAGCTCCATCTATAAAGTTCTATAACAAACTCTGTTTTCAGACAACTCAGAGCCCCTCTGTTTAAGTCCCTCAACATGCTAAACATACACTCTACACATTCTCGTGTGCTATCTACATGTACAAAACCTTGTTCCTAAATGTTAATCTTGATCTGAAACTTTTCCTTGAGAGGTGTAATAAGACCCATGAGCACCACGCCAGAAATATATATATCTCTTTGATATCCCCAGAGTCAGGCTAAAACTGTGTAAACACTCCATGTAAAGTTCAAGTTCAAGTATGTTTATTGAGACAAGAAAGAAATACATCTCAAAGGGATAGAGTAGCTTAGGCTATTTCTACCCCCCTCCCCCCCACAGACTATGCAAATATAAGGGCCCAGTCTTTGGAACTCACTCCCTGATGAATTAAAAAATTGTCCAAAAAATTTACAAAAGTAAGTTGACCAGACCACACACTAGAAGGTGAAGGGACGACGACGTTTCGGTCCGTCCTGGACCATTCTCAAGTCGATTGTAATTTTTACAAAAGTAAAACTTAAAAGTACCTAATTTCATCCTCATAGCTTCCTACCTTGTTGTTCACACTCCCAATGTATCTTGTAGTACCCACTTGCCCAATATAAGTACTTAAGACATATATCTAGACCAGTGTAATCACCTCTGTCAATTTAGATTGTAGTTATTTGTTGATATAAAACCTTGCTACAATGTACCTTTTCACCTTACCAGATATGTTAGGTTAAGGACTTGCCCGAAACACTATGCGTGCTAGTGGCTTTACAAGAATGTAAAAATATCACTAATGAAATCTCATCAACCTATTGTAACTTCTTGTAAATAAAATATTATATTATTATTATAATTTGAGTTATAAAGCCAACATTCTGCTTGTACCTCATTTTGTGTGAATATAGTTTTACCTAAATAAAGTATTATTATTATTATTATTTCCACCCAGGCCGAACAGTTTGTGGTCAAGGAATGATTATGGTTGTAAATTCCAGACAGATGGAGGTATAAGGCACATGCAAACGCCTCAGCCAAGTATCAGTATCAGGCAACTGTTAGTAAGGGTAGAGGGTATCAGTTACAGTATGAGGGGTGTGTAGCCCCCTAGGCGGGGCTGGGGTATGAGGACTGCTTGGAGGAGGGGGCCAAAATGGCTGCTTACTGTTGTAGAGAGTGTGGTGGGGGTTGGTACCTTGGCCGGGGTGTAGAGACGCATGGAGCGGGTGTAGAATCTCCACACAGTGTTGGTAGTCACTGAGCGTTGAGACGGTGCCAGCACTCCTGCCTGGCACCGCCTCTTCCCACACCCCCGGCCAGGTCTGGCACTCTGGCACCCAGGCACCCTCTCTCTCTCACTGGCCCTCTGCCGCCGCCTGCCTCCACACTGACTCATCCCACACACACACACACACACACACACACACACACACACACACACACACACACACACACACACACACACACACACACACACACACACACACACACACCTGAGACACAAGTATACACGACCTGTGTAGCCGGGTGTAGAGTACACCCTGACACCGTGTAACTCCAACATTGTCAGGTTCAAGAAGATGGAGAAAGTCTGGAGATTTGCTACAAGACGGGTGTCAAGAGATAACGAAGCCAAGCTATGATCAGACAGACTTAGAGAGCTCAGTTTAACAATTTGTTGAGAGAGAAAATCCTGAGGAGATATAATCACAACGTGTAAGATACTGGAGGGAGTAGACAGGGACAATCTATTCCACATCGAGGAAAATATGACGAGGAAGAATATAAAGAAGTTAAAAATACAAATTAAGTATTGGTCTGCACTGAAGGCAGGTAGTAAACAGTGAAGGGGTAGTAAACAACAGTGAAAGAGTAGTAAACAACAGTGAAAGAGTAGTAAACAACAGTGAAAGAGTAGTAAACAACAGTGAAGGTGGTAGTAAACAACAGTGAAAGAGTAGTAAACAACAGTGAAGGGGTAGTAAACAACAGTGAAGGGGTATAAACAGCAGTGAAGGGGTATGAACAACAGTGAAGGGGTAGTAAACAACAGTGAAGGGGTAGTAAACAACAGTGTGGGATAGTAAACAACAGTGAAGAGATAATAAACAACAGTGAAAGGATAGTAAACAACAGTGAAGGGATAGTAAACAACAGTGAAGGGGTATAAACAGCAGTGAAGGGGTATAAACAACAGTGAAGGGGTAGTAAACAACAGTGAAGGGGTAGTAAACAGTGAAGGGGTAGTAACAGTGAAGGGGTAGTAAACAACAGTGACGTGGTAGTAAACAACAGTGAAGGGGTATAAACAACAGTGAAGGGGTAGAAACAACAGTGAAGGGATAGTAAATAACAGTGAAGGGGTATAAACAACAGTGAAGGGGTAGTAAACAACAGTAAAGGGATAGTAAACAACAGTGAAGGGGTAGTAAACAACAGTGAAGGGGTAGTAAACAGTGAAGGGGTAGTTAACAGTGAAGGGGTAGTTAACAGTGAATGGGTAGTAAACAGTGAAGGGGTAGTAAACAACAGTAAAGGGGTAGTAAACAACAGTGAAGGGGTAGTAAACAACAGTGAAGGGATAGTAAACAACAGTGAAGGGATAGTAAACAACAGTGAAGGGGTAGTAAACAACAGTGAAGGGGTAGTAAACAACAGTGAAGGGGTAGTAAACAACAGTGAAAGGGTAGTTAACAGTGAATGGGTAGTAAACAACAGTGAAGAGATAGTAAGCAACAGTGAAGGGGTATAAACAACAGTGAAGGGGTAGAAACAACAGTGAAGGGATAGTAAATAACAGTGAAGGGGTATAAACAACAGTGAAGGGGTAGTAAACAACAGTAAAGGGATAGTAAACAACAGTGAAGGGGTAGTAAACAACAGTGAAGGGGTAGTAAACAACAGTGAAGGGGTAGTTAACAGTGAAGGGGTAGTTAACAGTGAATGGGTAGTAAACAGTGAAGGGGTAGTAAACAACAGTAAAGGGGTAGTAAACAACAGTGAAGGGGTAGTAAACAACAGTGAAGGGATAGTAAACAACAGTGAAGGGATAGTAAACAACAGTGAAGGGGTAGTAAACAACAGTGAAGGGGTAGTAAACAACAGTGAAGGGGTAGTAAACAACAGTGAAAGGGTAGTTAACAGTGAATGGGTAGTAAACAACAGTGAAGAGATAGTAAACGACAGTGAAGGGGTAGTAAACAACAGTGAAGGGATAGTAAACAACAGTGAAGGGGTATAAACAACAGTGAAGGGGTATAAACAACAGTGAAGGGGTAGTAAACAGTGAAGGGGTAGTAAACAGTGAAGGGGTAGTAAATAGTGAAGGGGTAGTAAACAGTGAAGGGGTAGTAAACAGTGAAGGGGTAGTAAACAGTGAAGGGGTAGTAAACAGTGAAGGGGTAGTAAACAGTGAAGGGGTAGTAAACAGTGAAGGGGTAGTAAACAGTGAAGGGGTAGTAAACAGTGAAGGGGTAGTAAACAGTGAAGGGGTAGTAAACAGTGAAGGGGTAGTAAACAGTGAAGGGGTAGTAAATAGTGAAGGGGTAGTAAAAAACAAGTGAGTGACGCTGCCCAAAACTTGTCCCTCCTAGGAAAATTAAAAAAATATAAATTTGTTTATATATGTGTTGATTTATTTATTTATATATATACAAGAAGGTACATTAGGGGTTAAGAGATAAATTAAACTACAATACTATAAACTAAACTATGAAAAATAATAAATAAAACTACTATAAATTAAACTACACCGTGAATATAAGGTTCTCAAACTGCCTCTTACAAGTTCAAAAGCCAATGTTATCTAATCCGTGATCATATTTTCTACAGTTATATATTGTAGGGGTTATATAAAACAATTACAAATATAGTATATATTATTTTATAGCATATATGTGTACGAAACGACTGTTATACGCGCGTACTGGAGGTTGATGGTGGCCCTGAAGTGATGCTGTGGGCACGTCTCCCACACCTGTCACACACCTGCCCCCACACCTGCCTCCAGCCACACACACACACCACACCTACCACTAGGTGAGTACACACCTGCCTCCAGCCCCCCACACCTGCACTCGTCATCGTAAGACAAGACTGTGTTGGGATATAACTTGGTAAGCCTCAGCTACCCTGGCTCTGTTGATATCCCCCAAGATATCAAAATATATCAACAGTAGTTGCTTTAAAGTGACTACACACGACTGGTAATGCTAGTAATGAATGCTTCGACTACCTATATGTAATTTAGGTACATATATAGCTGATCTATTTTTCTGTTTGTGTTTAGTTCATGTAATACGCCTTTGACCCTCTCTGGACGAAGCATTTACCCCAAGGACAATATTTACCTGAATTTACCTATAATTATCTGCCCTTTTCTCAACCAGTTTAAGAGGTAAACTAAGTATAGGACTAACTAATCAATAAAATGTAACCTACCTAACCTAAATAAACTACCTAAGGGAGCCGATCGGCCGAGCGGACAGCACACGACTTGTGATCCTGTGGTCCCGGGTTCGATCCCAGGCGCCGGCGAGAAACAATGGGCAGAGTTTCTTTCACCCTATGCCCCTATTACCTAGCAGTAAAAATAGGTACCTGGGTGTTAGTCAGCTGTCATGGGCTGCTTCCTGGGGGTGGAGGCCTGGTCGAGGACCAGGCCGCGGGGACACTAAAGCCCCGAAATCATCTCAAGATAACGTCAAGATATACCTTACCTCCTGATTTTCAACCTATTGTCTTGCTATGATTAAAGCATCCCCGTGGCGCAGTGGTTAAATACTCGCCCGGCGCTTCGCAAGCACTTTGGCCTGGGTTCGTATCCTGGCCGGGGAGGATTGACCGGGCGCCAGTCCTTAACTGTAGCTTCTGTTCACCCAGCAGTGAATGGGTACCTGGTTGTTAAACGGTTTGTTGGGTTGTATTCCGGGGAAAATTAGGATTAAGGAGCTGCTCGAAATGCTATGTGCTTTAAAAGAATGTAAGAACTCTGTGTATGTATGTATGTATATGTAAATATATATACTGTAATATAATATATATAATATAAAGTAAAAATTAATAATTACAACTGAATTTGTAAAATTGCTGAAATCTGCTGGGGGAAAAAACTTAAACTGCATTCCTTATACTGTATTTAGTTGTCCCTCGTGCTCATGGTTACACATTGGTATTTTGAGAAAGGTAATTTTCTAGTTATTAAAACTGAATACGTATATTGAAAAACTTACTACAATGCTGTATTACTTAAATGAAGGTGAATGAAATACCCAGTTTATGTTTATGTGTATTAAAAACTAATTTTCGGATATAACCTACATCCTTTCTCAAGGTACTGTATGCAATGTTCTGATCATTATATACAGTACTGTATAAGCTCACTGAACCAGATATCAGGGTTACCCCAGCCCAAAACGCATCCGGATAAGTTTGTGAATATGACCCTGCTAAATCGTTTAACAACCAGGTACCCATTTTACTGTTGTGTTAAACAGAGGCTACAGTTAAGAATTTGTGCACAGTAAATCCTCACGGGCCAGGATACGAACCCAGGACAAAGCGCTCGCTAAACACTCATAAAATTCATGTTGGTAATGGTGCAAAAATTGCAAATATGGTCTTTTTTATTTTCCCTGTAAGAATTCTGCTTATCCAGGTGTTTGGCTTATCAGGTGAAGGGTCCTTCCTATATAGTCCGGATAAGCGAGCTTAGATAATACCTTAAGAAAGGATATAGGTTACAGCAAAAAATTGGGTTTTAAATACTCTTAAACATAATTTTTTTTTTTCGTTCATCACTGAATACTGTATATTGTTAAGCTGAATTAGACTATGTTTGATTAGGTCATGGCAAGTAAGGTTAGGTCATGTTAGGTTAGGTCAGGTCATGTTAGGTTAGGTCATGTCATGTTAGGTTAGGTCATGTTAGGTTAGGTCATGTTAGGTTAGGTCATGTTAGGTTAGGTCATGTTAGTCTAGGTCATGTTAGTCTAGGTCATGTTAGTCTAGGTCATGTTAGTCTAGGTCATGTTAGTCTAGGTCATGTTAGTCTAGGTCATGTTAGTCTAGGTCATGTTAGTCTAGGTCATGTTGGTTTAGGTCATGGTGGGTTAGGTCAGGTAGTGTTACGTTAGGATCGATTAAGTTGGAATACATTTGGTATGTTTTAAGATATGTTGCCTAACCATTATGGGTATGAAGTAACTTAAGTTCAACAAAACAGACCTAAGTTTTTATTCATCTACTGAACTTTGAAGACCAAACCACACACCAGAAGGTGAAGAGATGACGACATTTTGGTCCGTCCTGGACCATTATCAAGTTGATTGTGATAATGGCCCAGAATCGCCTTGATAATGGTCTAGGTTGGACTGAAACATTGTCGTCTTCTTGTTTTCTGGTGTGTGATTTTATTCTTCATATCTTCAATCACATTATTGTGACTCATCGTCTTCATCTACTTTGTTTACATAAGAACATAAGAATGTTCTTCTGAAGAACATCTGAAGAACAAAAGCAACTGCAGAAGGCCTATTGGCCCATACGAGGCAGCTCCCATCTATAACCCCCCAATCCCACTCATATACATGTCCACTCATTTAGCTTAGGCTTATACCTCAGTCTTTGTATTACAACACTGGAGCCCTGAAGCTGAAATTTCATTAATTCTCTGTGTGTGATTGACTTCTATATTGAGTGGAATACCCATAATTTTTAGCCGAGACTTGGTCTGCCAAGTTTTCGTAGAATCTGTTATTAGGATTGACTCGCTATTTGGATACTGGATCTGATATACTGCACAGTTTGGATACAGGTTAACTTGACTCTTCCAATTTGTCAAGCTGTTCTTGTCGAATTAGGTAAAGGTTAATCGGGTGTAGTCAGTGCTGGGTTATCCATTAAGCAAATGATGCTCAGTGCCTAGGACCTACAATAGAGTGGGGGGTCTATGAAAAATACAACAAGAACTTTTCTATCCTTTATGTAGAGAATATTATTAAATTGATATCGAGTTAATTTTTTCCTTTTATTTCTTATTCCTATTAGTATGTATTTGTTACTTGTTTATTTTCTATGCTATTTTATTTATGCATATTCTGACTATAGATGAATGCAAAATAGTATGTGTTAGGGAGTCTAATGGCTGAGTGGACAGTGCTCAAGGTTCGTAGTCCGAAGGGTCCAGGTTCGATCCCCGGCGAAGGTGGAAACAAATTGGCACAGTTTCTTTCACCCTGAGGCCCTTGTTCACCTAGTAGTAAATAGATACCTGGGAGTTAGACAGCTGCTACGGCCTGCTTCCTGGAGATGTGTGTGCGTGTGTGAAAATTAGGATTAAGGACCTGCCCGAAACGCTATGCGTGCTAGTGGCTGTACAAGAATGTAAGAACTGGTTGATACTGGTTGATGGGGTTCTGGGAGTTCTTCTACTCCCCAAGCCCGGCCCGAGGCCAGGCTCGACTTGTGAGAGTTTGGTCCACCAGGCTGTTGCTTGGAGCGGCCCGCAGGCCCACATACCCACCACAGCCCGGCTGGTCCGGCACTCCTTGGAGGAATAAATCTAGTTTCCTCTTGAAAATGTCCACGGTTGTTCCGGCAATATTTCTTATGCTTGCTGGGAGGACGTTGAACAACCGCGGACCTCTGATGTTTATACAGTGTTCTCTGATTGTGCCTATGGCACCTCTGCTCTTCATTGGTTCTATTCTACATTTTCTTCCATGTCGTTCACTCCAGTACGTTGTTATTTTACTGTGTAGATTTGGTACTTGGCCCTCCAGTATCTTCCAGGTGTATATTATTTGATATCTCTCTCGTCTTCTTTCTAGTGAGTACATTTGGAGGGCTTTGAGACGATCCCAATAATTTAGGTGCTTTATTGCGTCTATGCGTGCCGTATATGTTCTCTGTATTCCCTCTATTTCAGCAACTCTTGTATATATAAATAAATAATAAGAACATAAGAACAAAGGCAACTGCAGAAGGCCTATTGGCCCATACGAGGCAGCTCCTATTTATAACCACCCAATCCCACTCATATACTTGTCCATAATAAAAAAAAGTAGGTACTAGCTTGTGTTATTAGTATATGGTGTCAAATCTGGCCCCATATCTTAGAGGTGTCTAAGGCCTACAAGTCTTAACATGACCCTGGGTATGATCATACGGTACACTGCTTATTGGTTCTTTTGTCCACAAATTCTCATTATAAAAACTGCATATTTATATTTTTTTACTTTTGTATAACCACACTACTCAATATGCATCAGGCCATACATTTTTTTTGTTTTTTTTGTGTGTGATTTGGGCATCAGATGAGGTACTAGAACTGGTGACATTGTTCAGCATTATGTTATACTGTACTTTGTCTTAATTACAGTGTCTTATGTACTGTAATTTGTTTTAATTACAGAATTCATTTACAGAAATTATAAAACACAATTTGAGAATGTAGTACAATATTAATTAAAATGATTTGATTTTACAGTTATGCTTTGAGACGATGTTGATGCCATATTACATGTCTGGAGGAAACTGAAGTGGACAGACGCAGGAACAATAAAAGGTTGGGATTTGCTCTATGGCTTCATGACCCTAGTCTTTTCCAGCCTTTCCTCTCCTCTCTTAATATTCTGACTCCTGTCAATTTCCAAGTTGAATAGGAATCTAAATAGTTTATAATATATATAAATGATTTAGATTCAGGTTTGAGTAGCAACATTTGCAAATTTGCCGATGATACGAAAATCGGTAGGGAAATTAATTCAGAGGAGGACTCACTATCACTTCAAGTTGATCTAGATAGGGTTTTGAAATGGTCAAAGGATTGGCAGATGCAGTTTAATGCTGATAAATGTAAAGTTCTGAGGTTAGGTAATGATGATAGAGTTACAAGATACGAGCTAGATGGTGTTGTGATTGCGAAGTCGGATTGCGAAAGGGATCTGGGAGTTATCCAATTTATACCCATTGTTTCGTGCTCTGTCTTGTGTTGATACTTTTAATACCCTATTAATATCCCCTTTGTTATGTCCATTCATCCACTTGTAAACCTCTATCATGTCACCCCTAACTCTTCGCCTTTCCAGTGAATGCAACTTAAGCTTTGTTAATCTTTCTTCATATGAAAGATTTCTAATTTGGGGGAATTAACTTAGTCATCCTACGCTGGACACGTTCAAGTGAATTTATATCCATTCTATAGTACGGCGACCAAAACTGAACTGCATAATCTAAATGGGGCCTAACCAAGTAAGCAAGATATAGCTTAAGAGCCACACCAGGTGTCTTGTTACTAACGCTGCGGTCAATAAATCCGAGTGTCGAATTTGCCTTATTACGAACATTCATGCATTGATCCTTTTTGTTTTAAATTCTTACTAATCATAACTTCCAGATCCCTTTCGCAATCTGACTTCGCAATCTCAACACCATCTAGCTTGTATCTTGCAACTCTATCATCATTACCTAGCCTCAGAACTTTACATTTATCAGCATTAAACTGCATCTGCCAATCCTTTGACCATTTCAAAACCCTATCTAGATCAACTTGAAGTGATAGTGAGTCCTCCTCCGAATTAATTTCCCTACCGATTTTCGTATCATCGGCAAATTTGCAAATGTTGCTACTCAAACCTGAATCTAAATCATTTATATATATTATAAACAACAGAGGTCCCAGGACAGAGCCTTGAGGCACTCCACTTACAACATTTTCCCACTCTGACTTGATTCCATTTATACTAACTCTCTGTTTCCTTTGGTATAGCCATGCCCTAATCCAGCTTAATATAGCACCCCCAATACCATGAGACTCTATCTTTTTAATCAGTCTTTCATGTGGCACTGTATCAAAAGCTTTGCTAAAGTCAAGGTATACAACATCGCAATCCTTACCACTATCAACTGCCTCAACAATGCTAGAATAAAAAGATAACAAATTTGTTAAACATGAACGGCCATTTATAAAACCATGTTGCGACTCAATTATTAATTTTTGGGTTTAAATTCTCAATTTTGATTTTATTACCAAATTAGAAATCTTTCATATGAAGAAAGATTAACAAAGCTTAAGTTGCATTCACTGGAAAGGCGAAGAGTTAGGGGTGACATGATAGAGGTTTACAAGTGGATGAATGGACATAACCGGGGGGATATTAATAGGGTGTTGAAAGTGTCAACACAGGACAGAACACGAAACAATGGGTATAAATTGGATAAGTTTAGATTTAGGAAAGACTTGGGTAAATACTGGTTCAGTAACAGGGTTGTTGATTTGTGGAACCAATTGCCGCGTAACATTGTGGAGGTGGGGTCCCTCGATTGTTTCAAGCACGGGTTGGACAAGTATATGAGTGGGATTGGGTGGTTATAGAATAGGAGCTGCCTCGTATGGGCCAATAGGCCTTCTGCAGTTACCTTTGTTCTTATGTTCTTAAGTCCTATTGGCCAATACGAGACAAGTCCTGTTGGCCAATACGAGACGAGTCCTATTGGCCAATACGAGACAAGTCCTATTGGCCAATACGAGACAAGTCCTATTGGCCGATACGAGACAAGTCCTATTGGCCAATACGAGACAAGTCCTATTGGTCTATACTAGGCAGCTGCTATTGACCCATACGAGCCAACTATATACGTCCAAACAAGCATATTTTCCAGTGATATAAAATTCACCAAATCACAAATTAAAATATACCTAATTATTCACCATTAATTCCATGACTAAAAAGCTTAAATTTGCAACTATTTGTGAATAATATTTCATTTTCAATCAGCCAACATACACTTCTTAATGAATTAGGAAAGACTTGGGTAAATACTGGTTCAGTAACAGGGTTGTTGATTTGTGGAACCAATTACCGCGTAACGTGCTGGAGGTGGGGTCCCTCGATTGTTTCAAGCGCGGGTTGGACAAGTATATGAGTGGGATTGGGTTGTTATAAATAGGAGCTGCCTCGTATGGGCCAATGGGCCTTCTGCAGTTACCTTTGTTCTTATGTTCTTATGTTCTTAAATTGGATAAGTTTAGATTTAGGAAAGACTTGGGTAAATACTGGTTCAGTAACAGGGTTGTTGATTTGTGGAACCAATTGCCGTGTAACATGGTGGAGGTGGGGTCCCTCGATTGTTTCAAGCATGGAGGTGCGTCAGCTTAAAAAACAACGAGAAGTAACGAAGGAGGAGACCAGCAGTAAAGGGACCTCGTCTTGGAGAGTTGCGAAAGACAGGGGCCTTAAGAAGACTTTGATAAAGCCGCCTTCAAACGCCATAGCAACTTCAAATTCATTTGACGTTTTGGAGGACGAGTGCTGTGGAGAAACTGTGGATCGCGCAAAAGGGAAAGCAACGAAGAGAAAGGAAGCGCAGGCCCCTCAGAAAGTAAAGGAAGTACCTAAGCAAACATTAGTTGTGGGAGATTCCCAGATAAGGTATTTGGATAGAACGTTTTGTGCTAGAGATAGGGGGAACAGGTTAAGGGTTTGCTATCCCGGAGCTGGCATTGGTGATATTATAAACAACATGAATGATATTATGGCTGGTAATGGGAACAATCCCATTATTTGCATTAGCGTGGGAGGAAATGATGTTGGTCGAGTCAGGAGTGAGGAACTGATTCAGAGGTATAAAACAGCCATAGAGTTAGTTAGGAGCAAGGGAGGAATCCCGATCATATGTGGCATTCTTCCAAGAAAGGGAGTGGGAAATGAATGGATATCGAGGGCACTTGGTGTCAATTGCCGGCTGGAAAGATATTGCAAATCAAATGCAATATCTTTCATAGACAACTGGGAACACTTCTATGGAAGAAATGAAATGTATGCTCGTGATGGGGTGCATCTATCGAGAGCTGGGGTTGTTGCTGTTGCGAACTCGTTAGAAGAAGTGGTTAGAGGTGTTTGTTTGGGTTTAAACTGTTAGTAGATAGAGGTATGGGAATTGATTTGGAGGAAGGAGGTAATAAAAGTATGTGTTTGTGGGAGAAAGGAATTGACAAAACGATCAGGGAAAGAGAAGGTCCGCAAAATAACAATTCACTTAGGGTATATTACACTAACAGTAGAAGTCTAAGAAATAAAATTAACGAATTAAATGCTCTTGTCTGCACAGAAAAAATAGATATTATTGCACTTACCGAAACGTGGATGAATGTAGAAAATAGAGAACTATTAGCTGAATATCAAATATATGGATTTAAACTATTTCACACAGATAGATATATTAGACGAGGAGGTGGAGTAGCCATATATGTTAGGGACAATTTGAAATGTAGTCTCAAAGAGGGAATCAAAACAGAGCCACACACAGAAACTATTTGGATTGAATTAAACGAAAAAGCTAATAATATTATAATAGGAGTAATATATAGGCCACCAAATTTAGACAGAATGGAAGCAAAGCATCTATGGGATGAAATATCTAGAGCATCTAGATCTAACAGTATTTATGTCATGGGTGACTTTAATTTTAGCGGAATAAACTGGTTGAACAAAACAGGGAATAGTGAAGCAGAAGATTTTCTAGAATTAATTGACGATTGCTTTCTTACGCAACACATTAAGGAACCAACACGGGAAAATAATATTTTAGATTTAGTGTTAACTAACAGGGAAACGCAAATTAATGACATCGAAATAGGGAGTGAGCTAGGGAGCAGTGATCACAAAGAAATCAGATTTAGCATAGAATGGAATAGACCAGTAGGAGAAAATTCTGTTAAAGTGCCAGATTTTCGAAAAGCTGATTTTAATAGCCTAAGAAATTTTTTGGGTCAAATTGATTGGAAAGGCTTGGGTATCGGGTGTGGGCCGGTCTTGGAGCGAGACATGAACCCAGCGATAGGTGACTTAAATGGGGATTTCGATGTGGATTCAATATATAACTTATTTAAGAATATTCTAAACAAAGCACAGGAACGTAGTATACCATACAAATTGAATAGATCGTATACTAATGACCCAAAGTGGATAACAAAGAATTTGAAGAACCTTATAGGTAAAAAGAGAGCTTGGTACAAATGGATTAAAAATGGGGAGGTCACTTTAGAACAGGAATTCGTACAACTGGTTAGATATGTTAAAAAAGAGATAAGGAAAGCAAAAAGAAACTATGAAGTTCGCATAGCAGGGCAAGCAAAGACAAATCCTAAAGGGTTTTTTCAGTTATATCGTACTAAGACTAGGGAAAGGATAGGTCCATTAAAAACTGAGACAGGTCAAATAACAGATAGTGATGAAGAGATGAGTAGTATTTTTAATAAATATTTTGTATCTGTATTTACTAAAGAGGAACTTAACAATATGCCTTCAGCCGAACAAGTCTATGTGGGTGGGGACGAGGACAGGTTGACGAGTTTAGCAGTTACCAGGGAGGATGTTCTTAAACAAATAGTAAAACTCAAACCAAATAAGTCCCCAGGGCCGGATGAAGTGTTTGCTAGGGTGCTTAAAGAATGCAAAGAGGAGCTTTGTGACCCACTGTCAACCATATTTAATAAATCAATAGAGTCAGGCAGAGTGCCAGAGTTTTGGAAAGTTGCTAATGTGATACCAGTTTTTAAGAAAGGAGATAGATCACTTGCGTCTAACTATCGACCAATTAGCCTAACGTCTATTGTGGGAAAGTTACTCGAATCTATAATAGCAAATAAAATTCGTCTTCATCTTGAAAAACATAAATTAATAATTGAGTCGCAACATGGTTTTATAAATGGCCGTTCATGTTTAACAAATTTGTTATCTTTTTATTCTAGCATTGTTGAGGCAGTTGATAGTGGTAAGGATTGCGATGTTGTATACCTTGACTTTAGCAAAGCTTTTGATACAGTGCCACATGAAAGACTGATTAAAAAAATAGAGTCTCATGGTATTGGGGGTGCTATATTAAGCTGGATTAGGGCATGGCTATACCAAAGGAAACAGAGAGTTAGTATAAATGGAATCAAGTCAGAGTGGGAAAATGTTGTAAGTGGAGTGCCTCAAGGCTCTGTCCTGGGACCTCTGTTGTTTATAATATATATAAATGATTTAGATTCAGGTTTGAGTAGCAACATTTGCAAATTTGCCGATGATACGAAAATCGGTAGGGAAATTAATTCGGAGGAGGACTCACTATCACTTCAAGTTGATCTAGATAGGGTTTTGAAATGGTCAAAGGATTGGCAGATGCAGTTTAATGCTGATAAATGTAAAGTTCTGAGGTTAGGTAATGATGATAGAGTTACAAGATACGAGCTAGATGGTGTTGTGATTGCGAAGTCGGATTGCGAAAGGGATCTGGGAGTTATGATTAGTAAGAATTTAAAACAAAAGGATCAATGCATAAATGTTCGTAATAAGGCAAATCGGACACTTGGATTTATTAATCGCAGCGTTAGTAACAAGACACCTGGTGTGGTTCTCAAGCTATATCTTGCTCTAGTTAGGCCCCATTTAGATTATGCAGTTCAGTTTTGGTCGCCATATTATAGAATGGATATAAATTCACTTGAACGTGTCCAGCGTAGGATGACTAAGTTAATTCCCCAAATTAGAAATCTTTCATATGAAGAAAGATTAACAAAGCTTAAGTTGCATTCACTGGAAAGGCGAAGAGTTAGGGGTGACATGATAGAGGTTTACAAGTGGATGAATGGACATAACCGGGGGGATATTAATAGGGTATTAAAAGTATCAACACAGGACAGAACACGAAACAATGGATATAAATTGGATAAGTTTAGATTTAGGAAAGACTTGGGTAAATACTGGTTCAGTAACAGGGTTGTTGATTTGTGGAACCAATTGCCGCGTAACATTGTGGAGGTGGGGTCCCTCGATTGTTTCAAGCACGGGTTGGACAAGTATATGAGTGGGATTGGGTGGTTATAGAATAGGAGCTGCCTCGTATGGGCCAATAGGCCTTCTGCAGTTACCTTTGTTCTTATGTTCTTATGTTCTTATGGGTTGGACATGTATATGTGTGGGATTGGGTGGTTATAAATAGGAGCTGCCTCGCATGGGCCAATAGGCCTTCTGCAGTTGCCTTTGTTCTTATGTTATAGATAGGAGCTGCCTCGTATGGGCCAATAGGCCTTCTGCAGTTACCTTTGTTCTTATGTAACAAAGGGGATATTAATAGGGTATTAAAAGTATCAACACAGGACAGAACACGAAACCATGGGTATAAATTGGATAAATTTAGATTTAGGAAAGACTTGGGTAAATACTGGTTCGGTAACTGGGTTGTTGATTTGTGGAACCAATTACCTGTAACGTGGTGGAGGTGGGGTCCCTTGATTGTTTCAAGCATGGGTTGGACATGTATATGTGTAGGATTGGGTGGTTATAGATAGGAGCTGCCTCGTATGGGCCAATAGGCCTTCTGCAGTTGCCTTTGTTCTTATGAATCTAATTCCCTCCTTCCTTTTTTTTGACGTTCATGTTCACAGCTCTGCATCAGGTTTCTCTTTCTCTTTCTGTGTTTACCGCTAACCCATGCATAGTGGTATGTACATTCACTTGTTGACCAAATTTACATTAACTTCTTTTCCTACCATCCTACTTCTGTTAAGAAAATGTGGAATTTGCCTTTTGACATGCTAACACTCTTTAGAGAAATCTGGTTCACTGATTTCACAATGAAATCAGATTTAACCAGATTGCTCTGGTTAACCCCATTTAGATTATGCAGTTCAGTTTTGGTCGCCGTACTATAGAATGAATGTAAATTCACTTGAACGTGTCCAGCGTAGGATGACAAAAATCAACACAAGACAGAACACGAAACAATGGGTATAAATTGGATAAGTTTAGATTTACATAAGAACAAAGGCAACTGCAGAAGGCCTATTGGCCCATACGAGGCAGCTCCTATCTATACCCACCCAATCCCACTCATATACATGTCCAAATCCCGCTTGAAACAATCGAGGGACCCCACCTCCAACACGTTACGCGGTAATTGGTTCCACAAATCAACAACCCTGTTGATTTAGGAAAGACTTGGGTAAATACTGGTTCGGTAACAGAGTTGTTGATTTGTGGAACCAATTACCGCGTACAATGGTAGAGGTGGGGTCCCTCGATTGTTTCAAGCGTGAGTTGGACATGTATATGAGTGGGATTGAGTGGTTATAAGTAGGAACTGCCTTGTATGGGCCAATAGGGTTTTGCAGTTACATTTGTTCTTATGTTCTTACATTCATCCCATCTTTACCTTCTCTTACCTGCTCCTCACCTGTCATGTATATTATCTCAGTCAATCAATCATTTGCCTGTACACACGTTCACTTCAATCAGAAGTGTTCACCTGTTCACTCCAGCCACAACTTTCACACCTGGATAATAGTCCTGGGCAGACTGAAACGTCGTCGTTCCTCCATCTTCTGAGTTTGGTCATCAAGTTAGGTTATATTTTGAACAGTTTGTCTGTTTTGTTTTAACAATTATTAATATGTATTGTAACAGGCTTTATTGAGCTTCCCACTATCTTTTTCAGGACTTGTTTGTGCAATGAAAATTTTACTTTGCTGCAAATATACAAAAAATGTGATATATCATTTGTAAGGTTTAAAATATTGTCCAGCTTAACAACAAAGATAAGTTTTAGTGTAGAAAACTGTTGTAGATTGTACACGCATCCAAATGAGTTAACTTATTTGTTATTGTGAACTGCTTCGTATGGGCCAATAGGCCTTCTGCAGGTACCTTTGTTCCTACATTCATCCTATCTTTACCTTCTCTTACCTGCTCCTCACCTCTCAATGGTATATTATCTCAGTCAATCATTCATTTGCCTATACACGTGTTCACTTCAATCACAAGTGTTCACCTGTTCACTCCAGCCACAACTTTCCTGAGACTGGTGTAGAAGACATTCTGGTGAGCACTTACACTAATGTTTTAGCAGCTTGTGCAATAACAAAAAAAAGACAAAGCCCAAGGAACGTGATAAGGCATAGTTTTAGTATAATTGTAGTATTTATACTATAACATTTCCTTAAGGATTCGACATTCTTGCAGGATATAGGAGAAGCAGACCAGAGCTAATGGCTAACAATAGCAATGAAGAATCTCTTCCCACCAATCCCACCCAACTTCCTTCACCACCAAGTTTGGTGTTTGCACCACCTACCAAGAATGATGTTAAGGATGGACTGGGTGACCAATCCAAAGATTTGCAAACTGGGGGATTAACTTTTTCAAGAGCAGGTTCATCTCTCGGCAACTTGCCAAGTTCTAGTAGTTTTTCTACATCATTATTCCATACACAAGATGCTTGGAGAGACACTTCAAGTTCTTTTGGTGGGTTTGGAGGAGCCAAAACCGAGGCATCTGAAGCTGTTGGTAATTTTGCAGGTACCTTTGTAACTAAGTCCGAAACAACATTTGTGGCACCTGTTGCACTAAGGTCAACATCTGGAGAAACTTCCAGCTCATTTTCAACTTCTAACCCATTCAGCAAAGTTAACAGTAACGATATGACTAAAGGTACGAAACCTTTTGGTGGTATGACAACAAGTTCCTCAACAGTTCCCAAGCTCTTTGGAGGTGCACAATGGAATATTGAAGGAGGATTAGCAGTACAAAAGACTGAAGAAACAAAACAGATTAAGAATAAAGTATTAGAACAATCCAATCCCAGCTCGGAGACTGGTTCCACTGTGGCATCGGTGCCATTATCCACTTCCACACCCGTTCTTTTTGGAGGAGTGGTTAGCAGTTCATCAGCAGCCAATAGCACAGACAAATGGTCCTCTCCTAATTTGTCATCTGGAGTGTTTGGGGCTGCAGCTGTGGAGACCTCAAAAATACCCAGTTTGTTTGGTGGCAATACCGCTGTGCCTAAAAGCTCAGTAAGTGGGAACAAGACATTATTTCCACAAGAAGCCTCTAGTGACAGAAGAAAAGACTCTAAAATCTTTTCATCAAGTTCCTCTTGCCCTTTGCCATTTATTGCCAGCAAGACATCAGTTAAAGGTAATGTGTTTGGGGGCGTATCGCCAGTGGAAAATCCCTCAGGCAACACATCTAAGTCAAGCAGTAAAAAACTGTTTGACAAAACTGAAGCGCACAAAACGAGTAGCTTAATGACAGGTCATAAAAAACAGCAAGAAAAACTGGAGACCAAAAGTTCTGGAACTGTGAAGCCAAAGGAAATACCTGAATTTGTTAGTAAAAGTGAAGGACAAACTGGTAGTTTCCCCCCAAAGTACCACAAAAATGAACTAACGAAACTCATTATTGCCTTGATTCCGGATAGTTGCATGGACAAAGAGATCTTAAAAGCACACTTTGAGAAATTTGGGGAAGTCAGAAGAATCATGCTTAATCCCAAAGTGAACCAGGCAACAGTTCAGTATAACAATCATCATGAAGCATCAAAAGCTAAAAAGAAAGGGAAAAAGATTCACCCATTACTTCCAGAGTTGAAAATTTTCTATGGTACCCCAGTCCGTCGTAAGAGTGAAGAGGGAAACTCGGATGCAATGATATCTAAGAAGAGGGCAATTAGAACTCTACAGCAAGGTCAGCAATTAAATGATCTTGATCCCTATATTCCTCTTGAGCGCCCCATAGATAAAGACTCTACTAGCAAGGCTGTGCCACCAAAAGTTGCAAATTTGAGTATTCCTAAGAAGAGCACCCTAAGTAAGAAGAGACCAACTCGAACCATATCCCCAGCCAGAGAAATTAAAGATCCAACAATATCTACTGATGGTAAAGACTTGAAAGTCATACTTGAATCTCAAGCAGCTAATAATTATGACAAATTCATAATCCTCAAGGCCCGTGACAAACTATTGAGGAATGAAAGGACCCGAACATCCGATTTAAAGAAAGCTACTTATTTGGCAGCCACCTGTCCAGACATGTGTCCAGAACTTGAGAGATATATGCGGGATATTCAGAACGACCTTAGCAGCTTTGAGCTGTCAAATGGAGTTCTTGACCATAGGCGTGTCATCAAGAAGTTTTCCAGAAGCAGCGCTGACAAAGATGTACCCTTGCCGCACGAACTAAGACCTGGTCCAGTGCTGTTAAAAACAATGGACTTCTTAGTATGTAACATTATAAACCAAGGTGACAGTAAAGATACAGAGGTGGATGTTTGGTACAGCTATCTGTGGAATAGGACACGAGCAGTCCGTAATGATTTGATGCAACAACAGCTGACCGATTCTGTTGCTGTTCTAATTATTGAGAGATGCACTCGCTTTCACATTCACGCAGCTGCACGCTTATGTCAGGAACCTGCAGATCTCTTTGATGCCAAGATGAATACAGAGCACCTCACCAAAAGCTTACAAACTTTAAAGGAACTTTACCATGATCTTGGGGAAAGGGGAGAATATTTTGATACAGAAGCTGAATTTAGAGCTTATGAAATGCTTTTAAATCTTAATGATGGAGAGACCATTGTGACACAGTACTCAAAGTTTCGAGAGGAAGTACAAAAATCGTGCCATGTTCAGTTTGCTCTGAAGACCGTTCTGGCGGTCGCATTCAATAATTATGTAAAGTTTTTTAAACTCATACGAAGCGGCACTTATTTACAAGGGTGCCTTTTGCACAGGTACTTTAGACAGGTGCGCTCTAAAGCACTTGATACTTTTATGAAAGCATATGTGCCTTCAAAGACACCACAGATGCCTTTGGAATCTGTGATAAAGACCCTGGGTTTTGAGAATGAAACTGATGCCGTGGCTTACTTGAGATGCCACGGGATCAGTGTGGACGAGCAGAATGTAATCTTTGATAAGTATTCATTTATTCAAAATCCAGAAGTCATACCACCATTAGTTAGGCCTATGAAATTAATTGAGGTAAAGCAAACTTATTCACTGGGCGAAGTGATTCAGGGAGGACCCATTCCTGACAATCCTTTACACACACACACCCCACATAATAGCTTTGATGATCAAGGTTACTTGAAACCTGCTGCTAAGGATGCATCGGACCAAAGTATTAACTATCGGAAACCTCTACCAGAATTGGTGTCTCTAGTTGCTGTTGAACAGCCTGTGAAACTAAGGAATTATGAATTAATGGCCCATGTGAAGGAAGTGTATAATATGATTGAATCGTGTGTTTTAGGAGAAATGGTAAAACAAATCAGTAAGGAGTGTGTTGACACACTCCTGTATGAGTTGTTAGTAGATGAAGCTGCACACACTGTCTGTATTGATTTTATCAGAGAATGCACTGAGGAAGAAATTAAGAGCATGAGCTGTGAAGGACTTGAAGAAGTTAACCAAGAGGTGCAGGAGACCTTGAGGAAACAAAGAAAGGAGGAGGAGGAAAAGCGCAAAGCCACGGAGAAATTGCATAATACTGTAGCCAGCTCAATTCTTAGGAGTTATATTGAGGAATTTATTGGTGAATTTATCAGACAGATATGCCAAGAATACTTAAAAGATGTTGAACTGCGTGCCACCTTGACCTCTTTAATAGAAGAGCTTCCTCTTCAGCTTGTGAATGAAGTTGTCAAAGAGCTGTTAATAAATATGAGTGCAGACGTTATTAAAGAAATGACTGCTGAGCAAGAGTTAAAAGTACAGGCCTTGCAACGAAAAATTTGCCTTAGAAAGATGGGTGAATATTTTTGGAAGTGGCGTATGCAAGTCACAAAGGCACGGAGGCAAAAGGAGTCTCGGGAGATGTTTCCTGCAGATTGTTCGCACCTGTCCATCTCCCAACAGAATGAAACCTTTGGATGGGGATACCAGAGAAACAGCAGTGAAAATAAATCTGTTCTTCAGTTGAATAAGCTGGAGTCTAGCATATCAAGAAAAGTAGAGAAGGCAATTGTGAAGAACAGGCTAATGAAAGAATGTGCATGGCACCCATTATTCATGCAGTATCTTATAATGCAAGAACTTGATAAGTTTCTTCCTGAACATAATTTGTTAACTCAGTACTTTAAAGTTTTAATTTGCACGGCTGATTCTACTAGCTCGACTGGCTTGCAATGGCTGCGATCTAAGCTTGCCAAAGAAGTAGACGATGACTTCCAAGTGCCTCTCAATAATTACTTTAGTGTAGTTTCCAAGAAGAGTGGTTTAGAGTATGCCTGGGCAATACAGGAAATTTCAGTGAATTCAATTTCTACCGAAAACGTCAAGGGAACGTCTGCTGTTTTGTATATTACCTCCTGTGAGGATGCACAAGATTCACAGTACTGCATATTTCAGAATTTACTTGCACAGATGCCTAGAGTACCATTTTGTACTATATTCTATGACTGCAAGGGTTGTGATTCCACGAGCTGGACTTTGGCAGAAGAAGATTTATTAAAACCTGAATCTTCACTTAAACTTCAGTCCCTATTATTGACATTTTGGAAGCAACAAGGAAATCGAATGAAACTGGTTTCTTCTCGCATGAATAATTTAGTTTTTGGCTTTATTGCGGATAAATTTGTAGAACCTGCTCTTCGAAAACAGAATGAAAGAAATGCAGATGGAAAGTCCCCAATCCCTCCCGCTGTACTGATTGATCTCTATAACAATGTGATTGACTTTTTGATTAGAGTAGTACTAGATGAAGACCTAAAGAGCTTGGAGTGGCCTCCACCAGAATTGAGCTTCTTGAATCAGATTCCTCCAGCAACATGGAATAATACCGATGCAAAGACTGTGGCTGATGCACTGAGTCATCTAAAGCTGCCAGTGTTACAGATGGAAGGCCTTATGAAATGGAGCAACATTATTGAAGTACTTCATACTTATATTACTAAGATCTCTGGCCCCCACGGTGATGGTGTTAGGCTTGTTTCACACATTAATTCCCTCCTCAATAATACTTTGAGAATTTTAGGCTCTGTTAATGATTTTGAGAATGAGATTTTACCCAATTGGGAGCTTCATGTGTTGCAACTTCCCTGGACTGAGTTGATACATGCATGTGTGTCATACAAGCTGTCAGGGTTATCTGATATGCCAGTATATTACCAACCCAAGAAACTAGAATCTTTTTCTTGTCCACGCTCCTGGTGGGAAGCGTGTGACACGTCTGATCAATTTTGGGCAGATACTATGAAAGAAAATTATCCACCAAGTTCAAGAAAACGCAAAGCTGAGAAACAAGATAAATTTGCAAGTGAACAAGTAAAACATAAGAAAATGCCATCCAAGTTGCTTAGTGATATTGCCGGTGAAAAGGAAAAGTATATGGAGTTTGAGAGGAAACTTAAAAGTTTACTTGAAATTAATGAATTTTAAACTCTCTTTAACACTGAAGGCTGAAAGGACTTTCCAGATGTATTGATATTTTGTTACTAATGTCATTGCATAACATTAAAGTGTTAGTAAGTATTTTAGTTTTGTATGTTAAAAGCAGACACCTGATAGGTTTACATTAAAACCGTCAGAATGATATTGACAATAACTACATCTTCATGGACAACAGCTGTAATCACCACAACATATGTGAAACAGTACTTGTGAAGCATTTCACAAGGTGTTGGTTAATGCTTGATTATACCGTTTGTATCTGGTATTGGTTACCATTTGCTTGTCCAGAAGGTAGCAAAATGGCTACTTAGATGTGTCATAATTTTGTAAAGCAAATACCAGTATACATATTTGCATGTAATCCAGAGTGTCTGAACCACATGAAATTTGTGTACCAACATTATACTTCAGATTACATGTTTATTATATAGTAAAAAAATAGGGGTGGTAGAAGTAAATATCAGTGTTTAGTGAGGATCCACAAGGTCTTCTCTGGGTACTCCATATTTTCTTCTCCGAGGCTATAGGTCCCTACACTTGCACCAGAGGTGATACCCCTTTTATTTAATACCAGTACTGTATTTTTGATAAATACATTTTCATTTTGCACAATTATGTTTATCTTCAACTTGTTCCATATGACTGCAGTACAATATCACCATAGTTCATGTACTTTAAACTAATTAGCATTTTGGATAAGGAAGAAGTGAGGACATAAGTATTAAGATGAGGTTAGCGTAGTAAACCTGCCCATTCTTGTGTTTACGTTTCAGTTAAGTCTTCCAGCTTTAATGTAATAAAACTTGTGTAATATATAAATGAAATGTGTAGTATATGTTCTTATAGGTATGTATAGATGTTTTAACACAAGGAAAGTGGTGTTTAGCTTTTTCACTGATGCACGGCTACATTCGATTTGCAATAAAAAGTTGTTAACTGCACTATGTGAGTTTTCAAATGCTTAACACAAATTGTTTCATTAAGCACCCTGTAATGTAGGTTCAGATATCTGGCCTTCAAAATAAAAATGTGAACCCGGTATTTCCAGTTATTTGGCAGCAATAGAGGAAAATGTTAACTAATGCATTATTTAATTTTGTCAGGAATAAGTGGTTTCTTTTGCAGACTAGATAATTATTAAAGTGTTATAATAATTAAAGATAAATATAAAGAGAATTGTTTTTAATTCATAGCCATTTAAAACGATCTAAAATGATCAAGAAAATAAACCTATGGTGCTGAATTAATTTTTTTTCTGGGAGGGATTTCTTAGCTCCCTGAGGTCAAGTACTGGTATGGCCAAGCCTTTGGAAATAACACCAGGCCTCTGAAACCCACCTTGGCCTACAAGGAGCCAAGACCAGATTCTGGCTCTCTGAGTCTGGGGATAAAAGATCTATACAAAGCCAAGGAAAGATTCAGGGAGATTGTGAAAAAATAAGTGATGAAGGAAAATTGTAACCCTGATGTAAACACGGTAAACATTGCTTCCATGTAGTGTTTGGGACTTGCTTTTTATTACCAGGGGCCAGATTCACGAAGCAGTTACGCAAGTACTTATGAACGTGTACATCTTTCCCCAATCTTTGATGGCTTTGGTTGCATTTATTAAACAGTTTACAAGCATGAAAACTTGCCAATCAACTGTTGTTATTGTTATAAACAGCCTCCTAGTGCTTTGGAGCTCATTGACTGTTTAATAATTGTAAACAAAGCCGCCAAAGATTGAGAAAAGATGTACAGGTTCGTAAGTGTTTGCGTAACTTCTTCGTTAATCTAGCCCCAGGCCTGTTGGTAAGAAGCAATACTAGTTCGCTGTATGCTAGTGTAGCTGTCACACTTCACTCTTATGCGCAGGTTGAGGTCTTGTGCTTTAGCTGGGGGGGCACTTAAGTTACATACATGATTGTTTTTATATGTTTTATATCATTTGTACATGATTAGGTAATGACACAAAAAAGGTACTCAATAAATTTCAGGTAATATACCTTCAGCTTATTCCAAAAAGTAATAAAGTGATGAAGGCAAGATACACACATTGCTACACATAAATGTACATAAATGCAGTTTGGAACAACCATTTCAAACTTAAACAGTACTGTGCAAAAAATTAAAGCAATTAATTTTTGTTTAGATTATTGTTGTACTTTACTCAAGTACAGTACATGTTGTACGGTACTTGATATACTGTATAATTAAAAGTGACCTCTTGGCTTAACACCTAGGTTCCAGGGCTTGATCGAGGGGTCCACAACCTAAATCCTATCATTATAAACCTAGCAATAGCTGTACTATTCAAGGTGACACCAGAGAGTCTGAAATACAATCCTATTACAGCAATATGAAGAGAAGTTCTAAATAAAAGATAACGCATCCATGCAATTTCATTGCGCAATATTCTTTTTAATATTATTTTACATAATTTGCTAAATATGTTGTGTTTAAAGGCTATACATATTGAAGGGGACACAGAATGCTGCAATCTGCTCTTAGCGCATTCTACACATGGCGATTGCCACGTGTATAACATCTTACACCTATTATTATTACACATGTTCAACCACATATTGTTTGGTACACTTAAATCATGTGTACTCATACATCATGCGCACTCTTACATCTTGTAATACACTAGTATTATTATCAAAGTAATGTAAATCATACTACAGTATACGTGGGTTTAGTCTTTCCCTATATTGCTGAAAACACTATATGCTCTACTATGACAATTACTAAGTACTACATGCTCAACAATTATCACATGTTTTCACACAGGCTGGGTCCAAGAGCTAAAACTCAACCCTGCAGGCACAAGTCGGTGAGTACAATAACATAATGGAACTGTAGTAAAGAGTTTATTGCTACAATTATTTTCCCAATTTTTTATGGTACTATTGATACATTTTCACCTGGCAATGCTGTTATGCATGTTGATGTTTGTGTGGTTCACCTTATGTTCTCCCACAGTCAGGGAGAAGAAACATGTTGGGCTTATCAAGGTTATCTTGAGATGATTTCGGGGCTTTAGTGTCCCCAAGGCCCTCCAAGCCTTCTCTAGAATGAACCCCATAGTACAGTAGTTGCCTAATTCCCAGCTACTTATTTACTGCTAGGTGAGCAGAGGCATTATGTGAAAGGAAGTGTGGACAACCACCTCTGCACAGCCCAGGGATTGAATTTGAGCTCCTCAGTTGTAAGCCGAAGCGTAGACTTAGAATTAAGAACATTAGAAATTTATGGTAGACCAGAGGTGATAGGTTAAACTTTCAGTCACTTTGAAAACACTTTGGTCAACACTTTGTCACTCTTACTCACAATACGATGGAGCAACTGTGTGTTTCAGACATTTCGTAAAATATTTGCATAGTCATATACTGTACTGTTTGGATTGTGACAGATTATAGCTACACTTACTGGACTAGTTTGTCTGCTACTTCTTAAGGACCCCGTCACACTTAGAATAGTGTTTTCAGATTTATATTTCTTTGATATTTGGTCTTAATATATAAGAATAGTTACTATAAACAAAGTTAAAAAGAAAAAAGTATATCTTTGTTAGTTTTTATTCGGCTTAAACAAATAATAATGCAAAGTAATTTCTTTGGTATCATTTGAAGGCCAGACAAGGTTCTGAAATAAGTTAACCAAAATTACTAATTTCTATTTCCTAATAATAAATAAATAAAAAATATGAATATGGTGTGTTTTAAAGAAAAAATATATAGATAAAAACTTTATCAAGAAATCTGTTGTTAGTTAATTTGTAAATCCTGCTTTTTGTGTAGTGTATGTGTGAATATTTTATTAATATCAGATAAAAACTAATGGAACTAAGTCAGAAAACTCTAAAAATGTGTTTTGAGATTGTTAATTTTCCTGCCAAAAATGTAGCGTCACAAATCCTTAACATCTATTTTAATTACAGTAGTATATAACTTTGTATATACTATACCTTCCTGTGACATCTATTTAATTAATCTGATTGTTTTATATTTTCATAATCCCTCCCCCTCCCCCCCTGCAAAAATAGGCAACTCGCCATTATTGCCACATTTGCTTGTGGCTCAAAAAATTCAAAATAATTTAGAGTAGACCAATTTCTTTTATATAAAGCTTAAAATATAGCTAATAATTTAGACTTTATAATTGCAATAAAATAAAAATAAAAAAAAAATATTGAAAACATGAACCAGGGGTGGTGACTTCAAAGCTCTATATTAGTAAGCCTCTGTGATATTAACATTTAAATGAGGGTATATAATTTATCGTCGATGTTGACGTTGCAGAGCATTGTAGGACAAAGAGGCTAGGAGATCCCAGATAAAGGTGGGATTGTTCCGTTGAATAATTTACAAGAGTATGTTACATAAACAACATTTATATTCCAGCACGATGTATTAATAATATCTTAATTGTAAAAGCAAGAAATTTAAAGAACTAAAATGTTAAAATATGCACGTTTATTTAAACTTTAAGTTTCCTTTTCATCACCAAACTGGACGAGTCTTTGGGGCATGTTTTCTAATACCTGATTTTTCTGTTCACTTAGCAGTAAATAAGCACCCAGGAGTTTAGCACATGCGAAGGTCTCTCATTGGCCTAGAGGGACCTTGAAAAGCCTAACAGACTTCCTGTCCTCGATATTGGGAAATCACAAAAGTATTGTACAGTATTATTGTAGGAAAAGTTTGAGTGGAAAAATTTGAAGAGTGGTGTTAGGCAACAGTTACTTCCCTCGATAAATATTTTTTGCAATTTATATAAGATTCCCATGCCAATGTTTCTTGAATACTTTTAAGTTTCATTGTAATTTTTATGTACATATTGTATTTGTTATGTAATATATGTCTGGCATGTTTATAATACAATATCATTGTAAAAATTTTCTGGAAAGTACGGAAAACATAAATTCATATACATGTATAGAAAAAATATGCTTGGAGTTAACTCGAAGCAAATGGTATGCTATGACATCATTACAATAACACACACTGGTAGTGCCATCTGTTGGTTGTAGGAAGAATAGATATTGTTGGATAGCCTTTGTCCAAAATGCACTAGTACTCCCTATTAAGAAATTTCTTTCCTTAACAAGGATACACAACAAAATTACTAGATGAGCATATGCAATAAACTGTATCAGAACAGTTACCACATTCTAATTTTGGTTAACTTGGTACAGTATGTTCTTAAGGATCGTTTATCCCAGGATGAAGAGGCACTGTTCTCTAGGATACTTTATCCAAGAAGGAAGGTGCACTGTTCACTAGGATAGTTTATCCCAGGATGAAGAGGCACTGTTCTCCAGGATAGTTTATCCCAGGTTAAAGGCGCACTGTTTATCCCAGGATGAAGGGGCACTGCCTTTTAGGAGCCATGTGTTTACTTCCAAGTCGACAGTCAAAGGCTGCTGCGAAGAGTGGTTCATTTTGTAGGACGATGTTCACTCTTAAAAAAGAAAATGAATTACAATTGGACGAAATTGAATGCTGCATGATAAATATTATAGCTTATATATATATATATAGTTCAAACCTTAAATACTGTACAGTATTAGAGAAAAGGAAGCTCTGCAAATATTTTAACTTTAATGAAAAAAAATATTGGAAATACCTTCATAAGAGAACCACCACTAAATAGAAAATGATACAAAACAAGACATTACCTCAATTTGCCAGGAAGATGTTCATTTTCCATAGCTGTTAACATGTTGATCTGGCTGGTTTTACTGCAGTGGTTCTGGTTAGATATACATCATTAAGTCATTAAGTTACACAAGATAAATGGCGTTCTCCTAATTACGATGTAGCAAAAAAAGTTACACAGCGCATAAATAAACATACAAATTCAAGTACTATTAGTGGAGGGCAGATATTAATGGTGTGGGGTGACAGGTACTACTAGTTGCAGGGCAGGTACTACTGGTGGTAGACAAGTACTTTTAATGGCATATAAGTATTGCTAGTTGTATGTACTGCTAATGGGAGGCAGGTACTACTGGTGGTAGACAAGTACTTTTAATGGCATATAAGTATTGCTAGTTGTATGTACTGCTAATGGGAGGCAGGTACTACTGGTGGTAGACAAGTACTTTTAATGGCATATAAGTATTGCTAGTTGTATGTACTGCTAATGGGAGGCAGGTACTACTGGTAAAGGAGGGTGTAGAAAACCCTCCTTAAACCATGTACTTTTGAAAGTGAATTATTTGGGTTATAGCAAGCCAGCACAATCATATGATGCAACATTTTTTGCTAATTGAGAAGTAAGTGGGTGTACAATTATAATTTGAGCTGGATGACTAGCCAGTTATACTATTGGCATTAATTTTTGATGGGCTGGCATAAAAGAATACAATATTATAAGAACCTCTATGGCAGTAGAATGTTTATGTAAGAAGAATGCTTTAGTTAATAATTAAATAACATTACCTGTGCATTGCGGACAAAGAAGGCCTGGATAGGAGTTAAATTGAGCCAAGGTAATTTTTTCTCGGGTGATTCTATAGAGGGCAGGAAGTAGGATGATGCTTGGCGCTTGTCTCTCTTGATGCTGGCCTCACTTTGCTTCACCGACCGCTTTCGACGGTTTACAGTATTTCGACCACCTTAAATAAATAAATAAATAAATAAATTTGTATTCAGGAAAAGTACATACATAGTTGATTTACAAACATAATGTTGGATTTATAGATAGAGCTAGTACATACAATACCTAAAACCACTAATACGCATAGCGTTTCGGGCAATAAAGATAGTATAACAGTGGATACCATAAATAGATTGATGAATTACTGTAGATTATATAATGTGTCATTTGTATATACAAAAAAAGTACAGTATCACATTTTCAAAATTTAATTGTTTTCGTAGAAAACATGACCTGAGAGGTATCTACTGGGTACTTTATAACTCAGTGCTGACTTACCAGGAAGTGGAGCAGTTTGTGTTGGTTTTGGAGGGACAACATATACTGTTGATGGAAAGATATTTATATAAATATTTTCCCAATAATAAAACATATATATTTTTGTTTAAAGCAAGATATAATAATTCTGGAATGATTATACTGTATTTATACACAATACTTTTACATTTAAAATGGATATTATGATTTCATGGAATAGTAGAAGCTTAGGAAGGCTAAACAAATCATTCAATTATTAGTCAATTACTGCTAGTTTTTTAATGTAACGTTTCTAAATGGAGCCAATAAAAAAGTTACATTTCTACCCCAGGGCCAGTTAGAGAAGTCTATTTCTATTGAGGGTCGGTCAAAGGAAATCTATTTATATCCAGGATAACTCAGAGGAAGTCTATTTATACCCAGGATCACTCAGAATAAGTCTATTTATACCTAGGATCACTCAGAAGAATTCTATTTATACCCAGGATCACTCAGAGGAAGTCTATTTATACCCAGGATCACTCAGAGGAAGTCTATTTATACCCAGGATCACTCAGAATAAGTCTATTTATACCCAGGATCACTCAGAATAAGTCTATTTATACCCAGGATCACTCAGAATAAGTCTATTTATACCCAGGATCACTCAGAATAAGTCTATTTATACCCAGGATCACCCAGAGGAAGTCTATTTCTACCATGGGGACAATTTTAGTAACATTCCTGTTTGCTATTGTCAGTATACATTCTTCTAGCCTTCCAAACAAGATGATCCATGCATCTTCCTGGAACGTGAGGCTCATCCTAGGATGATATTTTATCTTGTCACTAGACTTACCATCACTAAGATAGGCTTCCCAAGTGAGGCGAGTTGCTGCCGAGTCCGCCATCACTTCGTTGAAGACCAGATTACGGGGCAACTGTGACCGCAGAGAGTAACACATCTTTACTGCCGAGTTGTGTGACGGAAAGACATTGTACGCAGTCCAGCAGTAGTGTAAGGTACAGGACATTGTACAGAGCAGTGTAAGGTACAGGTCATTGTACAGCAGTAGTGTAAGGTACAGGTCATTATACAGCAGTAGTGTAAGGTACAGGTCATTGTACAGATGTAGCAGAAGGTTCAGGACTAAAATTTTAAAGCACAAAACTTGAAATTGTTTAATTTAGTTTAAATTGCAAGAATAGGTAATATATTAATCTTTGATTATCTTTCTCAAATTCAAAATATAATAATTTGGCAAAATGTATGTTTACAGATTTGCTTTTATTACAGGTACTTATTTACTGCTAGGTAAAGAGAGGCATCAGGTGTAAGGAAACCTGTCTACATATCTTGTCCAACAGGGAATTGAACCCAGGACCATTTGGTTGTAACTTGTCTGTTATAAAATTCAAATGCAACAACAGAATTATTATTAAAGAAAACAATTATTTGAATTAAAAACTCACAGATATATTTGACTGAAGACCAGTGACACTAGTAGACACCCAAGGCCACTCAAGCTGCTCTTTCAGACATTCCGTAACATTTACAAACTGGTTAATGCCTTCCATAGGGGTACTGGCATTTAATTTCCGAGATCCGTCGTACATAATTCCTAGAAGCAAAAGTCATGAGATGAAGTTAAGATACAGAAGTTTATCATATACTAACTCAACAGTTTTAAGGCAACTTTGTACATAATTAAAACTGTAAAATCAACATTTCTAACCTGTGGCATCAAAGCCGTGTGCGAACTCGTGAGCGATCATGTGACCCAGTCCAGCATAGTTTATGTATTTGGGGACATCATTAAAGAAAAGTGGAGCTTCTAGAGCTGCATATGGTATAACTGCAAGAAAGAATATTACCTTAAAGATGGAAAGCTATTTTGTAAGCCTGAATCTTCTGCACCATTCACTTCACAAGACACTGATTTCTAACAACCCTACTCATTTGTCCTTTCCAACTGACTACACAATATCAGCTACATCTTAATACTTGAACAAGTACCCATTCCAAGGAGGAAAATGATGTTTTCTAATAGGGTCTTCTAATTTGTGAATGCTACATGATATTATTCAATAGACATACAGTATCGACAACCTGTGTGTGCTGAATGATAGTATTTTTTCAGATATATTGACAAATTTCATGGCATGGGTGATTGAAGTCCAGAGGATATAAAGCACAAGGTAAAAATGGTTAAATATACACACAATGCCACTCGTCACATCTTCCATGCTCAGCTGTATCACAGAGAACCAGCATCATGGAGAAACAGTACTGTCACCATTCATATTTTGGGGATTTCCACACACATAGTTACTCACTATTCCTGCCTGCATTTGTGTTATCTTTTACTCTCTAGTTAGTTGCAATACTGCCTTTTCACCTCTCGGTAATTCATTCATTTTGACCATCCGATACCATTCTTAATCTTAAAGCTAACTTTCATATTAAGTGTTATATAATTATTGTATTACAGCAAGAAAACTAAATATTCATTGGTTTATGTTTTACTGATGCATTCCTAATAATACCAGATAATCCAGCTGTTGAAAAACCATCCAAGTATTACTTTTGCACCCCTAACAATACCATATACTAGGTAGTGTAGCCAAGTATTACTGATGTACCCCTAATAATACCATATAGTATAGCTAAGTATAACTCATGACAATTATTACTTACAGAACTTGTTAAGGGCATATGAAGTAACACCATAAGTATCATAGGGCAAAAGGAACTGGCTCCACCTGAAACAAAATGCTTGCATGTATTACAGTACTGTATATGGAACAAGTTATTTCTTTAATGACATTCGTCTATAGTTAGTAAAAGAGAAATAGGTACAGTACTCTTGACATGGTAATATCATAGCAAAAATAACAAACTTGATCTTTAATTTTGAAATTGGTACAACATAAATTACACTTGTCTATCGAGTTGTCGTAAAATGCTAAGAGCGTCATTACTGTTTCCAGTAGTGGATAGCATGCATGTCACTCGGTCAGTTAGGTAAGTAACCATTGAGTGTTTATGGGTTACCGTGTACAGCCTCACCTTTGGTTATGAGACTACGATGTGCATAACAATCAGGCATTCTGCCCCTCAAAAATAGTACACCAATTTACCAGATTGCTTTAACAGCCATGACAGTTGATTTTTGAGGAATAAATGAATGAATATTTAATTTGACTAAGATCACGTAGAGTCCTGCAGTACAGTGGCTATGTTCTCCACTCACAGTTGGAGATGCTGGGTTCAGTCCCACGACTGGGCATGTTTCCTTTCACCTAATGCGATTGTTCATCTAGCAGTAAATAGGTACCCAGGAGTTAGGCAACCGGATACAGGACCTTCTAACCGTTCTTACAGGACCTAGGCTGCATCCTAGGGAAGGTCAGTAGTTCAACCTTTGGGGGACATTAATACAAGCCTACATACTCTATATATATACATGGACTTCCTGTCCCCCCAACAATAAAAATTTCTATTATATCTGAATTTGGCAGTGCCTTAATTAACATCTACAATACAGGCATTATTTAAGAAATCAATGTGTTAAATGTTTAGTTATTGTAGTGTTTTATTGAACATTTGTAAAGACCTAATATGTCATACCAGCAAATATGTGACTTTGAGGATGATATATAATTGCTGATAACAAGAAAGTAACCCAATAGAGCAAATTTTAATGTGTAACATACATTACTTGTGGCTCGTTGGTTGGTCTGTGATAGAGCTTGTACATCAAGGTTCGATACCGCTCCAACAGAACCTTACTGTTGTCCATGAAGTTTTCATTTAATTTCACCTGTTGGAGAAAAGTTTTGTGCCATATAATGTATACCATGTACAGACCAAGTTATTTCAACCTGTCATCCAAAAATGATACCAGCTATGTATACTGTATGTATACATAGTATACTATGGATACTCAGGATAGAATGTACACTGTAGTGACGTTCAAAAAGTTCATTTTATACTCTTCATTTCCTAGAGGGTCTGAGAAAAAAGGCAACAACCAAATCCTACTTTTCTTAGGCCTAGTTTATTACATATATGTATGTAATTTGTTAGGAGAATGCATATATTATGCCTAGAACAGGTTAGGTTTATGATTAGTCTGTGTGAGTTTTTGATATGCCCTTTATGCCAAAGCTGTAAGTTCCAAAACATTGCTGCCATTCAAAATCTAGCTGGATAAAATTGTCAGGACAAATGGGAGGACCTTTGACAAGCCACCGGCTTCCTGTCCTTGTTGAGGCCACTAGTGAGAAGATGACCCTCAGATAAATTTAGAATTCCATTAGAATATAACATGACAAATCACATTTTTTTTAAGTACAACAGTCCATATTTTGTATTATACATCCATACTAGCTATAGGGGTGGGGCGAGTCATTCTTCTTATCAACCGGTCCTCGGACACTGGCCAAATGTTCGTTGAATTAAAGACATCTACCATCAGGCTATGGGTGTTAATGCTGTGGTTGACCCCACAAGTGCATTCATAAATATGTTACGCAGTACATTACTTTATAATAACAAATTGCATTCTCAGACATAATTTTAAATTAATTTATAGTTAGGCCTAGCTTAGATGTTCTGATTCTGTTGGAAATTATTTGTATTTACAGCATGTGAGTGAAGCATTTAAAGATGCACTTCAGTCATAAGTGAGGACTTTTTGAGAAAGGTTTGAACATTCGGTAATCAGTTGCGAATCGTGTGTAAAGCGATTTACACTTCTCTAAATGCTTGACTCACATACTGTACTAAGAAATAATTGCCAATAATACCAAAACACCTAACCTAATATATGCTAGATCCAATTAACCCAATATTATAGTTTATTTTTGAGAAAATATAACTTTGATAACAGTATGGAAAAAATTGTAAATGCCCCTTTAGATGAACAAGAATAAGAATGAGTCATGAGTCCATGGACATTAAATCTCAAGTTTGTGACAAGATGAAGGCTTCTAAGTAATAAGTGAGTCTAAGGAACAACCATTGCTGTTGATCAAGTTTTGCACAGTTGTGATCCAAGTGTTTTTTTAATAACACACTAAAAATGAGTGAGAATATCTTACACTTTTCTTGTTGTTCTGAATAACTTGTTTGATCACATTTATGTCGGCAGTCTCAGCAGACATTAGACGAAGCTTTGCAACCATGGGGCTGTTTGGGTCGTTGAAGCGTCGTTTCAATTGCTCCTCGGCAGTGTTCTTGTGAATCCCTATCATTTCGTTAACCTATAACATAATTAACAATTACAAATCTGAAATAGAAGTATAGTACTTAAACAATTCTTTAAACAAATTAATATGGGCTCAACACCATTGATCTTACACATTTTTTGTGGGGATGCAACCCACAGCAGTTGTCTAACTTCCGGGTGTCTGTTTATTGCTAAGTGAACAGGTGTATCAGGTGAAAGGAAACGTGCTTAAATGTCTATGTCCTACTATGTGAATTGAACCTGAGACCTTTCAGTTATGAACCAACTATGCTGATTACTGTACTACAGGACCTTTTTGGAAGTGTAATTTATTGTAAGAACTTCGGTTTCAACTCTTTTTAACCTTGTCGTAGCTCAGTCAATTAAGGCAGTGTCTGGGATGCTCCCGGACGCAGGTTCGAATCCTCGTCACAGCCCTTGTGGATTTGTTAATTTTATTGTAAGAACTTTGAAAGAATTCTTCCTCAAATTTCTCATACTGTACCTTTATTTTAAATAGTAATCTGAATGGATGTCACTTTAGAAGAAATGCCTTATTCAAGTAACTCAAGGGGCCTTGCCTCTTGAGTACAGAATTTTAACCTGCATATGCACTTTTCAATACTGGGTGAACCAACGCATTAATATTACAAACTAGGTCTTTACAGTAATCAGCCTTGCTGTCTGCTCTCCTGATGCTGTACTGGAGTTTACCTTGGAGTTGTCTATGGACCTGTGGTAAGTATGTTTCTGGCTCTGGTATTTATGGCATCACATTCCTCCCTATGCAGGCGATGAGTCACAATAACGTGGCTGAAGTATGTTGACCAGACCACACACTAGAAGTTGAAGGGACGACGACGTTTCGGTCCGTCCTGGACCATTCTCAAGTTGATTGTGAAACGTCATCGTCCCTTCAACTTCTAGTGTGTGGCCTGGTCAACACATTCCTCCCTATAAGAGGACTCGGTTTCTTTACATCAGTACAGTATACTGATGGCTCTAAATCTTATACTGGCATCAGATTTAGAGTCATTTATCATGGTTTTAGCTGCTGTGATAATCTATCACAGAAATTCAATTTTACTACCAAGCTCTTTTCTGTCCCTCACTACTGTTATGGAAATATATATATACTGGATGATACAGATAGGTCATAGACTGGATAGGTCATCATAGGAACATCGGCATGTCTTGCACAGTCTGTATGTGAATCATACTGGATGTGGTATTAATTTCATCAAAGTGTATAAATGAAACATGGTGGAAAATTAGACATACCTTATCATGTCTTTGGGCAAGGTTGGGCAAGGCATTCAGGTAGAGATAAGATGTGAAGTCCTCCATGAGGGAAGTGGTGGCACGATAACAGTATTCAGGTGTGCTGAGAGCAGCTCCCACAGGCTTCACCAGGTCTGTGTACACTCGTTCACTCCACAGTAGCAGCAGAATATTCTGCAGGTTTATTGGACTACCGAAAGAATAACAACAATATAATTTGTAATATATAATGTAATTAATTACATGCCCTTATAATTTGTAAGTATTATATACTTTTTATATTCCTTTTAGCTGTGATGAGGTTTTCTGAAGAAGTGTAATGCCCAACTTTTATTTGTATTAATTTCATGTTTGCAATTACTGTATGTTAAGTTGTGTATGGGAAAGAATGTTGGTTAATGTTTAGTAGAATAGCTTTCCCGCACTTTTGTGTAGTATAGCTGCACGCTGCCTCGTCCACACCAAGGAGGCTTGGTTCTAGGCGAAGGTGGTGTGTTGGGCAGCACCATGAAGTACCCACCTCTGTAATCACTGGTTGTAATGAGGTGTTTAACTCAGTTTTTGCTCTCATTATCACTGAGAACAGTACATTAACTGGTGAGTGATAAATGAATCCAGTTTTTGTGTATTTCCAGTCCAATGTATTTAAACAAATATATGTAAATACACACATTAATTGGAGTGGTTGGTTAAATTATTCTCTTAATTCAAAACAGTTGTGTGTAATTCACTGGCATTCCTTCTTATATTTGAGGAAGTGCCATGGTGATATTTTATAAGTGTAATATTAAGAAAGGATAACTTACATTTCTTTTATAGTAATTTCTAGTAGGGAACACTAGTGAGTAGGGAATGCAAATGAACTTCACACAATTATTGTATTAGGATAACGTTCATGGTGATTATCCGTTTAAAATGGGCAACTGTTGATAATCACACACTACAAAAGGATTCAGCCAAAGATGGAAGAGCAGCTTCATCCTAGTGCAAAATATGTTTCCCATTGCTGAGGACAGGAAACCAGTTAAGCATATCAAGGTCCCCCTGGAGCCGGTCGGCCGAGCGGACAGCACGCTGGACTTGTGGTCCTGGGTTCGATCCCAGGCGCCGGCGAGAAACAATGGGCAGAGTTTCTTTCACCCAATGTCCCTGTTACCTAGCAGTAAAATAGGTACCTGGTGTTAGTCAGCTGTCACGGGCTGCTTCCTGGGGGTGGAGGCCTGGTCGAGGACCGGGCCGCGGGGACACTAAAAAGCCCCGAAATCATCTCAAGATAACCTCAAGATAACCCCCTAAGCCAATGACTGACCTTACAGGATGCAACCCACAATAGATTCCTAACTTTCAAGTGCAAGTGCCAATTTACTGCTATGTGGTTAAGTTCTCAGGTGTTAGGAAATGTGCTATAATGTCTGGCCCTGGTCGGTAATGAAACCTGGGACTATTAGGTGGTGAAGCAACTGTTCTGAGCACTGCGCTACAGGTCACAACAGAAAGAATGATGACAAGATGGATGCCTTAGGAAAGAGAAATGTGAGAAGAAAATATCACCTGGAATAAAGATCATGGAACTATGTAACCTAATAAGAATTGCAGTATAAATTCATACACAGTACTGTACTGAATTTAAAAGTGAGATCTGACAAGTTATTAGTGAGATCTGACCTCAAGAGACTAGTTACACTATCTTCCATGTTAAATGAAAAGGTATTATCATTCAGATAAGAATGATCAAAGTATACAGTAATTGCTAAATAAAGAAACAAGGTACATTAATATGAATACCAGAGAACCTTAAAGCCATATCAGTTTATGTGAAAGTGCTCTATGCATGAATTAAACATTATTTGTTTGGATATATCACTTGATATGTGGCAAATTTATAAGAATATTGAAAAATTATGTGATTCTAAAATTAGGCTAGGCTAAGAGTTATGCTTCTAAGCTAGCATTCATAAAATCCTTGAGTCGAGGAGATGCTAGACTGGAAATCCACTGTGATTATACCAGTCTTCGAGAACTGCAGCAGAAGACAAAGCAAAGAAATATTAATCTTTCATACCTGCATGCTCCTCCATAAAATCTTAAGGGAAGTTATGATTATAACTTCAATAAATAACTACTTTACTGAAAGCAAATCTTTGTTAGCTAATGCTCACATTTTTCAAAGCAGTTTCAGCTCAAAATAGCTCTCCAGCTGGTGCACTGTACAGGGACTTGTGTAAGGTATTCACTAAAGTACTAAACAAAAGATTATTCCTGAACGTTAAAGCATGTGAAACCATTGACAAAATATTATGCTATATATTAGCCAAATGATGCTGAAATCGTGAGATCAGTTTGTCAATGGCGTCTCGAATTACGATGAGGGGAAATATTAAACAGAGAAAACATTATCAAAGTGCGCAAAATAAAGCAAACACAATACTGCGCTTTATATGAAGTATTAGTAATAAATCCTTCACCAGTATTCTTCAGTTCTATCTTGCCTTTGTTTAACCCTACATAGATTATGTTGGTCAGTTTTGTTATGCAATATAAAATGAGGGTAGTAATTTCCGTCAAAAAAGCTCAGCAAAGAATGGCTAAGTTAACCAGAGCATTAGAAACCTCGCTTATTAGAAAAAATTAGGGGAACTTAATTTTCATTCCTTATAAATAAGAAGGTAAAAGGATGGCATGATTGAAGTATACAAGTGGATGAAATTCTCACAGACGCCAAACTCCTGAAACATGTTGGGTTGTTTCAGGACAACACTGGCTACACACTGTGTTGCGTATACTGTATAACCTGACTACCTCTTGGTACACACCTAACATATCTGCTCTCAGCTAAGAGTAAAGTACTGAATGAGGCAGAGAACTCACTCAATTAACTCATCATTAATTAATGACATGATGTCATTAAGTTCACTCTTGAAGTAGACCTGGACCATTGTCTGAGGGCTCATATCTTCTCCTGTTAGTTCCTCCAACAGTGCATCCCACACGATCTGAAATTAGACAATTTGTGATAAAAAGAAATGATCTTACTGGGAATCATTACAAAATATTTACAGAAATTTATATGAAAGAATACAGTCTTTCTACAGTCTTTCAGTCTTTCATTGCTGATACTTTATCTACTTTGAGTTTCAGTAAAAAAGTTGAGGTTTTTTATACAGTGATACAGTACCTCCATTTAAGAATTTAATCCGTTCCCGGAGACGGGTCGTAACTCGAAAGAAATTTTCCCATAAGAAATAATGTAAGTTGAATTAATCCGTTCCACACTCCCAAAAATATTAACTTTAAAATACCTTTCATGCAATATACACACACACATTTTATACTATAGTATGTACAAATTAAAGCTTATCTTTATTGATGACTTGTTGGCGTATGGAAGAAGGTGAGGAGGGGGGGGGGGGAGGAGAGGTGTTAGTGTTTGGAAGGGGAGTCTCCTTCCATTATAACATCAGGCAGTGATGACTTCTCTGGAGTACTTTTTCTCCTACGTTTCGCCTGCATACCACTAGGACCTGGTTGTGGTTCACTGCTTGTTTTTCCTAAGAAACTTTCCATAGAAACTTATTTTCTCTACGTTTTATCACTTGTCTGTAGTGAGACATCACATTGTCTCACTATGAATGATCTCTTGTTTTTCCTGTATTGTCATTCTCACATGTGTTTTCTTAGGTTGAACCTTGCCAATGACTTTCTTGGAACCCATGGCGTGATAAGTAATAATCTTAGTAGCCTTCTTATGTAAGATATAATAATTTTAATAATAAAGTAGCCTTCTTCTTCACCTTACAGTCCCCTCAGTACCTTCATGTGTGGAGCTAGCCTCTGGTAGCCTTCTTCACCTTACACAGTTCCTTCACTACCTTCATGCATGGAGCCTCTGGTAGCTGCCTTCTTCATCTTACAGCCCCCCCCTCACTATCTTCTGTCAGTGACCTTTTATCCTGGCTCTTTATGTGAGATCTGTTGTTCTGGTCCCAACCCCTTCTATCTGTGATCCCGTGTCCTGATCCCACTTTGTATTATTTTGTGTTTTCCACCAGTCTCAAAATTCTCTTTTACTAAGTAATTTTGTTAGTCTTGCAATAGGTTTCCGCAGTACTGCATGAGAAGTGAAAAATAGTTGTGGCCAGACTGCACATTACATGTTTGTCAAATGAGAGAGGAACCTATTACAAAGGAATCATAACATTACTAACTTTATCTTTTGAGTATGTGAAGACGTCTCCATCAATCAGCTCCTTGAGAGTGAATTCCTCATATTCTTTGTTGATATTCTTGTTCCGCATGTCCGGTGTCTTTGGCAGGAGCTGATGAGAAATATAGTATGAAAAATTGATATTTGTAATATAAATACAGCTTGTTACAGCAAAAGGACCCCAAGCTGTTTTAAGTCAAACATGGATAATACAGTAGCAAATTATGAGCACTTCTGAAAAAGGAAGCATTGGGTGGGAGCAACAACACTGGAGCAACAGTTCAGTAACAGCATTGGAGCAACACTAACAGTAGCATCAGAGCACACTGGAGAAGCACTTCAGCAACAAAACTGGAGCATCACTTCAATAAAATCACTGGAGCAACACCTTGTTAACAGCACTGGAGTGTTACTCTCATGCATACTACTCCTCACTACTCGTGTTACTCTCATCACTGGAGCAACTCTAATAAAGAATAACAGTGAAGTAATGAAGCATACAAGTAATTACCTAAGTGTAGGTAATTACTTGTATGATTCATTACTTCACTGTTATTCTTTATTAGCGTTGCTCCAGTGATGAGGGTAACATGAGCACAAGTGCGGAAGAGTCCATGCTACACAATGAAGGACTTACATCAGCTAGACTCTCCAAGAAGAAGTTAGTATTAATTTTCGTGTTTGCTAGAATTTTCTCCTTAAGAGTGATGTTGTCAAAGTTCTCCATCAGCTTCATCTCATTCACTGCGAGACTCATTCTTTCCAGTCTGGCTTGAAGTCCAGCACCACGAGACTGTAAATACCAATATTAGTAACTAGACAGCTTCAATATAATGGTGTATATATAAACAGCACATAACATGCATATTGTTAGCCAATCTAATGCTAATGTGTACATCATGATAACAAACTTTTCATTGACATATTTTTTCAGTGCAAGACTGACTTGACATTTAACTTGCCAAATTAATGTTTTGTGGGCAACTGAATTGTATATAGAGACATATAGAGTCCAGCACAACATTTGTATACAAACATTGACCTCGGTTGATTGTCTTTCCTTCTGATCATGATATGAAACATCAACATGTACATCTTGGCATCTATTTTGCTGATTTCATATATTGATAGCACATGTATTCCCTGTACATTCTGAAATGTTGTCATGTGTGATGGAAAACAATCCCGTAGGGCATAGTATGAATTACAAAACAATCACGTCGAAGAAAATTGTTAGACAAGAAATAAATGATACCAAGGAAGGCTAATATAATAATCCCACAGGCCGTTGGTTCCAACCCATCCTCCTGTTTACATAGTACCTATTGTGACGGTCGTCAATAATCATCAATTTGTACGTACTTAGCTTTTAGATGGTATTGTACTTACTAGTAAGGAATCCGTTAAAAAAAATGAAGCTTAAAAAAAACTTAAATATTTCTATGCCTAGTATAGCACATGTATGTACTATACTCTATTAGGCCTCAGATATGGTGTTTTAAGCCTAGGAAGGTTAGGTTAGGTTAGTTTAGTTTGTCTTTGCAACACAAGTAAAAAACAGTTTTCTGGTTTATCCAACTGAAAAGTGCTGATTTCTACTATCTAATTTTGTTGTATGTGGGTATATATACTATGGTCCTCATCGTTACTATAAGTACTACCAGAACAGGAGGATGGGCTGTAGGTTCACACACCGCTGTGGGCAAGAATGGTTCATAAACTCTGTTAAATCAGCATCGTGTTACATACCTTGGTGCAGCCATGATATGTACCCTTCAATGCATGTTGATAAATCCTCGGTTTAAATTTGTATCAATAAACACTAAAAAAACAGCATTGAATGTAATGAAAGGCCAATTTCTGGGCGACCCTGAAGGCTCCCTGACACCTGGCTAGAGGGAGATGACAGGGGCTCCCTCCACAAATACATAGTAACAAAATACACTCACCTTGCATTGTTGAAACTCTTCATATTCTGAATTAATATCAATTGTTTTACTTGTAAGTGTAGCATTTTCTAGACTTAGTTTATATTTGTGAAGGCAGATTGTTTGGGCCAAATCATTGCTGAAAGCCGAGTCAAACAATGGTGGGGTGAGCTTGAGCACGAACTTCTTAGTGTCATTACCATCAACATCCAGATGCAGATCAAACAGTGGGGTGCTGCAGAAACAAGTTATTATGTGAAATTTTAATTATAAAAACATATACTGTATGCTACTCTTCCAACACTACTAATTAATATTGGCATTCCACAGGGTCATATTCCTGATCCACTCGTCGTTCCCATATACATCAATGACCTCCAAAGGCCAATCATCACCTGAAGCCAATTTTATTTGTTGATGACCCAACCTTCATTTTATAAAATGCCAAACCACTTATTCTGAATAACAGAGTGAATACTGAACTAAAAAAAAAATATTAAATATAATGAAATACCCATTTCTAGGTGAGCTCTGGTGGCTTTCTCAAGCTATATCCAGCACTAATAGATATAATATCCGAAAATATTTGAAGCAATAAATGAGGAGCTTATAAATTAAATAATTTTGGTTCTTCACTCCAACAACAAAAATGAATCCCAGTAGTTTTGTAACCTACAAAGCAGAGAACTTAAAAAATATATATATAATTGGCATTTCATTATTTGCTTAAGATAATGGTTATGCTCAGACCTTGTTATTATATCATTATTCAAAGTCAATACTTAATTTTTCATTAGATAATTAATGATAACTGTCATTATAATACTTACAAGTGCAACTTCATCATTTTGGCCAAGCAGGATGTTAAATCAAAGTTATTGTCGTAGCCCGGCCACTCGTCACTAGTATTCACTATGCCTCCTACATTGGGATTAAATACCAATGAAATGTTGTTGAAAAAGTCCTTGGCCTGCTCCAAGCGCATTGTTTCATTATATGTCTCCATGTAATTCAAACAAGTGTCGTAGTATTCTCGCATGGGACCAACATCTGGGTCACTCGCAGACACTCGTGCCAATGCATCTGTTGAAATAGTGGTACACAAGCTGTATAACACATAGTGACTATAATACATACAGAGAATGTATAGTGATTTGTCAAAATGCCATGAAGAGTGGAGAAGGTATTTAAACAAAATGGAAAATATTCCATACATATACACAAATATATGTATGTACAGTTTATAAAATGAATGAACTGACTGTGTGTATTGATGGTGGACAAAGTGACAGAGAGAAAGCCAGGGCTGACCTTTGATGATGTGATGTGTGATGAGCTGGGGATCCTCGGGGATCAGGAATGGGTCGTCCAACACTCCCCCACACGAGTACTCGTAGAAGTCCTGTTGATTCATAAAATATAGTGTGCAGCCATTTTTATTATAGTACAGTAATTATTTTTTTTGGGAAAATAACTCCCCTTGTCCCTCCATGCTCCTTAAATTAATTGCTATTCAAATTTAGAATACTGTATAGTGCTGGTATATTACCTCACATGGGTCGATGTTGCCAAGATGCATCATATCCAACATTCGAGCTGCCAATCGCTTGCAGGCTATAGTGTTGCATGTCTCATTACCTTTTAAAAGTAAAAAAAAATACTTCAGAAGGTGAATTATAGTGAATGGGAGATCGGGAGGGGGGGGGGGGCGGCACTACCTGACATTGCCTGAGTCTGTCTGTCTTCCATCTCTGTCTCTATTTCTACCTCTATCTATCTTTATCTATCTATCTAGCTTCTATCTCCCCCCCCCCTTCATCCTCCCACCCCCTGCTTCCCCTCTCAAGAAGCACTGAAACAAATGTTTGGGTCTTGGATGCTCTGCTTCCCCTTTTCCTTTTTCATTTTTTTTTTTGTCAGTAACAACTTCACATTAATCAAACACCATATTTCACACTTGATGCCATGAAACACTCCATGAAAATAGCCTAGGGGTGTTTATAATTGCTAACATTTATTAAAGCATTTAACTTAGGCCTCCCCCAAACAGCCTATGCCCATCCCATATCTCCATGCAAATTTGAATCAGGTTAGCCTCAGGTGACTGACCTCCAACCTTGGACAGGCAGATAGACTGACAGGCAGACATTATCTTATAGTACTGAATATACAGGGACAGTGTCAAAGACAATACAAATACTCTATATAACAAATAATTTACTGAATGCCAAGAACACTGTTAATATTACAAGTTCTTTTATTAGTCACGAAGATGAGAGGTGTAGTCATGAGAGCCAGAAGCCTGGGGCCAGATTCATGAAGCAGTTATGCAAGCACTTACGAACCTGTACATCTTTTCTCAATCTTTGGCGGTTTTGTTTACAACAATTAAACTGTTAATGAGCTCTGAAGCACCAGGAGGCTGTTTATAACAATAAAAACAGTTGATTGGGAAGTAAACTGTTTAATAAATGTAACCTAAGCTGTCAAAGATTGAGGAAAGATGTACACGTTCATAAGTACTTGCGTAGCTGCTTTGTGAATCTGGCCCCTGGTTTAACATATTGTCTTAACTACTGCACAGTCTGCCTAGAGCTCTATTTCAATTTGGTTTGCCTTTAGAAGTTTCTTCCAAAACATGTACTGTATCTTAACTCTTGTGAGAGGTATAACATGACTCACAAGAGAAGCATGTAGTACCTCTGTTGTGGGACATTCTGTGCTTTGGCACACCCACCCTAGTGCATGATTATTTACAGCTCCACTGTCTTTGGAAGCAGCTTTTGAGACCTCAGGGTTCAGCTGTCGTTGGCACTGATTGTGGTGATACCACTACGGTCGGTTTATAACGGTTTTTATCCAAATTTGATACCCAATCAGGACGAGACATTTGTACGTTTCCTTTTACCTATGCCGCTTTTCATCTAGCAGTAAATAAGTACCTTTGAGTTAGTAGTTGTTGTGGGATGCATTCTGGGAAAGATAAGACATTTCCCTAGGGGGGACCTAGACAGGCCTAACAGGCTACTTGTGCGCAATAATGGGAAACTGGTGGCTCTCAGGTTCCCAAACACTAGTACAATATAAGTTACTGGGCCTAACAGGCTACTTTTGCACAATAATGGGAAACTGGTGGCTCTCAGGTTCCCAAACACTAGTACAATATAAGTTACTGCTACTCTAGAGGTGAATTCACTATAACATTGTCTACTAGCTACCTAAGAAGTTGGTGCTACATCTCATTCCCTTGAGTTCATACCTTTATGTAGTGTTAGAGAGGCTTCTAACATGATTGAGAAATTTTCTAACTAGCAGAAAAATGAGGGCAGTAATCAGAAGCAATGTATCCGACTGGAGAAATGTCACTTTTGGAGTATCACAGGGTTCAGTTCTTGCACCAGTAATGGTCATTGTCTACATAAATGAGTGACCAGTTATGCTTTATATACAGTGTATATATATATATATATATATATATATATATATATATATATATATATATATATATATATATATATATATATATATATATATATATATATATATATATATATATATATATATATATATATATATATATATATATATATATATATATATATATATATATATATATATATATATATATATATATATATATATATATATATATATATATATATATATATATATATATATATATATATATATATATATATATATATATATATATATATATATATATATATATATATATATATATATATGGTATAACTCTATACAGTATATATGGTTATGTTATAGTTATGCCCTACATATATATAAGGCATGGCATGCCCTATATATATATATAGGGCATAACCTCAGTGCCCTCATGTTGCTATGTCAGTGACGTGATTAACTGAAACACTGTTTAATTTGTTAACCAAGTTCATAGTTAATGAGATGAGAGCCTGAGTTAGTACTTTTTTTTTTTTTTTTGAGATATATACAAGAGTTGCTACATTCTTGTACAGCCACTAGTACGCGTAGCGTTTCGGGCAAGTCCTTAATCCTAAGGTCCCTGGAATACGATCCCCTGCCGCGAAGAATCGTTTTTTCATCCAAGTACACATTTTACTGTTGCGTTAAACAGAGGCTACAGTTAAGGAATTGCGCCCAGTAAATCCTCCCCGGCCAGGATACGAACCCATGACATAGCGCTCGCGGAACGCCAGGCGAGTGTCTTACCACTACACCACGGAGACTGCTTACAATATACTTAACAGTACTTAACAGTACTTAACGTCACTTAACAGAAGTGACAGATTTTGGTTAGACCCTTCGAAAGTTTGCAGATTACAGATTCCATAGAACTAATACTAAGGCTTCATAAGGTAAGGTTTGTATCGTGACCAAGCCATAAGAATACAGCAAGGAAGGTGATGAGGTAGTAAACTGGTTTAGAAAATCTTTATTAGTATTAAAACTTCCTTAAGCTCTGTTTGAAAGTCTTGATGTCATCATGAGGGTGTTTTCTCAGTTTTGGGTAAGTAGATGAATCTTGGAGAATCTCATGAATCTCATTTGATTAAATATGAATATTTAATAATATTCAACCTTTGTCAGCTTTTGTGGAATGAATTATTAACTATGGATTTGGTTAACAAACTAAACAATATTTCAGTCAGTCAGGATGTTAATTAATTAGTTTTGATGCGCTTCATTTATTAAAGTTCCTGATGATGATACTGTTATCTTTGATATCTTTGTCATAAAATGACTAACCTGGTTAGTAAGGCTTTTAACCCATTTACTGCTAGTATTCCCACCGTTTACCTGCTCACTCCCCGATATTTACCCAGCTGCTTCCGCTGTTTACTCAGCCACATCTATCATTTGCTCAAAAACAATGAACGTGAATTCATTCGAGTTACCAGAATTTGGAATACCGAGCTCTTACAGCACCTGTATTAGTAATGAATGCTCACTCTTGACAATTTTTTAACTAATATATTTATTACAAATATTAGGGGATTACTGTACAACTATTCTCATTGGGGAATTGTTAAAACTAAGAAAATCTGTTGAAATTAATCCATTTTTTGCCCTACAACAATGAATGTGCTGTATATATTCTGCCCGAAACGCTTTGCGTAATAGTGGCTTTAGGCATTGTATGTACTAGCTCCATCTATAAATCGATCAATTTATGTAAAATCTCTTGATTTTTATAAAATTTTATATATAATGTATATAGGTATATAATTTTATATACATTATATAATTTTTTTTTTTTTATATAATGACTAGTTATATTGCACTCACTTTTAGTTAAGTTATAGTATAGTGTAGTTGTTGATGGCACTGTGCTTGATAATGGTGTAGTCGAGTCATCAGTTGTTGACGACATTGTAGTTGGTTCTTCACTTGTTGACTGAATAGTTGATTCTTCAGTTGAGGATAGAGTGACTGGCTCTTCACTTGTAGCAAGCACTGTAGTTGTCTCTTCACTTGTCGGGATCATTGTAGTTGTCTCTTCACTTGTCGCGGTCATTGTAGTTGTCTCTTCACTTGTCGCGGTCATTGTAGTTGTCTCTTTACTTGATGCAGTCATTATAGTTGTCTCTTCACTTGTCATATTCATTGTAGTCAACTCTTCACTTGAATCAGTCATTGTAGTCGACTCTTCACTTGAAGCAATCGTTGTAGCTGGCCCTTCACTTGATGAAACTGCTGTAGTTGGTTCTTCAGTTGACCACTTAACTTCATATTCCGAAAAAAGTTCTGGTGTGACAGCTGTCGACTCATCTGTTGCTGACATTGTAGTGTCAAACTCGTCAGATGTTGAGGACAGTGTTGTTGAACTTACCGGTGATGTTAGCTCTTCAGTTGTTGATGCTTCAGTTGTTAAGAATGCAATATGTTTAGTGGTTGTGGATGGTGTAGTTGATTCCTGAGTGGTTGGGGAAAGTGTAGTTGACTGCTCGGTGGTTGAGGACAGTGTCGTTGACTTTTCAGTGGTTGTGGAAAGTGTACTGGACTCTGTAGTTTCTAAGGGCATTGTGGTTGTAGGAGCAGTAGTTGTAGTAGTAGATGTAGTTGTAGTAGTAGATGTAGTTGTAGGAGCAGTAGTTGTAGTTGTAGATACTGATGTAGTTACTTCTGTTGTTGCATCTGTTAGGATGTCAGGGGGTGCTCCTCCATGCTTCTCTTGACTCACCTGGAAAAAGAAACATGAGGCATGCTGAGGAGATGGTCACATTTGTGTGTTTAATGTTTAATTAAATATATATTAAAAAGGGTAAGATTAATGATTCTAATACGAATCTTCTCTCAATATTTCCTACATTTTCCTTCACTGTCGGGGTAATTGAAAAATTAACTCTCCAAAGTTCATTTTTGCATTTTTATTTATGGTCTCCTGAAAGCATTTCGTAAGAGACTTCTCACATTTTCAAAGACAGATTTTTATGTACAGGTACTCCGTTTCGTGCTTATATTTTATCTTAAGCTGATAATGTAAACGCATAATTGGTTTCCATTGAGCATCTGCCTTACAGCAGCTGCTGCAGTGGAGAAGCATCATGTTCATTTACAACAGTTGGGTCCAGTGCAGGGGCACGGTTAGGTTGAGATACCGACTACCTTGTAGTTATGTCCTGTGCAGTGGTAGTCAGGGCCAGGGCAGGGTTGGGGGACTACCTACTAGTACCTCAAAGCTGTGTCCAACACAGTGGCAGCCAGGGGCCATGCAGGGTAGTGCCCAGGAGTCATTTGGGCACTACCTACCTCACAGCTGTGTCAGGTATAGTGGCAGCAAGGGCCAGGGTAAGTTTGGGGCACTATCTACCTCACAGCTGTGTCTGGTGCAGTTGGCAGCCATAGCCACGACAGGATTTGGGCATTACCTACCTGACAGTGAGGTCCAGTGCAGTGGCAGTCAGGGCCATGGCAGGGTTGGGGTACAAGGCACAGTATGATGATGATGACCACAAACACCACTGCCAACACAGCCAAGATGACGCTTGTGCGCTTGTTGGCTCCAGCCATAATGGCTCGGCACCTGGTAAGGAGGCAGGGGTTAAGGGAACACTTGTCACATTACAGCATGGTAGCTAGTCAATTCACATCACAATTCAAAATAACTACATGATAATCTACTTTTAAAATGGATAAAAACAAATATTGTGAGATGTAGATCAATGCTGACAAATGTGGTATTCCGAGTCTTCGAAATGACAATTTAGCCAGATATCTGGTTAACGGCATTGAAATTGTGAAATGTGAATGCTGACACTATCAGCATTCAGATAGTTTGGTCATTGGTATCAGTAATTAAACAAAGCACACAATGTATGAATGTCTGAAACAAAGTGAATGAGATATCTAAATTAGTGTCTAGAAGGTTTAGTAATAATCCATTGAATTTTTATTAATATGCTTTATCTTGCTACTGTTAGACCCCATTTTGATAATGCAGTTCAGTTTTGGTGACTACTACAGTATACAATGGACCTGATAAATTTTTTGGAAGATGTACTGAGAATAATTTCAATGTTAATCTTGGGCATTATGAATCTTCCTTATTAAGAAAGATAAATCTACATTCTCTACAAAATCGAAGAGCAATGGTCGCTGTAATGGTTCAAGTGTACAAATGAATGAAAGAGTATGACGTGTTTTTTTTTATTGCACGCTAAGAATGTAAACAAATTAAAACCTGGAATAATGGATACAAATTGTACAAGTTAAGATTCAGAAGAATTTTGGTAAATACTGCTTTAGAAATAGGAATGTAGATTTATGGAAGCAGTTGCCTGATGAGATAGACATAGGGTTGGGTATGATTAGGAGATGCCTCACAGTAGCCAACAGGCCTTATGCAGTCTCCCACATTCTCATGTTTTAGTCATTACATATTCACAATGGTAGCATGCATGTGTGCAGTTTCAGTTATTTATTGGACAGTCATGTGCATTGGGGACATATGTGAATATTTCAGTATTAGGAGAGTAGCAATATTAATTAACTTGGTATTCATTCTACCTGACTTAGCCAGAGGAGGAAGAGATTTCTTCAGATATTTCGTACATGTAAGTAATTATCAAAAGAATGCATTAATCCAGCAGCCTATGTCTATACAGCACTAAATATATCGATAAAGAATATTAAAAAGTTCCTAGATACCATTCAGGAGACCATTTTGAGAGCGGAAAGACATAAGGTAATCATTGTAAAAGGGGTCATTTTCACCAAAGATTTTATCGAGGAACATTAAGTGTACAGGAACCTAAGGAAGGTACTATTTCCGATTGTTCTGAAAATTTGTATGTTTTATCAGGAAGTGAGTTATTATAAGTGGAACAATACAGTCTTGACAGTAAGGCACAGATAATTTTATCTGTGCTTTTGTTTTATTAAGTGCTCATGAGTAAATCTTGTGTCCAATGTGTAAATCCGAGGCTTTTTCATTTCCTGATTCATTCATAGGAGGAAGGCCTTCAGGATTAGATCACATTTAATGGTACAGTATTTGTTACTTGTAGTAGCTAAATGTCTATCTTTTCCACGGCTGTAGAGTGCATTATTTATTTTAATTTACCTGGGGGTGGGGTGTGGGAGGCACTATACCTCTAGTGGGCTCAACAGGGACAGAAAGCCGGCAACTTATCAAAGATCCTCTTATTGTTCCTGAGGATTTTTTCCAACTGGATTTTGAACTGAAGTAATTTCTTGTCATTTATGGCTAAGGTGGTTAGGTGGTTGCATGGGTTTATAACCTTATGGATAAAAAAGCATCTGTTTCTGCTCTACATTGTGGCTTGTTGAGCTTGAAGCTGTTACCCATTATACAGTACCTGTATGTACTACATTGAACCTTTTATGGAAGTGGTCTGGATTTATATCCTCCAACTTGTTTATTATTTTAAACGTTTTGATGAGATCAGCCCTATCATGTTTGGTTTGCAGTGTTATAAGTACTGTAGCTCTCAACTGTTCCTGATATGAGGTAAAATAGTTTTGGGATGATTTATGTCACTATGTGTTGAACTTTCTCCAAAGCAGATATGTCCTCTTGAAGGTGAGGTCTCCATGCTTGAATACAGTAGTGTAAATGGAGGCGCACCAGGGACTTGTACATTACAGTTGAATAACCATTTTCTTTTCCTTGAAGCCAAAGATTCGTTTGACTATTCCTAAGGTATATTCTGCCTACTAGGTCCTTTTTTTTCATCAATCAGCTGCATGATTGTGTTATTGTTACGGCAGTCATGATATGTATTGGTCTTGCATTTTTCAATATTAAAAAGCATTTGCCAGGCTTCTTACCATTTGTGAATTTTATGTAGATCTCTTTATAAGGCCTCAATATCGTTCTTGCTATTTACTTTTACTACAGATGTTAGCATTATCTCAAATTTGATGAAGTGGTTTGTAATTTTCTTATCTATGTATGTAACAAAAAAGGGTTGGACAAGATGAGACCTTGCAGTACTCCACTCAACACATTTTTATCAGTCAGATGCATTTCCATATCTGACAACCTTTTGCTTTCCTTATTCTAACTGTTGCTTTATCCACTGTAGTATTTTTCCAGTTGTTCCATCTGCTTGTAATGTCTTTGCAGGTGTTTCATACCTGGAGAGACTGGAAAGAGTTCTGCTTATCAAAAGCTTCAGAGAAGACCATGTACACTATATTACATCTACTGGAAGTCTATCTGAATAGCTAGTTACAGTCTCCAAAAACATGAGCAGGTTAGTAAGGCAGAATTTGTTTTTAACAAACCCATGTAGTGTTGATTTTATTAGATTTTGCACTGTGAGGTGGTGAATAATTCCCTCCTTTAGGATTCTCTCTGAGCTTGCAGGTGTGTAGGTCATGCTTATTGGTCAGTAGCTTTCTTCTGAGCTCTTCCTGCCTGTATTGAAGATGAGGGTAACATCTTAATATTTCCAGTCTAGGGGAACTTTCCCTATTCTAGAGATTTTCTGAATAGGAGTTTCAGTGGTAGACCCTTAAACCAATTCCTTTGCAATATTGGACTGAATTCTATCCACATCTGAGCGATAAATTTGTCAATACTCTTCCTTATTATATCACACATTATGGGAATACCCCATAATTCATTCTCTTCACCTGCTTCTAACATTTGTGTGGGTATTGGGATGATATCTAAATCTTTCTAGGATGGACACTGATACAAAGTGCAGTACTGTATTAATTTAGTGTTGGCTGCCTTTTTATTATTCATTTTAATATGGCTGGTCTCAACTTTTATAGATACCAGTACAGTACTACCAAGTGTTTTGTCTTAGGTTTACAGCTTATATAGGCATAAAAAGGCTTAGGTCTTTTTTTTTTAACGAGTTTTCTTTCATATTTTTTGGCTGAATCCTGGTCCGGCTTCAGTGGAAGCCTCGGGAAACCATTGTGAGCTCAGTAGAACTTCAGGTTGCGATCCTTTTAACCATGTCATGGCCAAGTTGACTAGGGCATGTGTGTGTGGGAACACCCACCACATAGGTTTGAATCCTCAACACAGTTCCTATGGATTTTCTCAATAAAATTAATATTATTATTATGTTTATAGCACAGCTTAATTTATGTTCTGTGGTTTTCACACACGAGAACACCAGTGTCGGCTTCCCATCTTCCTTTTCTGAAGATAACAGAATGGAACATATTTTATCTCACATTTGGCATTACTGTATAGTGAGATTACGCTGTATATAGTTTTCCTCCACTACACTTAACTAGTCATTCCATTTAGTAGTTAAGGGGCAGCTTTGTAGTCTGATGAACCAGTGACAAATGGTTCTGCTAAATGTTAATTACAACCATTGAGGAAAGGTCAGTGACGTGAAACCTTTGTAGGAAGTCTCTTAAAGGATTGTAAATTGCCGTGTGGGGTTTCCAGTGGTTCTCTGACTAATTCAGAGAACTAGAATTAAATCTAGTTCCTCAGGGTCCCTGTTCCCTGACCACAACCCGGTCTATAACAATAAGATATCCTACATGGTTACCGATCTGATCACATCAGGCTACTGAAGCTCATAGCTTGTTGATCAGGAACAGTTTAAAGAAATTAACCAAATTTACACTGTTAAAGACAGGAGATAGAGAAATGAGAAAAAGACAAAGAATAGATAAATGAGAAACAGAGAGAGAGATGTATCAGAGTGGGCAGACAAAGGATGCTGGATGATAAGGACAGATTTTACACCACTTTAGACACGAAAAAGAAACATCCACATCCTGTCCTCTGTATCAGTCCTGAGACTAGAGTGCTAACATGGTCTTCGCCTACTTATTAACTGACATCATCACAATCTGTAAAAACATTCCTCCTTTTGATTGATGTCTTGGATGGGTGTCTTTTGCAGTGCATGTGTGTTGTGTCTTCATGGGGGGAGGGTGTCTTGTGGTGTTGGGGTGTGTCTTGTGGTGTTGGGGTGTGTCTTGTGGTGTTGGGGTGTGTCTTGTGGTGTTGGGGTGTGTCTTGTGGTGTTGGGGTGTGTCTTGTGGTGTTGGGGTGTCTCTTGTGGTGTTGGGGTGTGTCTTGTGGTGTTGGGGTGTGTCTTGTGGTGTTGGGGTGTGTCTTGTGGTGTTGGGGTGTGTCTTGTGGTGTTGGGGTGTGTCTTGTGGTGTTGGGGTGTGTCTTGTGGTGTTGGGGTGTGTCTTGTGGTGTTGGGGTGTGTCTTGTGGTGTTGGGGTGTGTCTTGTGGTGTTGGGGTGTGTCTTGTGGTGTTGGGGGTGTCTCTTGTGGTGTTGGGGTGTGTCTTGTGGTGTTGGGGTGCCTCTTGTAGTGTTGGGGTGTCTCTTGTGGTGTTGGGGTGCCTCTTGTAGTGTTGGGGTGTGCTTCTTGTGGCAGGGTGTGCTTCTTGTGGCAGGGTGTGCCTCTTGTGGCAGGGTGTGCCTCTTGTGGTGGGGATGCATAATTACCCAAGTTTAGTTACAGGATGAGAGCTACGCTCGTAGTGTCCCGTCTTCCCAGCACTCTTTGTCATATAACGCTTTGAAACTACAGTACTGTACTGACGGTTTAGCCTCCACCACCTTCTCACTTGACTTCTTCCAAACCGTCTACCACTGTTTGCGAAAGTGAATTTTCTAATATTCACAATCGACTTGAGAATGGTCCAGGACGGACCGAAACGTTGTCGTCCCTTCACTTTCTAGTGTGTGGTCTGGTCAACATTATATAATATTTCTCATTCATGGGGGACCTCGACCACGAGGATTCAACCATAAGGACCTCAACCACGAGGATTCAACCATAAGGACCTCAACCACGAGGATTCAACCATAAGGACCCCAATCATGAGGATTCAACCATAAGGACCTCAACCATGGGGATTCAACCATAAGGACCTCAGTCATGGGGATTCAACCATAAGGACCTCAACCATGAGAATTCAACCATAAGGACCTCAACCATAAGGACCTCAACCATGGGGATTCAACCATGAGGACCTCAGTCATGGGGATTCAACCATAAGGACCTCAACCATGAGAATTCAACCATAAGGACCTCAACCATGGGGATTCAACCATGAGGACCTCAGTCATGGGGATTCAACCATAAGGACCTCAACCATGAGAATTCAACCATAAGGACCTCAACCATAAGGACCTCAATCATGGGGATTTAACCATAAGGACCTCAACCATGAGGATTCAACCATAAGGACCTCAACCATGAGGATTTAACCATAAGGACCTCAACCATGAGGATTTAACCATAAGGACCTCAACCATGAGGATTCAACCATAAGGACCTCAACCATGAGGATTTAACCATAAGAACCTCAACCATGAGGATTTAACCATAAGGACCTCAACCATGAGGATTTAACCATAAGGACCTCAACCATGAGGATTTAACCATAAGGACCTCAACCATGAGGATTTAACCATAAGGACCTCAACCATGAGGATTTAACCATAAGGACCTCAACCATGAGGATTTAACCATAAGGACCTCAACCATGAGGATTTAACCATAAGGACCTTAAGATCTCATTAAGACCTTTTGTGCTCCTCTGTAATTGTTTTTGCATTACAGCTCACAAGATGAGTATGGGGTGCACAATAAACTAACTGCCTCTGGTGGCAACAAAGTGTAACTCTATCTTATCTTTAGCACCCACAAGTCCAACACTGCCCATCTCTCACTGTTAAAGTGGTCCACAAGTCCAACACTGACTTTTTCCCCAATGGTGAGGTGACCCCACAAGTCCAATACTGTGGCCATCCCTCAATGGCCCACAAGTCCAATACTGTGGACACAATACCTACAACTAGATACTGACCAGAGGATTAAACCATCAGCCAGATATTGACCTGGTAAATATTGATCAGAGGACACAATAATGTACTACTAAATCATCAAAGTTTCACTGTTTCAATGACTGGTAATCAAGAAGCTGACACTGTGGCTGCTGAGATGCAAGATCCTAAACCAGAAAGACAATCTTTGGGTCTTGCTGCATTAAGAATTTTGAGTTGAGTGGACATGGCAGTAACAATCATAAAGTCACTTGACATGCTAGAAGTTGTGGGATTGTTGAGTCAATCCAAGGCTGCTATAGCCTTTTATCCGCTCCTTAACTAAGGCTTAATGGCAGATTGTGGAGGATCTTTGACAGTTCCAGTCCACAAAAGCTGGAAGTGTATGTGGAAGATCTCGGTCTTAGTTCCAGTCCACAATCACATTCGTGAACCAAAATGCCCAAAATGCTTTGCATACTTGTGGCTTTATTAAATAGTCTTTTTATGTAATAACTTTTCAACCATTATACCATGTACTGATGTATATTTTGTAAATATAAATTATTATTATTACATGTACATGTATAATTATTATTGTAAGTACTGTACCTTCATTGTCGACAGTATTTAATCAAACATTATTTTATATCAGATGATGGCAAATACACTAGAGAATATATAAAAACATCCTGGTATGTACAACAATAGTCTTCATGGACAATCTTAGCTGTGGATGGAACATCAAGGCTCATACTGGACAACTTCTCAGTGGGGAACAGAAAAAAAAAAGAAATTGAAAACTTGAGTGAACTCCTGCCTATGACCAAGAAGGATACTCACCAGAAGGTAGAATTCTACAACCAAGGTAAGATGGGTGGAACTACAACCAAAAGATAAACCTGGGTAGGTAAGGCAGACCAGTGGAGTACGAGGTGTGTTACACCCACTGTTTGACACCACTGACCACCACTGACTCTCTCCCCTTGTCCTGTCCCCCCCCCTCCTCCAAATTCCAGGACGTGACCCCCACCAGATAACATGCCTTCCTATCTCCGTCTCCCCAGCTATCTACCAACTGGTCGTTGTGGGAATAACGTGCAGGATACGTTGGTGATAAGTCACTTGCTCAACACACCAGGTGGCACCTCGCCCATCCTTACCACACACACACACACACACACACACACACACACACACAAACCAAATACACATGCAGATATACACAAATGGAATAAGTACACATGTATACTCACCTAGTTGTGGTTGAGCTCCAGCTCTTTGGTCTTGCCTTTCAACCATCAATTAACTGGTGTACAAATTTGTGAGCCTATTGCACTCTTATCATATCTAATGTACATTTGAAATTGTTTATGGAGACTGTCTCCACCACAACATTGCCTAGTGTATTCCATTTATTAACTACTCTTGACATTGAACAAATTCTTTCCAGTGTCTCTGGCTTATTTGGGTACTAGGTTTCCACCTGTTCCCTAGTTTGTGGTTCCACAGGTTCCACCACCTGTGCTAAATAGTTTGTCTTTGTCTACCCTGTCAATTGCTCTTGAGAATTTTGTATGTGGTAATCATGTCTCCTCTAACTCTTCTGTCTTCCAGTGACATGGAGTTCAGTTAAATAGCCTTTCCTAGCAACTCATACATCTCTGCTCCAAGACTAGTCTAGTGGCATACCTCTGAAAGTTCTCTAACTGCATCTTGTGTTTGACTAGATATGGACTCCTTGCTGGAGCTACATACTCAAGGATTGGTCTGACATTTGTGGTATAGAAGGTTCTAAATTAATCCATTTTATTCACACACACATACACATCTTTTTTAAATTACCTACCAGAAGAAACACAGAATTATATGAACATGTTTGCAGAGGATGCTAAGATACAGTACTAGGGAAGGTAAAAAAACTCTGACAATTGTCATGCCTTCCAAGAAGACCTGGATAAAATAAGTATATGGAGCACCACTTGGTAAATAGAATTTAATGTGAACAAATGCCATGTTATGGAATGGTAACAGGAGAAAATAGACCACACACAACCTACAAATTATGTAAAAAAGCTTTAAGCAATTCTGATAAAAAAAGAGATCTAGGGGTGGTTCAGATATAAAACTGTCACCTGAGGACCACATAAAGAACATTGTGAGAGGAGCCTATGCTACACTTTCCATTTTCAGAATTGCTTTTAAATACATGAATGGTTAAATACTAAAGAAATTGTTCACGACCTTTGTTAGAGCAAAGCTGGAATATGCAGCGGTTGTATGGTGCCCATATCTTAAGAAGCACATCAACAAACTGGACAAGGTGCAAAGACATGCAATTAAATGGCTCCCAGAACTGAACGACAAGAGTTATGAGGAGCAGTTAGAGGCATTAAATATGCCAAAACTAGAAGATAGAAGAAAAAGAGGCAATATGATCACTACGAACAAAATAGCAATGGGAATCTACAAAATTGAAAGGGAAGAATTCGTGAGACCTGGAACTTCAAGAACAAGAGAGCATGAATTCAAGCTAACTTAACAAAGCTGCCAAAAAAATATAAGAAAATTTACTTTTGCAAACAGAGTGGTAGACTGTTGGAATGAGTTAATTGAGAAAGTGGTGTTCAAAACCCACAGTAGTTTCCAAGCGTTATACAATAAAGAGTGCTGGGAAGACGGGACACCACGAGCATAGCTCTCATCCTGTACCTACACTTGGGTAATTACACACACACACATTCTCCCCCCCCCCCCCCCCTTCTGCTCCTTCCCTCTTCCTACCCCCTCCTCCCCCCCCCCCCCACATTAGCTTCTCTTCCCTTTCATTAAATATAATATTAGAGAGTAATGAAACTACTGTGTGGATTTCATTTTTTCTGATAAAAAACTCTTCAGGGATATCAACAAATATATCACACTCGACCAGAATCGAATCCTTGAGAATTGGATGTGGGATGTGAATAATTATTAATATTTTTGAATCATTTAACATTAATATATGTTGATCAGGCCTACCCTGACCAGCCTATATCTATCCCATGCCCCAAACCATTTTCCCTACAAATTTGGGTAAGGAAAACAAGCCATAAGTGTGTGTCCAAAGTTGGAGGCTAAACACACACATTCTCTCATATAGGTCTAGATATACTATATGTACAGTATTTCTGGCAATAATTTCCATGGTATACAACCCACATCAGACAAAGACAGCCACTTGAGGAGATTTTAACATGAACATCTTCACGTAACCTTCTAACTGCACACCCATGTTTCGAGGGATTTCCTGGTGTGCATAAAAAAAATCCAAAATATTCTTCTTCCTTTCTAAATCATAAGACTTTTTTTCTGATGTCAACAAAAAAAGTAATAATTTTAATTTGACTGTAGTGAGGTGAAATTTGTTTGAAAACCTAAAATTCTGAGAGTTAATTTTGCAGTGTCAGTGGTTTCTACTATAGACATAAAGTAAATGGATGGTGATGCACCTGATAGTGCCTATTTATTTTTATTTTTATTATCATTATTATTAGTGCCTGGTTAGACAACCACAGCTTTCAGAAATTTATCCAATATGGCAAACAATTGCCAGAGGTTCCTAGTGTCGAATGACAAAATCTTTAGGATTTCTTAAAATTACGAGGCACATTAAATCCCACAAGCGACAGGAGCACCGAATCTATTTCTTGAGAGCAACAGTGGTGGTTTAATGGTTATTTAAACTTCTCAGATTGAAGTGGATCATTAAGCTTTAGATTTGGTGTATTGCAAATCATGTGATGAATAAGTAGCCATTAAAATGTAGTAAATAGTTTTTATTTATTTATAATAGGGATCATAAGTAAAATAAATAAATGTATGGGGTAAGGCATATAGGAATCTAGTATTTATTTCTAGAAGTGTTAGCAAAAAAAAATGCCTAATATTATTTTCCAGCTGTATCTTGACCTTGTTAAGCCCTATTTAGATTATACTCTTGAATTTGGGGCTCTGTATTTAGAATGGAAACAAATTCACATGAATGCCTTCAGAGAAGAATTAGAAAGTTAATCCTGGGAAATAACATTTTAAATATATCAACACTACATGGAACTTGAAAGAATTAGCATAAATTGGATAAGCTTAGATTTAGTAAAGACCCGGGAATACCATATACTGTACTGGTTTGAAAACTGAGTTGTTGATTTGTGAAACAAATTAACAGGTAACAATAGATGTGTCATCACTGGATTGTTCTAAGCATATGTTAGACATGGATGAGTTTTGGTGGATGTAAATTGGGGGTACCTCATATGGCCCAATAGGCCTTTGTATGTTCTTGTTTAAAAGATATATAAATTCCTTATTAAAAAGCATTATTTTATTTTCAGGTACATCAACAAAAGGACAAGGAATCATAGTTGTAAATTGATATATACAGTAATACATTGCATGGCTAAGCTTATTTTAATCACGTAAGTCTATAAAATATAATTTGGTAAGGCTACTTGAAACTGGTGATAAAATGGTCACAATTAATTTTTTCTCTTAATACAAAAATAATTTGAAGAATTACTCATCTCATCATTGTCTAGTCTTCCACATAATTGCTGTATTATGTACTACAGTATTTGACTATATAGTTATCTTTTTGTGCTGAATATGGCTTAACGATGGTCCTTTAATAATGGACCATCATTATTAAATATTCAATCTAAGTATTAGTCTTCTTACATACATAACAACATTGGGTTTTTTCCTCACTTGTGTATTTTTGAAATTTATACAGTATAAGGAATTTAAACCGTCTTTTGCACTCTCCTGAGTGCTTTGTCAAGGTCTGAGTGAGTGATTAGGACAAGACTTACATCTCAACGTCTAATGAGGCTGCTATCCTGGGTCCAGTCCTCTTATCCTTCTCGACCGCCTGACCACGTCACCTCAATCCTGGACTTCTGATGTACCTGCGGTAATGTCTTCTGTGGAATTTTGGTCATGTGTCCTTTCTGTAATCCTGCTACTCTGAGAACTGGAGTTTTTATTAATAGAGGTATTCATCTGTAGGCTATCCCTCGTAATCCTCTCCATACCCTAGGAACGCGGCTAATGGGACCGCTTTCATTCATCCATTTATTGAGATCTAATTTTAATTCACTCATAATTATTTTCCTAGTACTGTACAGCTTTTGTTGCCAGCAAAAGTATTCAGAGTATTTGTTTGAACCCCTTGCACTACCCTTCTAGTTCTAATATTATTATATTTATAGATTATTTCACATGTCTTAAAATCAACATTGTGATCCTTTCCCAACTATGGTTTGTTACAGCACTGTTACCAGCCATAATTCTACATGCTTGCTTATGTTCTTCAATTGTGATCTCAAGCTTTTGCCCTGTTTTCCCCACATAGACTCCATTACAATCTCTACTAGGTAATATATAAATGCCTCCCGGATTTCCATCCTCCCCAAGATAACCAAGGAAGGTTATCTCAAGATAACCTCCCCTACTCTATTCTAATCTTTTCCCTAATTGTATTTTGTTAATTGAAAACTTTATGTTTTGTATCCACTACATTACAGGTCAGTTTACTTAAAAGAGGGTAATAAGGCAATTTCAAAACCATTTTCTTCTCAGGATTCCAAGGGCGTCTCAGTTTTAGTGTAAAGGATGCCTTTAGCTTTACCGTGTGCTTTTTCAGTGAACCACGAAGGATAATCTAAATCCAAAAACTCTTATGTTAAACTTCTAGGTAAGATGGATCACAGATCCTATAAGCTCTTAAACAAAGTGTACTCACCAGTCTTAATCTATGAGCTTATAGGATCTGTGATCCATCTTACCTAGAAGTTTAACATAAGAGTTTTTGGATTTAGATTATCCTTCGTGGTTCACTGAAAAAGCACACGGTAAAGCTAAAGGCATCCTTTACACTAAAACTGAGACGCCCTTGGAATCCTGAGAAGAAAATGGTTTTGAAATTGCCTTATTACCCTCTTTTAAGTAAACTGACCTGTAATGTAGTGGATACAAAACATAAAGTTTTCAATTAACAAAATACAATTAGGGAAAAGATTAGAATAGAGTAGGGGAGGTTATCTTGAGATAACCTTCCTTGGTTATCTTGGGGAGGATGGAAATCCGGGAGGCATTTATATATTACCTAGTAGAGATTGTAATGGAGTCTATGTGGGGAAAACAGGGCAAAAGCTTGAGATCACAATTGAAGAACATAAGCAAGCATGTAGAATTATGGCTGGTAACAGTGCTGTAACAAACCATAGTTGGGAAAGGATCACAATGTTGATTTTAAGACATGTGAAATAATCTATAAATATAATAATATTAGAACTAGAAGGGTAGTGCAAGGGGTTCAAACAAATACTCTGAATACTTTTGCTGGCAACAAAAGCTGTACTAGGAAAATAATTATGAGTGAATTAAAATTAGATCTCAATAAATGGATGAATGAAAGCGGTCCCATTAGCCGCGTTCCTAGGGTATGGAGAGGATTACGAGGGATAGCCTTCAGATGAACACCTTTATTAATAAAAACTCCAGTTCTCAGAATAGCAGGATTACAGACAGGACACATGACCATAATTCCATAGAAGACATTACCTCAGGTACATCAGAAGTCGGGGATTGAGGTGACGTGGTCAGGCGGTCGAGAAGGATAAGAGGACTGGACCCAGGATAGCAGCCTCATTAGACATTGAGATTAAGGTCTCATCCTAATCACACACTTTCAGACCTTGACACAGCACTCAGGAGAATGTGAAAGACTTGGTGTTACTTCCTTACACAAATAAACAAGTGTGGGTTTTTTAACAAATGTACAGCATCTAAATGTACAAATGAACAAATCCACAAGGGCCGTGACGAGGATTTGAACCTGTGTCCAAGAGCATCCCAGACGCTGCCTTAATCGACTGAGCTACGACATGGTCAAAAGAGTTGAAACCTAAGTTCTACTGAACTTACTCGATCCTGCAGCCTCTCTGAGACACAAACCCAGGGTTTTACACATCTCCTCCATGCACTCGAGCTATGTCAACAGGCCGTTCTTTCTCTTCTCCCTTACTTCATTACACACAGAAATCACAATAACGTGATGCATCAAATGAACAAATCCACAAGGATTGTGTGTAATGAAGTAAGGGCGAAGAGGGAGAACGGCCTGTTGACATAGCTCGAGTGCATGGGGTGGAGATGTATAAAACACTGGTTGTGTCTCGGAGAGGCTGCAGGATCCAGTAAGTTCAGTAGAACTTTGGTTTCAACTATTTTGACCATGTCGTAGCTCAGTCGATTAAGGCAGCATCTGGGATGCTCTTGGACACAGGTTCGAATCCTCGTCACGGCCCTTGTGGATTTGTTCATTTGATGCATCACGTTATTGTGATTTCTGTGCGTACAGCATCTACTTTTTCTCTCTCTTTGGAGGAAGAGGAAGAGTTCCCATAAATTTACAAATAATGTTGAGCATAACTTCATCCGCGCCACCACCAATTGAGAACAAACGCAGATCTCGATACAAACGACTGACCAGCACCTAAAACAGAAACATATATATTCATACATTATCATTACCCCAGTTCCAACGTTTGTCGTGGGAAGCATCATCCCAAAGGAAAAATTGCTCGACCAAACTACACACTAGAAAGTGAAAGGACAACGATGTTTCGGTCCGTCCTGGACCATTCTCAAGTCGATTGTGATGAGGGAAGGAGGCAAAGGCAAGAGAGAGGTGAGGAGAGGAAGAAAAAGCAAGGCCAAAGGTATGAAAGGTAAGGTGTAATAAAGGGGATAGTAATAGGAATAAGAAAGGGATCGTAAGAGAAAACAAGAGAAATTAAGATAAATGGAAGGGTAAGCTTATGTTAGGTCACGTTTGTTAGAAAGTTTAGAGCATTTGAGTATTGTATATACTGTGTAAGGGAAGAGTCAGCAGCAACAAAGCCAGGACTCAATTTCATGTTGGGTATGTTGTGTATCAGAACCGATTCAACAAGACGGCGTCTGTGTAGAGGCAGGAAAGATTATTTTTGGAGGAAGACCAATCAATAGAATGATTAGAATCCCTAACATGACAGAAGAGAGCATTGTTTGTGGCTGCAGACTTGACACTTCTTTTGTGTTCTTTAAGTCTGTCATTAGTATACGGCCAGTTTCACCAAAGTATTGGAGAGGACAAGACGAACAGGAAATGGAGCAGACACCAGCCGCATTAGAAGCAGGAGGAGCAGTGTGAACTAGATTGCTACAAAGTGTGTTAGTTTGTTGCAAGGCGAGCTTTATGTCAAGAGGACGAAAGGTATTAGTAAAAGTTTTGAGCTCAGATTTGAAGGGAAGGCAGAGCACAGTGCTACTAGTGTTGGAAGCAGGTTTAGGATGAAAGAAATTTTGTTTACCTTGAGAGTAGGCATAGTTGATAAAATGCAAAGGGTAACCAAGGCGAGAGAATGACTTGTAGATAAAGGCAATTTCAGAATCAAGAAATTGAGGGTCGCTGATGCTCAGAGTGCGATGGAAGAGAGAGACGAGGACACTTTACTTAACAGAAGGAGGATGGTAGGAAAAGAAGTGAATGTACATGCCACTATGCCTGGGTTTGCGGTAGACAGAGAAAGAGAACCCGGACACAGAGCTGTGAACGTGAACGTCAAGAAAAGGAAGGAGGGAATTTGATTCCCATTCAACTTTGAAATGGATGGAAGGAGCCAGATTGTTAAGAGAGGAGAGGAGAGGAAAGGCTAGAAAAAACTAAGGTCATAAAGCAAAATTGTCGTCAACATAGCGAAGCCAGAGAGAGGGACGAGTATCAATAGAAGGAAGAAGAAGAACAGTTTTGAAATATTCCATGTAGAAATTGGCACAAACAGGGGAGAGAGGGGAACCCATAGTGACACCGAAAGTTTGAGTGTAATATTTACCGTTGAAAGAGAAAGAGTTAGTCAACAGAGTCTAGTGAGTTCAAGGAAAAAATCAGTGGGAAGCCACTGACAGAGGAAGAAGGCCCTCAGTTGCCTTCTGTCTAAGGAAAGAGAGAATGTCATCGAGGGGAACATTAGTGAACAGAGAGTCAACATCAAGACTACGCATCTTTAGAGAAAGACTGCGCTTGCAGCCCTCCTATAAGATGCGTAGTCTTGATGTTGACTCTCTGTTCACTAATGTTCCCCTCGATGACATTCTCTCTTTCCTTAGACAGAAGGCAACTGAGGGCCTTCTTCCTCTGTCAGTGGCTTCCCACTGATTTTTTCCTTGAACTCACTAGACTCTGTTGACTAACTCTTTCTCTTTCAACGGTAAATATTACACTCAAACTTTCGGTGTCACTATGGGTTCCCCTCTCTCCCCTGTTTGTGCCAATTTCTACATGGAATATTTCAAAACTGTTCTTCTTCTTCCTTCTATTGATACTCGTCCCTCTCTCTGGATTCGCTATGTTGACGACAATTTTGCTTTATGACCTTAGTTTTTTCTAGCCTTTCCTCTCCTCTCCTCTCTTAACAATCTGGCTCCTTCCATCCATTTCAAAGTTGAATGGGAATCAAATTCCCTCCTTCCTTTTCTTGACGTTCACGTTCACAGCTCTGTGTCCGGATTCTCTTTCTCTGTCTACCGCAAACCCAGGCATAGTGGCATGTACATTCACTTCTTTTCCTACCATCCCCCTTCTGTTAAGTAAAGTGTCCTCGTCTCTCTCTTCCTCCGCGCTCTGAGCATCAGCGACCCTCAATTTCTTGATTCTGAAATTGCCTTTTTCTACAAGTCATTCTCTCGCCTTGGTTACCCTTTGCATTTTATCAACTATGCCTACTCTCAAGGTAAACAAAATTTCTTTCATCCTAAACCTGCTTCCAACACTAGTAGCACTGTGCTCTGCCTTCCCTTCAAATCTGAGCTCAAAACTTTTACTAATACCTTTCGTCCTCTTGACATAAAGCTCGCCTTGCAACAAACTAACACACTTTGTAGCAATCTAGTTCACACTGCTCCTCCTGCTTCTAATGCGGCTGGTGTCTGCTCCATTTCCTGTTCGTCTTGTCCTCTCCAATACTTTGGTGAAACTGGCCGTATACTAATGACAGACTTAAAGAACACAAAAGAAGTGTCAAGTCTGCAGCCACAAACAATGCTCTCTTCTGTCATGTTAGGGATTCTAATCATTCTATTGATTGGTCTTCCTCCAAAAATAATCTTTCCTGCCTCTACACAGACGCCGTCTTGTTGAATCGGTTCTGATACACAACATACCCAACATGAAATTGAGTCCTGGCTTTGTTGCTGCTGACTCTTCCCTTTCACAGTACTGTATATACTCAAATGTTCTAAACTTCCTAACAAACGTGACCTAACATAAGCTTACCTTTCCATTTATCTTTCTTTCCCATGTTTTCTCTTACAATCCCTTTCTTATTCCTATTATTTCCCCCTTTATTACACCTTACCTTTTATACCTTTTGCCTTGCTTTTTCTTCCTCTAAGATTTCCTCTCCTCACCTCTCTCTTGCCTATTTATTGCTTTCGCCTCCTTCCTTCATCACAATCGACTTGAGAATGGTCCAGGACGGACCGAAACGTCGTCGTCCCTTCACTTTCTAGTGTGTGGCTCAGTCAACATATTTCAGCCACGTTATTGTGATTCCTCATCTGCATATGAAAAATGGCTTAGTAATACGAAGGTATCAATTGTACAAACATTACCCTCCGATGTCTGTGTCCACTAGCCTATACTGTGGGCATTTTGAATGATTTATGTCTTACTGTCAACAGTTCCAGCCCTAGGAAAGCTGAAATTTAATGCCTTTAAGTAGAATTGTAATTTTTATGAGACGGAAAAATGGCAAAAGAAATTGGTTCAAATACATTTCTAGTTTTCATCTACTTTTCTTTAAACTCAATATTTTTTTTTCAACACTTATACAATAATATTTTTATACATATGACCAAACCATACACCAGAAGATGAGGACGTTTCGGTCCGTCCTGGACCATTATCGTCAATTGTGATGGAATCGAGGGCGGCACACCATTAAGGCAAGAATGAGGGGAGAAGCAGGTAATTCCTAGAAGGTAAGAACAAGAAAAAATGGTACAGATGAGAAAGGTGTAAGAATGAAGTGTAGCAAGAATGGGAATGTAAGAATAAGAAATGAGAAAGATAAAAAAAAGTGGGGGTAGGCTTATGTCAGGTCACGTTTGTTAGAAAGGTTAGAGCATTTTAGTATTTAATGTACTGTGAAAGGTAAGAGGCGATAGTAACAAAGCCAGAACTGAGGTTCATGTTGGGTATGTTGAGTACAAGGCTGATTCAACAAGACGGCATCTGTGAAGAGTAGAGGCAGGTAAGATTATTTCAGAAGCTCAATCAATAGAATGATTAGAATCCTTATTATGACAGAAGAGTTAGGGGCTATTCATGCCCATGCCACCCCTTGGATGGCTTAATCTTTATCATTTGACAGAAGAGAGCATTGTTTGTGTCTGCAGACTTGACACTTCTTTTGTGTTCCTTAATTCTGTTATTTAGTGTATGTCCCCAAAGTACTGGAGAGGACAAGACAAATAGGAAATAGAGTAGACACCAGCAGCCAACTGGTGTTGTTAACACCAGTAATAGTAAGAAAATCCACAGGAACTGTGATGATTTGAACCTATGCGCTGGGTGTTCCCAGATGCACACTCTAATACCAAGTTGTGACTTAGTCGTATAGAGTGTGCATCTGGGAACACCCAGCACATAGGTTCAAATCATCACAGCTCCTGTGGATTTTCTTACTATTACTGGTGTTTCCATCACCAGTTGGCTGCTGGTGTCCACTCTATTTCCTATTTGTCTTGTCCTCTCCAGTACTTTGGGGAAACTGGCTGTACACTAAATAACAGAATTAAGGAACACAAAAGAAGTGTTAAGTCTGCAGACACAAACAATGCTCTCTTCTGTCAAATGATAAAGATTAAGCCGTCCAAGGGGTGGCACGGGCACGAATAGCCCCTAACTCTTCTGTCATAATAAGGATTCTAATCATCTTATTGATTGATCTTCTAAAATAATCTTACCTGCTTCTACTCTTCACAGACACCGTCTTGTTGAATCAGCCTTGATACACAACATGAAGCTTAGTCCTGGCTTTGTTGCTGTCGACTCTTCCCTTTCACAGACATACTTAAATGCTCTAACCTTTCTAACAAATGTGACCTGACATAAGCTCTCCCCCCCCCCTCTTTTTTTTATCTTTCTTGTCTCTCTCCTCTTATTCTTACTTTCCTATTCTTGCTTCACCCCATTGTTACACCCTTCCCATCTGTACCCTTTTTTCTTGTTCTTACCCTCTAGGAATTACCTGCTCCTTTCCTCACTCTTGCCTTACTTAATTCTGTGCCTTCCTCGATCCCATCACAATCGACCTGATAATGGACCGAAACGTCCTTATGACTCATTGGCTGCGTTTTTTTTTTTTAGAGTACAGTATATGGACAGCACAAACACATGATGTGGCACCATGGGGGGAGGGGAAGGTAGAGAAGCTTAGCAGCACATCTGGCAGAAGATGTGCCTCCAGCTGCCTCTCAAGGTTAGGAATGAAAATATATTTTCATAAGTGAAGACAATTCTCTCCACATTAGCTCTTAGTTCTGATGCTGTCTCCTTTACTTTAAACACAATATTTTTTTTTTTTTTAATTGTAATATAAATGGGGTTTTCCACAATAAACTAGTGACAATACAACCCATCCTCCTTAAATGATAGTACAAGACGTGATGGTATGTTCGACCGAATAGCTGCAATAAGTAACACCATTTTAGGAGGATGAGTTGAGAATTGAGAAACCAGCAGCTTTAAAGCCATATGATAAAGAGTAAAGATGATGAGATGCCATGACCATAGCTCACATCCTGTAACTACACTGTAATTACAAACACATGCAATACAGGTAAATACAATATGAAACAATAGTTATAATGCTACAGACCTCATTGGTAAAACCCATGCCTCCCCACATCTGAAGACAAGAATCGGTCACCTCGCGCGCCAGGCGTCCAGCTTTCAATTTACACATGGATGCCACCTTGGTCACATCCTCCCCAGACACATACTGCTCTGGAATAGGAAAGAGGCCAGTCATAGACTTAAGTATAGACCTTGAATGTAATCCTTTATCTAGCAGTTATGAACAATTAGCATCTAAATGATCAAAACTGCAAATGCTGATGTACCATTGCTGAGGACAGGAATTATGGTAGGCTTATCAAGGCTCCCCCTAGAACAATGACTGACCTCAAGAATTCAGCCCATAACAATTGCCAGGTAAATATTTGCTGCAAGGTGAATACAAGCACTAAGTGAATGAAAACATTCCCAAATGTTTGTGTGTTGTCAGGGAAATCAAGCCTGGGATGTATGGGTTGTGGTGCAAGTATGTTGACCACTGAGCCACATAACCCGTTAATATTATTCAGGAAATATTGCTAACAATGTACAAGCAAATCATATACTGTATCAGTAATTAATTTTAATATAAGACCTGTAAACATTGTGATGAAGTTAGAGCCTTACTACAAGCACTAAACTATAATATTCTCTTGTAATTTTAACAGGCACATAACTAAAAGATGACTCGAGCCAAGTATTTACCATGCTCAATCACACAACAATCCATAACTGTAAACCAAACCAGAAAAGTGGTCATTCTACAATTATCAAAAGTTAGAATGCACCAAAATTATTAGAACTAAACACAGTTGCTGAGAATATATATTTTCCCAATTTACAATCGAGGGTCCTGACTAACGTAACAATTGAAGCTGTATACAGAGTTCCAAACACAGATAAACTTTAATTCATCTAACTTCAGATATTTTATAATAGGCAAAAAAAAAAATCCCAAATACTACCAGGAGGTTTTAATACCGACATCTGTTAACAAATAGTCTACACATCACCTGCTTTTTCAAATGAATGACCTCCAGATGATTCAAAAATAGAAACTCCACAGTGAAGAGGGACACCAGCTTTCTGGAGCATGATGCAGACAGGCAGGTGTACCAGGCACAAGGGAAAAAGCCAAAAACACTGAACTCTGACTGGGGAAAGCACCTGACATAGTAAAGCATATGAAGCCATGAATAAAGAACAATCACTAGGTTGAACCCCCCAACCTGTGGTGGTGGCAAAAGCAACCCAACACACACAAGGAGCCAGTATGTTCACACACATGCTTGTGTTGTTTTCACAACACAAGCATGTGTGTGTTTAAGCCAAAAAGTCATTGCTGATCAAAATGTGTCAATATCACCATATTCAGAAAACACTTACAACATATGTACTACCTTGCATTACTACATAAATTCAGATAAAGGAGTTCACACTGTACCACAATTTTTGTACATAGGATTTGCACTAACCTACTGTCCTATAGAGGAGAGACCTCAGACACTCCAATTCAGTCTCCAGCTCAGCCAGGCGGAAATGAAGGTATTGGTTGTTGAGAAGTGGCTGGCCAAACACTATTCTTTCCCGGATGTATTCTATGGTCTCCTGTATGCACATCTCGAGTGGCCTTAAAACTCCAAGTGATAAAGCCAAACGCTCCTGCTGGAACTGGACACACATGTACAATACAGATTAAAATTGTATATTATTCAAGAAATTATGAATTTAATTTATTCAAGAAATTATGAATTTAATTTATTCAACACATTTTGTTAAGTGAAATCATGGAAAACATTACAAATCCAATTTGAAACGTCATGAGAGAAGCAGACTAAATCAGGTAAGTGATAAAAAAATTAAATAAATTGAGCGTTGAACGTAATGAAACACCTCTTTGTGGTGGTCCCTTGGCAAGGTCCCCAACCTATAGTCTAGCACCAGCTAAGCCTTGTGTGTCACATCAGGCTCTGACAAATCACGAATTCCTACCAGGAATCAGGACCAGAATCTGGGCTTTTCACACAAAGGGAAGCAGGGAATCAAATCACCATAACAGAGAGAAAACCACCAGAAAGGTACAGTATTCCGAAACAAGCATGAAAAACATTAGCTCATACTATTAGTACAATTACCAAACAAGCTCATACTATTGTTTACTATTATCAAACAAGATCATGCTGTTATTAACAAAATCAAACAAACTTAAACTGTCATTATAACTAAATCAATAAGCCAAACACTATCATTACCAATAATAAACAATCTCATGCTATTATCACTAACAACCCAGTAGCATTACCACCAACATCAGCAAGCCCCACACTCATTACCAGCAATGTCTACAATATCACACTCATTAGCAGCTTCCACTATTTATCACTCTCATTACACAAGTAAGATCAACAATCAAGCTGCCCTTTTCATTACCAGGAAAGGCAACAAGTCCCAACTGGTAGTACCTGTAGCATCTGGTAGGTGAAACCTTTGCCTTCTTCCCCCACAATATTCTTAGCCGGAACTCGGACATCATCAAAGAATATTTGACCAGTATCAGAGCTACGCATTCCAAGTTTGTCAATCAACTTTGTTAGATGAATTCCTGTAGAAAATATCGCTTAGCATGTTAAATAGCTTGATTTGCCTAGTTGATAAACCAGTAAAATAAGTTTGGTTTGAAGTGATTTATACATGCAGGTACAGCATTGTGAAAGATCTGTGGTTTCTGAAACCTTCATTCATAATCCAAACCTAAACTATCTCTAGTAATATTTCTCAGACTTGGCTGCAAAATGGATTAAATTAGCACACTGACTTTATTATGTCAGATGAATGGTGTGGAAACCCTGCAGTAAGAGATGGTGTACAGAATCTTTAGTGAGGTTTGGGGGTGCTTCATATCTCTCACAAAATCCAAATCTTAATGAAGAATTGTGATAAAAAAAAATAGAGCATTTCATTCTTATCTCAAAGGTTCATCCTCTTAAGAATATTACACACAAGTGAGTTTGATCCTTTTTGTGTGTGTGAAATGCTTGTGAAATGCAGAAGATATCCAACCTATCCTGGATTGGATTATATTTAATCAAGGTTAGATGGGTCATAAACTGGCCACAACACTATATAATACAGGGAGTGTAATGATTAAATGCCAAGTGAAATGATTAGATCTTAATAAGAATGCAGAGGTAAGTCAATGATAATGATTATCATTAATTTATACACATTTTCTGAGAATTACAAAATTGTCATCATTACATCACAATCTGCATATTTATGAACTTTATGTACAATACCTGTACAACAAATCATACAGTTTAGAGTCACAAAAATAAACCAACCAAGCACAATAATTAATACTGTATTCAGAAGGGTCTGATCTCAAGCTCAGAGTAATTAGGTTCCAGTGATGTCATATATAACATAACTGTTAAAGGAAGTTTAATCTTGTCTATCTAGCAAGCACACACATATGTCTGATGCCCTGGAGCCCCCAGCAGACAGCAGCACCACTACACGATGGGCTCTGCCCATGCCCACACTCCCCACATACTAATCTACAATAGTCAACAAAGACACAAGACTGGAAGGGAGGGCCAGGGAGCACCAACACAAACTTGCTCAAAAGGAGCTTTGAACAAGTCCAAAGCATAACTTCTATGCTGCATTATAATGTTGCATTCAAAAGTATAGTATCGATGATAGTAATTTAATACAAAAAAATTATAAATAAGGAAACCTAGATACAAAATAGGTTCTTCCATGATGGATAGCCAGTCAAACAAAAATTAACAGGTTTACCTAATTCACTATAAGTGAATTAATTGAGTGCCTCATCAACCAAGCAGTTATGAAAGAAGGCTGGCCTAAGCCAGACTGAGAGAAGAACTACTGAAATGGTCTACTGTACAAGTAATCTACAGATAATTTGACAAATGGAATGATAGATAACTACATACCGGTAAATATAAATACAACTACTGATATGTGAGGGAAAATAATAGCAAGATACTAGACTTCACACTTGTACAGATAAGATTTTTCAATTTTTAAACAGTTCCAGAAATCTACTAATAGATTGTATCACATACAATAGCAGCAGCTTTATACATTTATCATTGCCTTACCTGGAGTCTTCATGGGAACACAAACAAGTGACTTGTTGAGGTGAGGTGGTCCAGAAGAAGTGTTCACCAACAGACAAATCCAATCAGCCTGCCATGCATTTGTTATCCAAAGTTTCTGACCATTAATGACTAAATCATCTCCTCGGTGCTGTGCTGTTGTCTTCAGACTGGCTACATCAGAGCCAGCACCAGGCTCACTCACACCCAGGCATGCCACAACATCCCCAGAAATACTTGGAGCTAGGAACTCGCCTTTTACGTAGTCACTCCCAAACCTAAAAAGACATTTTCAGCAACTATTAATAATGTATAGCATCATCATGATTGATGCTATTCCTTAAATAAATCAGGCCTTACAGTTATGAAAAGCAGCTTTCTCAGTTGGTCATTTTGTTGTTCCATGTTATACATCTGCTGTGTTATTGGAAAGGATTAAACAGTCGAGTCTAATGATGGACTTTATACATATATCATAATGCATTATCATTTATCATAATCATATTATCTGCGCCACAAAGATGTGATGGGAATATCCCTTAATTCATTTTCTTTCCTTGTTTCAAACATTTATGTGGGTACTGGGATGCTGTCTAATCTTTCTAGTATGAACATTGATGTAAAGCATTCATCAAGTGTTGGCTGCCTTTTTATCAATATAACATGGTTGGTCTCATCTTTTAAGGGTCCTACAAAGTCTTTTGTCTCGGTTTTCCCTTCTTATATTAACATAAATAGACTTTAGATCTTTCTTAATGTTTTGAGTACGTTTTCTTTCATAGTTTCTTTTGGTTGAGTTGATTTTCTGAATAGCTGAATTTAATGCCCTTCCGTATATCTCATAATCTCTGTGATTCCTGGTGGTCTGAAGCTTCCAGAGGTTGTCCTTTGTTAGCTATGATTTTGTTTACTCCTTTTGAAGACAGAAGAGCTGTTAAATATTGCACCCTGCTCAGCAAACTCAAAGCCTGATTTCTGGGCTAGCTCATTTGACTGGTTTTTGGGCAAGGGAGTAGAAGATATGTATGTGAGCACTGACCTGGCCAAGGCAGGAGTAGATATGTCTGTGTGTGCACCAATGCCCAAGGCAACACCTGGAGCACGAATGCCACCAAGAGCCTCTGTGAAAGCTGCTTGATATTTGTAGTTTAAACCAAGGCCACCATATTCTGCAGAAATAATGTAGTGGAATTAAAACATTTAAATTACCTAAAATATGATGATGATTTGACAAATATGATGAGTTTCTTTTTTTTTAATAACTATAACCTGCTTTCACTATATTATTCACCGTTTTCCTCAAAGACAATACCTGTCTCCTAATGAGAGTGACAAATGGGGTGATGATCAAGTATGAATATGTGTAAAGTTTTTTAAATTAGCTTAGCATGGTAAATGGGATAGAAATAATACAGTACTGTACAGTACAGTATATGTTATTGGCAAGGAACAGTGAACATGATTACACATAACTGAAGAAATGTGACCAAAAACAACACATTTACTAAAAGGTAAAAGGAATGTAAAGAAAAGTGACAGAGGAGCAAGGTGCCATGTAAATTAACTGTGAAAAACATGAAGAGGAAGCTGGTGAACCAGCAGCCAGTGAAGGGCAAAAGGAGTTACAGTATCTTCCAATGGTCCCAACAGTGGTGCAAAGGGCAGTACTGGTGAAGCCAGAATAATGCCCAGAGTCAAACTCTGCTTATGGGGAAACCACACAGGCAAAGATTAGGCTCCTGCACAACAATTTGACCAGCTGCCAAGTAATCTTTTGCCAGTGCAACACCAGACGAGAAGCAGAGCCGCAGGAGGCAGAGAAAAGGAAGCCCGACTGGGAATCCCAAACCAGGTCTAACCAAGTCTGAACCTTGGACAAAACTAACTGGGACTTCCTGCAGCTTGCCAGGAACCCAAACTGCTCCAAATCCCAAAACCCAAAGTGGGCCTACTCCGGGGCAACCACTCGAGCGCCAAGCCACAACAACTAAAATGGGAAGTGAAGGCCATTCTGCCCTAGTCATGTCTTTGTGAGAGACAGATTGCCTCAGGGGAACAACTGAATGCTCTTTTCAAAAAGATTTTTGTCTGCTCTCCAAGCCTTATATATATGTACACATCAATTATGTATAACTTTGTAAATACTGTATAGATATTTATATTTAGATAGCGTTCTCAACAAAATAGCTTCACAACTTACCTACAGACTTAGTGATGCATAAATAACCAATATGAAAAAGCAACTTCGTAAGTTAACTACAGGCCAAGTAATATCTAGATAACATGCTTGAAGAAACAGGTTTGGAACTTACCCACAGGCTTGGTGATACCAAGATAACCTGCTTGACCGAACAGCTTCAGAATCTTGTGTGCAGGCCAGCGGCCAGCAGCCTCCCACTCGTCCACATGTGGGTTGATCTCTGTATCAATGAGCTGTAGGTAGATAAATAAATTTATAAACACAATAGCCATCTCTGATTATGGGGGAGGCTCCTCTTATGATGGAAGGCTTGTATACAGAGACAGGAAGCTTACTTTTTTAACAGAATTCTGAAGCTCCCGCTGTTCTTCATTGTAAAAATGGCAATTTGTTTTTCCTTGTGCACTGTTGACTGCAGCAGTAGCTAAATTCTTGCAGCCAATTCTTGCTCGGAGCCATGGACCAAGGTTCCAAATGACAGGCACTCTTCCTGGGATGAACATGACTCACTTGTGTGGTACAAATCTTGTGGAAACTGGTTACTCCTTACACTTACTGCAATTATAAATAATGTTCTTTTTACAGGAATTATCTTAATATGATATACAATACAGAACTGTATTAGTGTCTCCAGACTAAGTTATTTGGTGTCTTTCTAAATAATGTTAATAATGTAAAGTACAAATAATAATACATAACATTAACAATTACATATACAGTATTTTATTCATAATCATAAATCAAGATGATATCAAGTCAAGAACAAGAACAAATCAAGAACATATCATCATATATACTGTTTATGATGGGGGGGGGGGGGGCAGGCCTGGCAGCTGAGTGGACAGCGCTCGGGATTCATAGTTCTGAGGTTTTTAAAACATCTTTAAATGTTATGTGGCTATTTATGCTAGATATTATTATAAACATGCATTCACTTGTTAATATCATCAATTAAATTTGTGACAATTTGATCAGAGAAATGTGACAACTAGATCACTGCGTACAGGAGGCTGATATGCCAGCAAACACTCTCTAGGTGACAATATATATTGGGCAAGTCGCTCCAGGCCGCGGAGACGCTAAACCCGATAATCATTTCGAGGTAACCTCCACAATATTGTCGCTTGGACCATCTGCTTCCTATGGTGCCACCTGCCACATATTTTACTTCTAATTTCGTTACAAAATTAGATTATGTCAGTAAAAATAGGTTTGATCATGTTCTGCATTCAGTACCAACATTATAGTGAGTAAATATACCTATATCTTCATTACTTATATAAAGCCAGGGGGCTTTGGGTAATTTTACGGACCGATCTAGAATAATATTCTCAAAATTGTTCAGTACTGTATTTTTACTTTTGATGAGATCAGCCCTCTTGTGTCTGGTTCAAAGTGTTGTTAGTCGTGTTCCTGTTATGAGTTAGTTCTGGGATAACTTTTCTCATTGTGTTGAACTTTCTCCAAAAGCAGATATGTATCCATATCTCGCCTACAGTTTCCGTGCATGGGGATCTATAGCCTAAAAGTACCTTCGACCCCTACTTACCCAACATAACTCAGCAATTAAAACAATAACAAACTCATCCCAGACACCACTCGGAGCTCTTACTGAACTCTTTCAATACGCTAAATATCGACGCACATAGTCTCAAGTGTACTATATATCTATGAAACTCAGCACTATAATGCCAATCATGACCATAGGCTTCCTAGAGGCTGTAACACAACCCATGCCCACCACACCAGAAACAAATATTGAGGTATTCCACGACTGAACCAAACCAGAAATACTCTACAAATCCAAGGGTCCTAAACTGTGAAATGATCTCGCTAATCACACATTAACAACTGTACTGTTCTCAACCAGGTCACAAGATGACAAAAACAATTATCTCAATTTATCATACCATATCTCAACTATGGAATTTGTGCTTGGGGCTCTACTACCCAAAATCACTTACGTCCTCTAATTACTCAACACAAAGCTGCTATTAGGACAATATCCAACTCTGGCCCCAAGCATCACTCGGTACCCCTACTCAAATCTCTGAATATGTTAGACATTAAGTCACTGCACATTCTCTCATGTGTATTATACATATATAAAACGCTAAACTATAATGCCAATCCTGATCTCAAAAGCTTCATAGAAGGATGTAACAGAACCCATGAGCACCACACCAGAAATAAATACAGTTTTGATATTCCTAGAGTACGACTTAATCAAACTAGAAATGCTCTACAAATCAAGGGGCCCAGAATGTGGAATGACCTTCCCAACCATGTTAAAGACTGTACCTCTCTCAACCAGTTTAAGTTAAAAACAAAGCTATACCTAATAAATTCCCTGTAACCTACCTTACCCTTCTATTGTCAACCAATGTCTGTTTTTTTTTTTAAGAGCGCTGTTTGTCGACATAATTGTATTTGTGCTGCTTTTTCATCTATGTTTTCATTTCTTGTTTTCATTCTATTCATTATGCTCAATTAGTATTAAGCTCGTCATTTAAGTTTATCATGCCCGAAACGCTTTGCGTAATAGTGGCTTTAGGCATTGTATGTACTAGCTCTACCTATAAGTCAACCAATCTTTGTAAAAAATTTTGTATGTATGTACCTTACCTAAATAAACATTTTATTTTTATTTTATTTTAATTACCTACACTCACCTGTGTTACATTGACATGAAGAGCAGCTGAGGGACTCAGCTCGGCCAGTCCCAGTTTGGGGAAGACGGTGAGAGTATATCCCTTGGTGGTGGGTGGAATATAGCAGGCAGAGTATATCCCTTAATGGTGGAATATAACAGACAGCGGGAGGCGGTCCATAGAATTACCCCAATCACCCAAATCAGGCCAAAACTACCCAAAACGTATTAGCATTACGTAAGTAATGAAGAAATATGGTATATTTACTTACTATAATGTTGGTGCTACACGTAGAACATGATCAAACCTATTTTTTCTCTGAAATAATCTAATTTCATAACGAAATGAGACGTAAATATGTGAGAGGTGACGCCATAGGAAGTCGACGGTCCAAGCGACAATTGTGTGGAGCGACTTATCCAAGAAATATGGTCGCCAGGAGAGTGTTTGCTGCCATATCAGCCTCCTGTACACAGTGATCCAGTCCTTTTCGTTCATTGAACACCGAACCCTACACGCCCTCTGATATATTGCTTAATTAACTTAAGCCCATCATCACACAGCAAAAATCTGCTATCAGAATGATAACTAACTCAGCTTTCAGACAACACTCAGCTCCCTTGTTTAAATCCCTAAACTTGCTAAATATTAACTCCCTCCACACATTCTCTTGTGTCAACTACATTTACAAAACCCTGCTAGATAACATGCTTGAAGAAACAGGTTTGGAACTTACCCACAGGCTTGGTGATACCAAGATAACCTGCTTGACCGAACAGCTTCAGAATCTTGTGTGCAGGCCAGCGGCCAGCAGCCTCCCACTCGTCCACATGTGGGTTGATCTCTGTATCAATGAGCTGTAGGTAGATAAATAAATTTATAAACACAATAGCCATCTCTGATTATGGGGGAGGCTCCTCTTATGATGGAAGGCTTGTATACAGAGACAGGAAGCTTACTTTTTTAACAGAATTCTGAAGCTCCCGCTGTTCTTCATTGTAAAAATGGCAATTTGTTTTTCCTTGTGCACTGTTGACTGCAGCAGTAGCTAAATTCTTGCAGCCAATTCTTGCTCGGAGCCATGGACCAAGGTTCCAAATGACAGGCACTCTTCCTGGGATGAACATGACTCACTTGTGTGGTACAAATCTTGTGGAAACTGGTTACTCCTTACACTTACTGCAATTATAAATAATGTTCTTTTTACAGGAATTATCTTAATATGATATACAATACAGAACTGTATTAGTGTCTCCAGACTAAGTTATTTGGTGTCTTTCTAAATAATGTTAATAATGTAAAGTACAAATAATAATACATAACATTAACAATTACATATACAGTATTTTATTCATAATCATAAATCAAGATGATATCAAGTCAAGAACAAGAACAAATCAAGAACATATCATCATATATACTGTTTATGATGGGGGGGGGGGGGCAGGCCTGGCAGCTGAGTGGACAGCGCTCGGGATTCATAGTTCTGAGGTTTTTAAAACATCTTTAAATGTTATGTGGCTATTTATGCTAGATATTATTATAAACATGCATTCACTTGTTAATATCATCAATTAAATTTGTGACAATTTGATCAGAGAAATGTGACAACTAGATCACTGCGTACAGGAGGCTGATATGCCAGCAAACACTCTCTAGGTGACAATATATATTGGGCAAGTCGCTCCAGGCCGCGGAGACGCTAAACCCGATAATCATTTCGAGGTAACCTCCACAATATTGTCGCTTGGACCATCTGCTTCCTATGGTGCCACCTGCCACATATTTTACTTCTAATTTCGTTACAAAATTAGATTATGTCAGTAAAAATAGGTTTGATCATGTTCTGCATTCAGTACCAACATTATAGTGAGTAAATATACCTATATCTTCATTACTTATATAAAGCCAGGGGGCTTTGGGTAATTTTACGGACCGATCTAGAATAATATTCTCAAAATTGTTCAGTACTGTATTTTTACTTTTGATGAGATCAGCCCTCTTGTGTCTGGTTCAAAGTGTTGTTAGTCGTGTTCCTGTTATGAGTTAGTTCTGGGATAACTTTTCTCATTGTGTTGAACTTTCTCCAAAAGCAGATATGTATCCATATCTCGCCTACAGTTTCCGTGCATGGGGATCTATAGCCTAAAAGTACCTTCGACCCCTACTTACCCAACATAACTCAGCAATTAAAACAATAACAAACTCATCCCAGACACCACTCGGAGCTCTTACTGAACTCTTTCAATACGCTAAATATCGACGCACATAGTCTCAAGTGTACTATATATCTATGAAACTCAGCACTATAATGCCAATCATGACCATAGGCTTCCTAGAGGCTGTAACACAACCCATGCCCACCACACCAGAAACAAATATTGAGGTATTCCACGACTGAACCAAACCAGAAATACTCTACAAATCCAAGGGTCCTAAACTGTGAAATGATCTCGCTAATCACACATTAACAACTGTACTGTTCTCAACCAGGTCACAAGATGACAAAAACAATTATCTCAATTTATCATACCATATCTCAACTATGGAATTTGTGCTTGGGGCTCTACTACCCAAAATCACTTACGTCCTCTAATTACTCAACACAAAGCTGCTATTAGGACAATATCCAACTCTGGCCCCAAGCATCACTCGGTACCCCTACTCAAATCTCTGAATATGTTAGACATTAAGTCACTGCACATTCTCTCATGTGTATTATACATATATAAAACGCTAAACTATAATGCCAATCCTGATCTCAAAAGCTTCATAGAAGGATGTAACAGAACCCATGAGCACCACACCAGAAATAAATACAGTTTTGATATTCCTAGAGTACGACTTAATCAAACTAGAAATGCTCTACAAATCAAGGGGCCCAGAATGTGGAATGACCTTCCCAACCATGTTAAAGACTGTACCTCTCTCAACCAGTTTAAGTTAAAAACAAAGCTATACCTAATAAATTCCCTGTAACCTACCTTACCCTTCTATTGTCAACCAATGTCTGTTTTTTTTTTTAAGAGCGCTGTTTGTCGACATAATTGTATTTGTGCTGCTTTTTCATCTATGTTTTCATTTCTTGTTTTCATTCTATTCATTATGCTCAATTAGTATTAAGCTCGTCATTTAAGTTTATCATGCCCGAAACGCTTTGCGTAATAGTGGCTTTAGGCATTGTATGTACTAGCTCTACGGTCCATAGAATTACCCCAATCACCCAAATCAGGCCAAAACTACCCAAAACGTATTAGCATTACGTAAGTAATGAAGAAATATGGTATATTTACTTACTATAATGTTGGTGCTACACGTAGAACATGATCAAACCTATTTTTTCTCTGAAATAATCTAATTTCATAACGAAATGAGACGTAAATATGTGAGAGGTGACGCCATAGGAAGTCGACGGTCCAAGCGACAATTGTGTGGAGCGACTTATCCAAGAAATATGGTCGCCAGGAGAGTGTTTGCTGCCATATCAGCCTCCTGTACACAGTGATCCAGTCCTTTTCGTTCATTGAACACCGAACCCTACACGCCCTCTGATATATTGCTTAATTAACTTAAGCCCATCATCACACAGCAAAAATCTGCTATCAGAATGATAACTAACTCAGCTTTCAGACAACACTCAGCTCCCTTGTTTAAATCCCTAAACTTGCTAAATATTAACTCCCTCCACACATTCTCTTGTGTCAACTACATTTACAAAACCCTGTTCTTAAATGCAAACCATGCTCTGAAACTCTCCCTGGACAGATGTAATAGGACCCATTTTCACCACACCAGAAATAAATATCTCTTTGATATCCCCAGGGTCAAACTTAATCTGTGTAAACACTCTATGCAAATTAAGGGACCTAGTCTATGGAACTCATTCCCTAGTGAATTGAAAAACTGTAAAACTTTTGCCTTATTTAAAAGCAAAACCAAAAAGTACCTAACTTCATCTATTTAGTTTCCTACACTGAGCTTTAAATTTGCTCTGTACCTAGTTGGTACCCAATCTCCTAATTTTTATGTAATATCAAACAACCTTATCATTGTGTTCATTGCTGTCTTCTTTTATGTGCTAGCCATATGCTGTATTGTGACTACCAATTTTTGTCAACTACCATTTTAAGCTGTCATTGCAATCAATCTTAGCTACCTATGTGCTTTAATATATTATACTGTACCTATAATTTTCTCTCATCTTTTTTTTTCATTCCATGTAATTAATCTGTTATCATTTTTTTGTCTATAAATTTTGCAAGTATTTACCTCCTTAAAATTTTCTTAGATTAAGGACCTGCCCGAAACGCTGCGCGTGCTAGTGGCTTTACAAGACTGTAATTACCATAATTGTATCCTCACATTCCTTATGTACATTCTTGTATATGCATAAATAAATAAATAAATAAATAAATAAAATTTTCTTAGATTAAGGACCTGTCCGAAACGCTGCGCGTGCTAGTGGCTTTACAAGACTGTAATTACCATATTTGTATCCTCACAATCCCAATGTACCTTCTTGTAAATGCATAAATAAATAAATAAATAAAGTATCAGTGGCCAGCCAGGTGGAGATCACAGGCTGTACAGTACTGATAAATTATGTAATTCACAGAGATACGTTGATAAATATTAATGTTTTATATTTTATTAAAAATACAGATATATACTTTGTTTCATCCGTTAAATGTAACAATATTTCAGTATATATTATATAAGCATAGTATATATAATTCAGTATATACAATATATAATAAGAGTGTCAGACCACGAAGGAAGAATTGAAACAGGAATTTCCTTTAGTACTTTCTTATATTAATACATCTTCAGAGCGAACCATTCCTTCTGAAGATGTATTAATATACGAAAGTACTTAGAGCATTCTATTGTGGTTTTAATATTGAACAATTATACATATACGAAACAGACAAATCTGGTGTCGGAAATAGTAAAAATATTAGTGTGCGATGTGATCAATGTAAGGGGGATATTGGGTGTGCCTCGTATCCCCTACAACAACAAGAAGTTCGAGAGCGATGAGGCCGCCACTAACTAGCTTCAGGATGTCGTCGAATCTAAATCAACAATATACTACCGCCGCTACTTTCTCGGAAACGTAAGTACCTGCCGCTTTACTTCTCTCACCCTGCCAAGCCTGGCCTGGCCTGACCTGGCCTAGCCAGACCTGACCTGGCCTAGCCTAGTCTGACCTGGCCTAGTCTGACCTGACCTGGCCTAGCCTTACCTAGCCTAGTCTGACCTGGCCTAGTCTGACCTGACCTGGCCTAGCCTTACCCAACACTAATCACCACACATGACAGCCCAAACGAATCGCAAATAAGTACACGTAACAAGTCATATGCCCGGACACACTTTCACCTTGGGGACTGAGTGGTAACTATTGTATAGAAGAGCCGGCTCCCTGAGAGTGGTAAGAGGGCGTGATAAGAGGCTAATGTGTGGTCTTGAAGGAAGTCGATAAAGCAGACAATTTTCAAAAGGAAGGGCAGCATAACGAGCAGACAGGAATGGACAGACAGTCGGTTATCCCATAATGTGTAATACGCCGCACACAGCATGGGTGGAGTGGGGGGGGGGGGGTTGTAGCAGGGCACAGTATGGTGATGGTGCGGGTGAAGTACACACCCACTGAATTCCTGCCATCAATAATTGTTTTCATAACCATTAGAACAATGGCATCCCTCCAGCCACCATCCTTCCACTGACCCCCTCCTCTGGTCCTCCACCTCAGACAATAACCCCCCACACCCCCTCTCCCTTCCAGACATCAGCATGTCAAAATCAGTACCATAATGTGTTTAAACTATTTAAACTAAGTCATTGTGTATCTCAAGGTATCTTAATTCATTTGAAAGTGTACATGTGCATTCATTCATATACTCGCCTAATTGTGCTTGCTGGGGTTGAGCTCTGGCTCTTTAGTTCCACCTCTCAACCGTCAATCAACAGGTGTACAGGTTTCTGAGCCTATTGGGCTCTATCATATCTACACTTGAACCTGTGTATGGAGTCAGCCTCCACCACATCACTTACTAATGCATTCCATTAGATATAATCATATATGATTACACATAATCATAATCATTCTATACACATAATCATATATGTGTACGTCAACGTATACATACATGCGTATATATACCTCATATTAAAATACTGATAAACGAATGACCATGAACAAATTAATTTATAATTGTAGCATTATATATAATTTTAATAGACTAATTACGTGTTTATACATTTGAATGGTCCAGACAGGTGGCCAGCCTTGGACATATACGCTTCTGGTAGGCACAATGACCTCATGTTAGACCCTTGATAGATTATGTGAGAGAGAGAGAGCTGGGGCAGGGAGGTGCGTGCCCCAGGGAGATAATCCATGCCCATGCCCCGCCTCGAGGTCAGTTCTCGAGTCACACCAAGAATAACATTCGAGCAAGTTGTCCTGACCAGGATGTGGCATATTAGGGAGGGTTGAGGAATAGGAAGCCTGTCTGATAGGGCTCTTGGCAAGCAGCTCTCCCTCAGTCTACCTATCTATATGGAAGAAATGTATCTAGGCCCTCCTCCCCCCTGCCTATTCTCTCTCCCCCACCTTTCTTCCTTCATTTCCTCCCTCCTTCCCTCCCCCTCACTGGTGAGAGAGTAGGAGTGTGAGAGTAGTTAGAGAACTCGTAGTTCTCACGCTCGTGAAATTGTCTGCGACCCTGGAGGAGTAGAGCGGAGGGGGGGGGGGTGAAAGTAGGTGACGATGGAGGAGTAGAGGGGAGCATTATATGCAGTGAACGTTGGTGTCTATGGAAGAGTACATCATAGAGGAGGGTGAAAGGAAGGTGACGATGGAGGAGGAGAAGGGAGGGGGTGTGAAGGTAGGTGATGATGGAGGAGTAGAGGGGAGGAGGGGGGCAAAGGTAGGTGTCTATGGAAGAGTACATCATAGAGGGGGGTGAAGGTAGGTGGCAATGGAGTAGAGCAAACGGGGTGGGGATTGAAAGTAATCCTGAGTTTAATTTTTTAGTTATATATAGTGACACCTCGACTTACGAATGAATATTTATGAACTTTTCGGGTTACGAGCCTAATTTCTTCGAAAAATTTGAATCGGGTTACAAACTTTGCCTCGGGAAAGGAGTTTGTTGATATACGTATGGGCTGACCTAGCGCGTGGTGGCATGGTGATCGCGCCTCAGTTTACCAGTGTCTCCTGCCTAGTAAGTATCGCGCCTGAATTCTTTGTAAAGCATTACATTTGTTTTGGGATTTTTGGCTATTTGAACATAAAATTTGTTATGATATATCTTGCCATGAGTCCCAAGAAAGCCAGTGGTAAGGTTCAAGCCAAGAAAACACATGTGAGAATGACCATAGAGGAAAAACAAGAGAGCATTCATAAACATCAAAATGGTGCACGGGTTGTTGAACTAGCTAGGCAGTACAACAAATCTATGTCAACAATATGCACTGTACTTGCTAAGAAAAGGACATTATGAACATTAAAGTGGCAAAAGGCATATCAACAATCCCGAAACAAAGAACACAAACACTTGAGGATGTTAAAAAGTTT